TATTCACTCAAATCAGTGGTGCTCTCTTTGGTTTTCTGAAGAGAAGGTCGGACCATGAATAAGTTGATTTTAGAGAGGAAAGACTCTAAATAATGAGCTTCCAAAGAGGAAAGCTATGCCACGATGTATGATTGGGGTTCATTGGGCTAATGAGTATCTGTGTTGCAAATCCTAACTCTTATTGCCCCTTGAATTTGATCCTCTTCCTTAAAATCAATCACCTATCGAATTTTCCTTTATAATTAGTTCTCGTCCATACTAGATCTGACTTTAAAGAGATTGGGAGTGTTAGGTTAAGAGTAATGGATAGATCTCAAAATGGATTACCCATGGTCTTCAATAGAAATAGAATTGATAGTAAATTCTTAATAATTGTCGGTTATTCCTGAAAGACTCAGCAATTTGATTTAATCAAATGTGATTAGTATTTCTGATTATTGATTGTATTTTAACTCTATTTAAAACCTTTTAATTTGAAATCTATATTTAGTCAGCAATTCGTCCTTCTATTTAGGTACCTATTTGACTGTTTATTCAAATTCTCGTCTGCTCTTATCATTTTATTGTGGTACTGTATTTTCTGATCCAATCCTGAGATTTCCAGTTTTAGTTTTGATGTCATGAATCTTCTACTGAATGAATTTGAACCACCTGTTCTTCTCCTAAGCAGTTTTGGCCTAAAAGTAGATGATCTCCTTCTTGGATTTGATCTTGAACGAGTTCTACACTCCAATATCTTATTATGCTTCAGATACAACTACATCTCGCAGTCCAACGTATTGATTGTAATCTAAGTCGCTTTCATTCTGATACAAGTATATATACCATCCAGACAATACAGCAAAGTAGGATGACCATGATCTTAAGAACTTCCCTCTTTTTCTCAGGATTCCTTTGCATGAACTGTATTTAATCAATTTAGATTTCTCCTATTATAATATACTACTTAGGGATTGATCAGCACTTAAGTCATTTATCGTTTACATCAACTTTTAAAATGTATAAGGAACTTCTGGATTGATTGAGGCAGTTAAAGAAGGCAATTCAAAGTTGATCATCGTTTAAGGGAGATTTGCTTGACTGGTCTTTTTGAAATAGAGATTCAATTCCATAGAGAAGTCTTCTAGAACATCATATTTCTTAGATCTGATTCTCAAAGGATTATTCAAGATGTCCATGCCTCTTTAAGTTGAACTCAACTTCTAGTAATTATAAAAGTAATGAATGGATGAAAAGTATTGCAATTAAACTGATTTTAACTTCATTATGTAATTTTCATAATTCTAAGCTTTATGCTGCTTCTTTTATTTTGTCCCTTATGGGTTGGACAATTATGGTTGTAACAAATTTTGGATAGAAGTTGATTTTTCCAAAGGATTGATTGAATTCACATTATTAAAATTGAATTGATTTACCAACTAATTTTTTTCGTTGTGGATTTTCAAGATAGACTGCTCTGCTCCTTTTTATTTTCCGATGCTTTCTCCACTTAAGCCCAATCTTCTGTAATGATCCGACCCTAACTTGATAAACCCTGGAACCTGTCTATCATCAACAGTGATTATTTCAAAGTCTCCTAATTTCAATACCCAGCAATCTGAATGTAAATCATTAATTTATTGATTGGGAATGATAACAATAGGGGATTGAATAGTAATGTTGATATAATTTTTGGTTTAAGTTTCCATTTTCTTATCTGAATCTGGATCATCCCTTTTGTCTTTCTACTCCTTCTTATTCTTGTTTGCATTTTCTTTCACTTTGCCCTCCTGTTGTCTATCATCTTGAGGAGGCATTCTAAAATACGCAATCACTCTTTATAAAGAGGCTACAAAGACCATGAATTCAATCTTTTGTACATCCAAATAGATACTACTGAAATAATTTGGTTTAGACAAGGGATGCTTTTCTAACTTAAAGTAGATGAGGGGTTTTTCTTAAATATCATAACTTTTTATCTTCTTCACAATAGGTACAATTATATCATTCTTCTCTTCAACACTAAACATCTACACCTCCATGTCTTGTATAATTTATTCCAGTTCAAAATTATTTCTCCTCTTTTACAAAAAGTAATCAAAATTCTTCCACAATATTGTGAATCCTTCCTCCAAGTTCTTATGCTTCCTCAACAATTTTAGACTGCCTTTAACAATAGACAATCTAAATTCCAAATACACATAAGTTTCTTCATCCATTAATGCCGATGGTTTGTATGCTTTTTCTATTTCTTTCTTGAATGCCTATTCAATTTGATGGTGCTCTTTGGCTCTCTCGAATATTTCTAAAGCCTGTTTGGCCCACATTTATAAGGTAGTTATTGAGGTCTTTATCACAATTTATTGATACTGTCTTAACTCTCTGCGTTACGATTTCAAGAGAGCTGATGGAGTGGTTTTTCTTTGGAGTGCATTCATTTCGAATTCAAGGAATCTTTTTCTTCTAATTTCAAGGATCTAAGTCTTGACGAGATACTGAAATAAGGACCTGAGGTAGAGAGAATTGTTGTCCATTTTAAGAAAATCTTATTGATAAGGTCTCATAACAGATGTAAGATATAAGTCCATCTGCTATTTTGCTCTGTATTAGTAGAGATTAAATATGGATACTAGTTTTAAGATCTCCTTATATTGGGTATGCTTGATTTTAAAATCCATTTCTTGTAATTCCACCTTAATTTTGTATTTTGGGACTTTTCGAAAATGTTAATATGTTTGTACAACATTGGCCACTGCATTGAGACAAAAGATGTATTTAGAGGATTTGGATGTTTTGATTCCCATGGTCAAATTATCTGGCTCATAGACCAATTCCTATTAGAGTCTGGACTGTATTCTAGCCTGCATTTTTTCATCTATCTGATAGACTGTGCGTTGATGAAGATCCAGGTCAACTTTGTAAGGGTCCATTTTGCTCACCACCTTTTGGAGATCAACATTCTTGTATTGTTATGGTTTAATGATGCTACTCAAAATGAGATAATGATCGTCGGAATTCCAATACATTGCCAATTTGGATAATTGCATTTGTTTGTTGACAAAGGTCGAGTCCTTGCGATCGTGAATGTAGGGAGAAGATGTTTATGAAATTTTCCATTCTGAATCTACTGTCTATTAGGTTATATGATTTATAGTGATGCCCCATGAAAAAGAATGCTTGCTAATACAATGTTCATATCGAAAATGCACATCAGAAATTGATATGTAAAGATTATCGAATATTCTGGTTATTTGTTTTTGAAAAAACCCAGCCTCTTTTTGATCTGACTCTTGGTTATCCGTCGTCGGCTCTTATTTCCTGATTTCTTCATCCATCAGCTTCTTAATGTAGGCTCTAACTTGGGCTGCCTTTGGCTCGTAATAATTCATCTCTTCCAATCCCCACATCTCTTCTGAAATAGTGGTGACTAACAGGAATACACTATGGATCTTTATTTCTGTTCTTTAACTCGTCAACTTGTTCCACGGAAGATTTATTTCGATTCTCTGTATTGAACTGTACACCAATTCAATCGGCAATTGCAAGGCTTCAAGGGCTTCCTTCTTTATCGAAACATTCTCAATAACCAAATTCCCCTTCAAAAAAGACAAATTAATTTGTTTCTTGTCCAGTCCATCGATAAACCGTCCGAAGATGGCTAACAATACTTTCTATATAAGACCTTCAAACATTTAATATATATTAATTCACAAACAACTTACTACTTACCGAATCATCTAATTCTAAAATTCAATCTCATCATCTCTATAGATAATCGTCAGTTATAAATATTCAATTAGTAAATTTCAATTCCCCCGCTTTGTGGTTAATTAAATTATGTACTACATTACCTTCGTACTACCTAGTTCTTCATTTAAATTTGCACTCCTTAAATTGCAAGAAAAGATATTACAGTACTACTTCAATTAAAATCTCCTTAATAATGGTGAATATATATATATATAATATCAAAAACTCAACGCCTTATTTTCTTAGATATGGATCTTTTTGCCTTATCCATCTCTTGTAAGACTCTCTGCATGTTTTCACGATGCTCCAATTTATCTATATTGACGATCTCCATAACATGCACCTGGAATCTATTGTTGGTTTCTGCTATCAACTCTACTTCATTTGACAAATTGTTCAGTCGGTCATCCAAAGTCTTGAGCAACTATTGGACTGCCCCGAGATCACCCTCTGAACACTCACTGCTCTTCTTTTTTTAATTCCTTTTATTAATCTAATCACTCTTCTCCAAATTAATTGTGAGTTGTGACAGCACCTTCTCACTTTGTTGAAGAACATTGGTTAATTGGTTATTGAGTTGAGTGTTTTACTCAATCAAAGGTCGTATTGCTTTTTCTTGATCATTTATGACATTTTAGAAGTCATTGAACTTGACTACCATCATTTGTTGCAGTTGCTCTAAAATTCTATACACTTCCGATATTTGAGGTACTTGTTGTTCCTAATAGAAAGATTCATTCAGATTCTGTCTCTTAGTTGAACCAAGGAATTAGCTAATGTTCTCCTTTTCATATTGGGTTTATGAAAAGGATTTTGTTTGTTGGGCTTGCAATTAACTAAATAACTGAAGTTCTGTACTTGTGGAACGAAATATTCATGGGTTGTTGTTACTATTGTAAAGGTTGTTGACCTCTTCTGAAAGCTTACGAAAACATTTTACTTCAAAAATTAAATTAAAAATAATTTCTATTTGCACTTTAATAATTAATACGGAGTTCATACCTAACTTAGATATTCAGTCGTAAAATTAAGGTAGAAATTAGTTGACAATTTATCAACCACTTCTAATCCAATTCTTGATCCTAATAAAACTATCAATCAAACTATGAAACTCAGATATCCAAACACAAACAAATTTTAATATTGCCATCAAATCCTTTATAAGACTTCATAATTGGTCTTTGAAATACCCATTGAGATTCTATTAAGAAAGTGGAATGCCTATTTATTTTGCATAAATATTTTTATTTAATATTAAAGAAAATTAATTCATGGAAACATTTACAAGAGGACCTCTACGTTTGACAGACAAGGAAGTTGACGATTTGATGAAACGATAACCACATCTGTTGAAATAAAGTTATGAACAAATACCAAGTTTGACTCCCAATTCTCAAGAAGTAATTAGTAGATAGGCTACAATCAACGTGGGTACAATCGGACATGTGGCTCATGGAAAGTCCACTCTAGTGAGATCTGTATCAACTATTAAGTATTTGACATGCTAATACTTTAAAGCACTGTGCGTTTCAGATAAGAGAGAGTCAGAAACATCACAATTAGATTGGGCTATGCCAATGCGAAAATCTTTAAATGTCCAAAATGTCCTGAACCTCAATGCTATTAATCCTTTTCGAGCGAGAAGGAAGACAATGCTCAATGCGAATTATGCAAGGAAGTGATGACTTTAGTCAGACACATATCCTTTGTCGATTGTCCAGGACATGATATTCTGATGTCAACAATGTTAACTGGTGCTGCTGTCATGGATTGCGCATTACTCATTGTAGCTGCCAACATGCCTTGTCCTCAACCTCAAACTCAAGAACATCTGGTTGCCTTGGTCATCACTAAATTGAAATATGTCATCGTCATCCAAAACAAAGTAGATATTATCTTTAGAGATCAACAGGTAATTTCATTAATAATGAAGCAAGGCTGCTCTCAGAAATTACGAAGAAATTACGAGATTTATCAAAGGAACCATCGCAGAAGATTCACCCATCATACCAGTGTCCGCTCAATTGAAGTACAATATTGATTGTGTTCTCTAATAAATTTGCAACTTTTTCCCCATCCCAGATAGATAATTGCAAGTACCACCCAAAATGATCATTATTAGGTAATACATATATTTATAATTATAGATCCTTTGATGTCAATAAGCCTGGTGAAAAACCAGAAAACTTACATGGAGGTGTAGTAGGAGGTTCAATCCTTTAGGGAATCCTCTCAGTTGGAGATGAAGTTGAAATCAGACCAGGAAGACAATCTAAGAATGGAAATCAAACTACTTGGCATCCTATTACTACCAGAGTTGTCTCTCTCTATGCTGAATAAAATGAATTAGTCTATGCTGTCCCAGGAGGACTTATTGGTGTTGGATTATTGATTGATCCATCCTTGACTCGTAACGACAATCTAGTCGGATGCGTTTTGGGATTCCCTAAATAATTACCTGAACTCTATAGAGAATTAGAAGTAAGATAGTATATAACATATTATTTAGATCAATTATTATTTGATGGTCTCAGTCGTTGGTGCTCAATAACAGGATGGAAAAACCCAAAAGATCGCCAAGATTTAATAAGATGAAATGTTGAAATTCAATGTCTTGTCAAATGAAACACCAGGAAGAGTCATTGAAGTCAGAGAAGATGTATCATTAATATTCATTTTATTAGAAAATAATGAGAGTGGCTCTCAATAATCCAGTATGCACTGGTTTGTAAGAGAAAGTGGCATTCAGCAGAAGATTAAACAATAAATTTAGATTGATTGGTTGGGGTATTATAACAGACGGAAGAACAATCACATTATGAAATGTAAAATATAAAAAATATATTAACAATCTAATCAAACTCCTTTTATGATATTATAATGTCCTTAATATTCAACTTAATATAAGAATTCCCCATTTTTAATTCTATGTATTGGACAATAGAACACAAGTTAGATTCATTGTTTTTTAGTTCTTTTTAGGGTTTTAAGTGGTATGAGATATTGATTTATTTTATAATTTTGTAAATAAAATAAAACATTATTTATTCTAGTAACAATAAATTTATATGGATTATATTGTAAATTATTATTTTGGTTGTAATTTAGTTTAGGTAATTCTTTCTTTATTTAGGAATAATTTGGAATAAATAATTTTAGTATTGTGCCTATTATCTGATAAGTTAATTAGACTTATGAATAGGATTCAATTTTATTTAGCTAATTCTTTAAATTAGCTCTCTTTTTTATAATCTCTTGAAACTATTTTATTAATTTGTCTTGAAAGGATAAAAATTTATTTACAAAGGAGTACATTTATTAATTATGACAATTTATCCATTTTCTTAATTAAATAATTAAAAGGAATATTTTATGGAAAATTATCAATTCGAAGGTAGAGATATTCTTAGTCAAAGTGCACAATCAACATTCGAATATCAAAATGAATTGTTGCAATAGTTTTAGTTTGTTTAAAATGAAACTCTACTGTTTATAAATATTGAAGAATCAGACTAAGAAGTAGACATAACTAAATAGAAATTAGTCAAAACATAATTATTCTGCAGAAGAGCTTCCATTTAAGAATCATAAGGCAGTTCATCATAACAAAATCAAATACATACTAATCAACCAATAATCATATAACCAGAACAGTAAATTTAAGAAAACAAATAGATAAACGTTAAACAAATAAAAAGACTGACGAAAAGAAGTCAGACTGCTTTTAAGAAAGATTTTGGATCTTTTGCAAAACAAAATGGGTCAAAAATATTTTTAAAGCGAGCGAATTAAGCAATAGTTAATAATTTTGAAAAAATAAGAAAATAAAAATCAATTATTACCAATAATATCAACCAATTTGGAAAATCACATCTTCGAACTATTTAAGTTAAGTACTTTAGAACTAATCTCTCAAAAGTCCTATTTATTGAAAAAGAGATGACTGCAATAGAATTTATTGTACTTGCATTAAAAGAGTACACTCTTGAAAGGAAGTTTGATTAAAATTTATTTGAATTCAAGAATTACACTCTAGCTTATCAATTGGAGACTTTAGAGGATCAATTCGAAATAGATGAAGATCGCTTCAGAAGACCTATATAAAGAGCAAAAAGTGTTATTCAAAATGAAGAAGATATTATTGCTGTTAGAAGAGCCAGCTGCAATGAAGTATGATAAGAATATTAACTATAAAGAGAGCAATTTCATTCTAGGTTGAACATTCTTACTCTGATTATGAAGATAAAACTATCACTATTGATTACCCAGTTGTTTTGAGTTGTAAATAAGTAGATATTGTTGTAAACTAAACTTGTTAACTAACCTTTGGGATAGATCTTTAAACTCTTAAATAAACATATGAATTATTTCCTGAATATATCATATTATTAATAGAAGATGCTTAAACTCAGTCTAAATTATAAATGAAGTGTCTCAATAATTCAAGAATTGAGAATGTATTTGATTCGTTCAATAATGGACTGAAGAGCCAAAGATCTCACAAAGAATACTTTTTAAGATTAAAATACCCATGTATCCATACAGGTATTGGCCCATTAAGCTTGAATACTCCTGTTAATTAATTGCCGATTCATTGGTTAGTTTTGGAAAAAAAATATAGAATCGAATATCAAACACCAAATCTAATGGATTTAGGTAGGAAATTTTCAAATTTCAAATAAACAAATTATTATGAAGATGGATTTATCTCTTGTGTAATCAACAAGATTCGCAACTGAAAATGGAATCAATAAATTATTTATCTTCATTATATTCTTATTAAGAGTTTTAATTGATGCAATTAAAGTAGAGATAGCAATATCAAGTATTAATTGGTATTGATTATTTTGACATTCGAATCATCTATATCAATCATTAGAATAATACCCTATTCTCTCATTCTTCTTTGCTCTAGTATTTAACAAATTATATTGTAGATATGTTCAAAAGTAAAAAAAAAGAAGAGAAAATAATTAAAATAAAGTCAATCAAATTATGCTCCTTAGATAACAAATAAACTAAATTCTATTTCACTTATAAAAATTCAGTCAGTAATTTTAAACAATTATGCTTTATTCCAGAATAAAGCAATGATAAAAGATCTTAAGCTAAATTAAATAACTAATTTTTGGAACTTTATTAAAAATTAGATTAATTAGTAGAATTGAGAAATAATCATTTATAGGTAGATGAAAATTTAAAATGATTAAATAATATAAGTATTATTATTGAATAATTAATATTTTTAAATTAAAAGATATAAGTGAAATTTTTGTTTAATTATAATGTGCTGAAAATTATTATTCTAGGTAAAGAAGAATTCTAATATAACAAATAAATTAAAATAGATCCTTTATAATCTAAAGAATATTTGAAAGAGAGATAATAATGAAATTATTCAAATTTGAGACTATTTTCAAACATAAATTATTAAATTAATTTCTCAAAAATGATTGTTAGTAGGGATCCAAACTTTAGGTTCTTTTATTTTTGGTAGACCTATTTCTTTACTAAATTATCTGCAAGTTATTAAAGTTTCAGATATTAGGGAGATGTTCTTATCAAAATATCTTAAACATTGATCAGTAGGTTTAAATACCTTCACTTCCCTTTATTCTAAGAGCTGCTTTTTAATTTTGCCAATTAACAGACTACATTTCTATTAATTTATCTAATTTATTTACTTCTTTCTATTCTATTTCTTGTAACTGACTGAAATTCCTATCCCAAAATTCGATACGATCAATCTCTTATTAGCTTAAGAATCTCTTCCTTACAGCAGGAAATTCACTTTTTTATTTATTTGTTGGTCTATCTAATTAATGTTTTACTACTATAATTAAATTTGATACTATATGATGGATTCTAGTTTCTCTCAGGAGAGATCAATAATGACCTTTAGAGATTTGTTAATTGTGGAATCTCCTTATTAATAAAAACTGATTTATTATCAAATAATTCATTCTCCTTGATCTAATAAATGAATGAGGGACGATGCATTGAATTAGTAAAACTTGAAAATCTATTTTTATGATGTTTCTTTGCTAATTCATTTCGTATTTTTTATAAGTTTTTTTTCTCTTATTCCTTTTCACATTCAACAATTTATTGTGACAAATACTGTTAGAACTCTTTGATCTTTCTCTTTGTTTCTTAGATCTTCTAATGAGACTAGTCAATTTTCAAAAATAAAAGTTACAGTTTCTCTAATTGAACTGGGATCCTCCATTATATTATTTTATATTTATAACATTTCTGAATTGATTGGGTTTAATAATATTAATTTATATATAATTATTAAACAATGGGGATTCTTACAGTCAAGGGTTTGCTGGATAAAATGGTTTAGAATTCAAATTTAATTTTCTAAAATATATATAAATAAAAAATTACTTTCGTTATCTTGGTTATCCATCATTATTTTGAAACGGTTAATTGAATTGATCAAAATTGATATCATTTCCATTTTTCATTTCATTCATCTTTTTTGTTTAAGGAATGAATTTTTCAGGTTCTTATAAATATGAATCTGGATGCTAGACTTATGATAGATTAGGGAAATTTTGATTAGAAAACACTTAAATGGGAGTTGGCATTTAAAGCATTCCATCATTTTGCATCCAATTCTAATCAAAATCATCATCATATTGCATCATAGGAGGCATTCCCAAAATTGGACCAGAGTTCATTAAATTTGGAGGGAATTACTATCCCATAGGCATTGTTGGAGGAAAGTCTGAAAAATGATTTCCCATAGGTGGAGGCATCATAGGAGGACAATATACTTGACCATCAAATTAATTTGGAGGAGGTTGCATCATCATATGATTTTTATGAGATTACTTTTTCATTGAAGGAGGAGGAGCCATTTAAATGGGCATAGGCATTTAATGCATGTTAGGCATGTTAGGCATTTGTGGCATGTTAGGCATTTGAGCCATATTAGGCATATTAGGCATTTGATTGAATTTAGGAGGCATCATTTGATTCATTCTCATAGATCCAATATTAGGTCCCATGGGGAAAGTAGGTTCTAAAGGTTCCATTCCCAAGGTAGGACCAGGAGGAAATCCAAGAGATTATGGGGCTCCTAAGAGATTTGAATTGAATGGTGCAATTTGAGGACCCAAACCCATCATCCCAGGTGGGGCAAATCCTAATGGGGCTGTAAAGGTTGGGCCTGAAATATTGAGAGGATCCGGTAAATTGTTTCGACCCATTTATTATTATGGAAATGAAAATGGTGCAACTTTGAAAGGATCAAAGATTTCAGCAGAATTTTAGTTCATAAAGTCATTTTAATTGTTTATCATGGCCATGTCTTGTTAATTTTTATTGCTTTTGGGCTTTTTCTTCTTATTTTTCTTCTTTTTTTCTTTGTTTTTCTAATCATTTGAGTTATTTGGAAAATTTTGATTATTGTTAGGGAGTAATTTTTAATTATTAAATTAATTTAATGGTTAGTTCTAAATAGGAAAGGCTCCTCTAGTAAGAACTGAGGATGAAAAATGCTGATCATAATTCATTTAGCCATCAGAGTCATTATCTTACAATTAATTTAAGATATCCACGAAATCAGAAGACTTGTCTTTATCTATTAAGCCTGGTGGAGGTGCTACCATTGGCTAATTAGGGATAGATAATGGCTTATTAAAATCAGGAGGCAAAACCAATTCAGAATCATAGTTCTCTTAATTTTAAGTGATAGAAATGCCACAATTTATCAGATGCTATTGTAGTTTTTCTAACTCGCCTAATTATTAAATAGATATTTCTTTTCTATTTTATTACAATAAATTTGTACTATTATTGAAATTATGGTTAGTACTTATTCCCTTTCTTTTCAGGTTTCTTCTTGGGTTGTTAATCCTTTTTTGGTTGATATTCTTTCTTTTATTGCTAAGGGGGCTATTGTTTTTTAGGCTCATAGATGTACTACTTTTTGGGTTCGTCTAATTTAAAATAGGTGTATTATACTTTTGGTTTTTGTGAAAACGAAGCCACCAAACTTATCAGATTAATTCTCATCATCATCTTCTTAAGGATCTTCTATTTGATCATCCCTATTACGTTTGATTTTAGGCTATTAAACATACGCTTACAAATCATTTCTTCTTATTAAAGATTTCATACCTTTGAATTTTATTATATTTATTTTCGTATCTTTAAGCAATGTCCTAGTCACCTTCTTAAGGTGAATTTCTTCTTCTCTATTTCACCTAAAGATTATCTGACATCACAATTTAAAATAAAATAGATAATAATATATATATTGATTATTTATATTTTTTGATATATTTATGTTGATTAAATAAAAGTCAACAAATATGTCAAATGTTCAATTTCACTGCAAATCCGAAAGGATAATCCTTGTTACTGAAAGGTATCCTACTAGCCATTCGAAATTCTAACCTAAAGTCTCCAAAATTATTACATTTTGCTATACTTCTAAATTAAACTAACTGCAAGACTCTTTTTGTTAACGTTATAAACACCGCAAATTTATAGGTTTCTAATCTATTTTTATAAACCTATTAGACTATGAAAATGCTTATGAGAATCGAGTGAAATCTGAAATCCAGCACTCAAATTCTTATTAATAAATTTTTAATATTCCAATTCGCAATTTCTTCCTTTCAAAAATGAACTTCGAAATGATATCAATTTTTTCTTGTCATTAAATTTATAATTAAAGTGCAAGGTCTAAAATTTGAACGATTTTTTAACAAAATCGAATTCCATGTCACCAGATAAGTCAAAGTGTTAATTTTCAATTTTCCTTGAAAGTTTTTATTGAAAATGGAGACTCTGATTATCTATTCTTTAGGCTATGAATTATTTAGTATTTAGGTTTACATAAAGAGAATTCATTATCCTATATTTTAAATGATTTGTGAATGTAAAATCTTAATTTGTCTCCATAATTACTAAAATTAAGTTCGAAATCTAAGGTTTTGCTGAAATTATAATAAAATGTAGAGGTAGTGCTCTTATATTTTTCTATTAAGTACTTCCTCTTTTCCTTGAAATGAATAATTTAATTTTGTTTATGGTTTTTTTTCGCCTTCAATTATTTCTTGGAGTATTGGAACAGAAAATGAAGTGGATTATTTAAGATTCTTTTTTGATGAATTGATTGTATGAGACACCTAACCATTTCCTTTCACTCGAATTTTGAACTTCCTTGATAAACTGAAGTCTGTATCAAATATGTTGTTAGACATAATTAAATAAATTATTTTATATTATGAATGATTAGAAACCGTATTTAATCTTGGAGCATCCACATGCACAAAACCCTGTCTTAAGTTTTAAACACAAAACCTTGTCTAACAACGACAAAATTTGGATTTCTCATATTAAGATTAAGAATCCTGTTGAGAATAATCAGTAATTATGTAATACATGCATCTTAGGAGTTTGGCATTCAAGGTCATGTCCACAGCTGCAGAACAAATTAAATCGTATCCCTTCGTTGGAATACTAAAGATAGGTGAGAGCAAAACAATCAAATTGATAACCAAGGAGCCCATTTTTGATAGTATGTGCTGTTTGTAATTTTAGAGGCTGTTAAAGTCAGGATAGTCTCAATGAATATTGATAAGCCTTAGGAAATAAAGGACTAATATGAAATAATGGATCAATTTAAATTGCTCAAGGATTAGATCAAAGACCTTCCCTCAATCATTCTCCAAGTATCAGACTTTATTCAATCTGAAACAGTCTCTTATGTATTATCTTCAAAGTACTAATAGTGATTCGCAGATTACTTTACCAAGCGACAGAAGAATCCCCATGTTTACTTCGCATATTTCATAAATGTAAAATGGAGAAGGCACTCCTGCTTCGGCAGTTTTGAAATCTATGATTAGTTAACGAAAACAAAAGGATTCTATGCAGATATCTTAAAACTTTTAAATGGAATAAACTATAGTGAATCTGTAGGATCAGCAATAAGCTCTTATAAATGAGACAAGAGAATTGAACAAATAGATAGTTCTTTTTAAAGCAAAATAGAACATTCCATTTGAAGAGGAGAAGGATGATCAAGTCAAATTTACTATGTTTCAATTAATTGTAATAGCCTTCATTAGTCTATTGATAGGGTTTTATATGCCTGAATTTTGAACAAACTATTTTATATTAAATTCATTAATATGCAAATTAACGATTTTTAAAAATGTTTATTAAAAAATATGAGAATTGTCAAGCATTTATTTAAATTAATAATAGGGTATTAATTATTAAGTTCAACTGAAATGTCATTATTCTTTCGCTCTGTACTCAAATAGGTTTTACAGTTCCTTTTTCCCTTAATCCAAACTATTTGTTTTAACTAAGGTTTTTAAATAGATTTGGCTTCAAGAAAGCTCGTTTTTATTACGAGATTGTATCATAATTTTTATACCAAGTATTCCTTGAATATAACTTAAATTGTAGTTATATAAAGTAAATATATATAATGTAATCAACTTTCAGAGGAGAATTCAAGCTTAGATTGAAATGAATTCTTCAAAATTGATCGAGAAGGTTTATGAGATCTTTCACTAAGAGAAGGGTTAATCCAATCGATATCATTGTATACTTTTAATTTTTGGATAGTTTTTTGAAATTAGTTAATGTTTTGCCAAGGCTTGTAACTACAAACAATCATTCTTTCGTTAAACTGAATTTTTGTGTTCTGATTTTCAAAAATTTCGTCATTAGGTTCATCTTCAATAAGATATTTCTAATGTAAACTAAGAGGAATCATTTGTTTCATCTTGAAATTTGGTGATTGAACTTGCATTAAATAATTTTATTTTATAGATTTAACATAAATGAATTTTCTCCAATTAAATAAAAAACGCAATAATGCGTATTAATCACAATCTACACATTAGTTCGTATTGTTTATAAATGATAGGAAATATATATACGTAATCTGATATTTATTAAAATATAAAATGTAGATTTATTCATTACAACTGGAAAATAATAAAAATTAATCAATGTTGTTATATGTTGGTAATTTTAACTCTCGAAATTCACGATGCCAAGGTCTAAATTTCAACGATTTATAAGTTTTAACGATAAATAGAAAGGATTACTTTAATTAAACAGGTAAAATGAATTATCATAAGAGACATCATTATTCACTTAATCCCCAGACTTCAAGTATTTATATACTAAAATCGTTAGAAGTTGATAAGATTTCGTTTTTATAGGTCTCACATTAATTGGTGTTCCCATGCATCAGAGAATGATTGATGTACAAACCGAACTTTTCTCCACATCCAACTGCCAATCCATCGGACTCACAGAATATAAAGTAATTATTTGCTTCTGTCCAATTGTAAGTTTTGAAATCATTCTACTAATTTAAGCATACACAAAAATACCTTAAAAGTCCAAAGAAATGTTTCTCCATTTCCAAAAAATTTCCCAAAGGTTAATTGTGGTGACTCATTTAAAAAGGCTCCGAACTTGCATTCATTGAAATCTTTGACTGCTAAAATTAATGGAGAATGGTTTTCACAATTATTTAGCAATGTCAAATAAGATGAACCATGTATTACATTTGAAAAGATTAATTTCCAATTAGATGTCTTATAAATCGATGGAACACATGCAATTATCTAGAATAAAATAAATGATATTATTACTTAAATCATTTCATCACCATCCAAGATCTAAGAATCCGAAACCATTTATGGAATGAAATCCTACCCTCCCCAGAGTTGATTGGTCCTCTCTATTAATTTCTCAGTCAAAGTTGCATCTTAAATATCATAAAAAGGGATAATTGTTAAATCTTGTTCCTTCTTCTTCTATTCATCAAGCATTCGTTCTGATTTCGTTTTGACAACATCAGCCAAGGTTTCACACAAATCAATGCTTTGAACTTTAAACTCTTTTTAATCATCATCATTTTGTATCTATATATTATTGAAAATACTTACTCTGAAAGTCAGAATGGGCAAAACTTCAAGCAATTTTTTACAGGATACATTTGCACTTATATGCACCATCACTAAATAGTCTTTAAAGCATTTGGAACTTGATTTTGCTATTCTCATTGGTAGTTCATTTAAATCAACTGATATCACATCTTCAGTCATAAGACATGCTTAAAAATTGAGGATGCTTTATTCTAAAATATAGTTAGCTTTGTACTATGGCATTTTTAAACTAATTCTTTATTTCTATCAACGAAACTAGGATCAAATAATATGACATCACTATTCACAGTTAAAACTCCTTCTATACAACCATAATTAGTCACATAATAAACATTGACTTTCAATTAAAATTAAATATACATTTTTTTGTTTATCCTTTCGACATGATTTCATCCATCAAGTTTCTCCCATAAAAGGACGACTAATTAAATTACAAGTCATTAGTTTCACCTTCCTAAATGAATCCTTAACTTTGTTCTTGTTGCACTGAAGGAATTTTAATCTTCATGCCAGGAACAAAGCACTCTGGGGAAATGTCATTTAATTTTAAAATTCTGTTCTAACTTTATTATTAACTTCCTCATTACTTAATATTAAATTTCAATTCCAATCCGAATAGAGTGTCATCTTCTTACACAACATAATCTACTAGGTTTGTCTCCTCCTATTAAAATTTCAGCTGTTAGTCATAGTTATTTAAATAAATGTCCTCTATGTCCTGCAACTTGAAATCTAAAATTATGAATAACTAAAGACCTATGTACTCTTGTTCTTCACCTTTTGTCCATTTCTCATATAAAGGGAAATATTCATTCGAAGTAAATTCAAAGAGAAATGTTTCGAATTATTAATCAATCTTCGGATCTTTAACCTCATTATTTTTGCTATCCTAACATATATACTAGCTAATTACAGATGATCCATAGAAATAACTAAAAATATTTTTCATTAATATTAATAATATGTTTTAGTAAATAATAATAAAAGTAGTATTTCTTAGTTATCAATATCATGTATTTAGACAATTGTAATTGGCTTAATGAAATTGAAAAAGCAAATCCTTCTTTCCATAATTCAAATGCAAAGATTTCAACTCTCTTAATACTAATAACAATTTTGATTATCATTATTATTTATGTATAAATGCTATATCAATGATGATGATGTCCATGAGCTTTTGGTGTAGGATTTCCAGATTTAACGTATCCCAAGACTTGAGCTGCCTTCAAATAAGTTGCGCCTTGGCATTTCTTGTCTAAACAGAATTAGACATAGTCCTTTTCTTAAATTTTGAAGCATGTTCTATAACATAATTCTAATCATAATAAAATTGCTTTACTATCTTCCCAATTATTATCATTGAGATATTGATGTCTCAGCTTATCTTAAATTGTTTATTATTAAACTGGATAGTCGGGCTAATCCTCCAAACCGTGAAATGATGATAACAAATCAAAGAAATGGATATGCCCTTTGTGAAAGACTTCAGGATTTTATGGTGTATAAGCTGTTGAATTTGATCTCATAATTATTTTAATTATTAATAAATGTATATTTATTTTAATATTTTATTTCAAGTCATTTTTTTATAGCAATCGCCTATTTCAACCTCCCTTCAAAATCTCAATACCTCCTTGTGTTGTCTCCTTTCAAGAGGTCTTACTTAACTATTATTATTAGAAATAAATATGTATTCAATTCTAAAAACTAAGATTGTGATATTATATCTAAAAATAGAACCTAATTCTATTACTAAATGCTGTCGATGATGTGAAAATAATAGTGAATTATTTAGCTAAATTGAAAGGTGAGAGTTAGAATCAAAAATTAAATTTTGATGGGTTTTTGAGATGATTACTTTTTAGCTAAAATGTTAAAAGAAAATTGAGCAAATATCTAAAAGTTTGAAAAGGATGGAAGTTCTTTGTTTTAATAACATAAAATAAATAAGATGATAATCAAATAAAATATTATTATCTATTAACCGAATCATCTTTTCAAATGCTTTTCGATTTCAAATTAATATTTGATAATCAAGAGTGAAAAATTAATAAGAAATGCAATGCTTAATTTGAAATGATTAATTGTTATTACCTAATTTATTCATAAAATATTTGTATAAATAAATAAATAAATGAAAACAATTTCTCTGATTCCTTCAACAGAATAAGTTGTGACAGGGTAAACTTGGATTGGTGGTCCTACTTATGAATTATAAAAGCAACACGTACCTGGGTATGCTGGACATGTGAGAGGATTAAAAGCTGGTGCTCATTTAATTATATTTTAGAATCATAATATGGAAAACCTTTTGCAAAGATTACAGCTGAGTGTATGGAAGAAAGATTAGCTAGATGTACAAATTCTGAAGAGAGAGAAAGATTATAAACAAGTTATAAGATCGAGTTTGGAGTATCAAATTAACAGTTATCTAGGAACCCAATTTAAGAAAACCATAACTTTAAACTGCAGCTGAAAGAATTTTAGAAGATGCTCGCCGATAAGAGAAAGCTGTAAATGAGAGAAATTATCGAACATTCTAGTAATTCTTGTATTTGATTTTGTTAGATCTATGCCTAAAACAATTAATGATATCCCCCCAATCGATAGATTACCAGTCGTTGGGTATCAAGGGTTCCGACCAGTGTTTAGACATCCATTAAAATAAGTTGTTCCTCCTGAAAAACCATAACCCTATGTACATCCCTTAAATCAAATGGACGAAGGAATGGCAAAGACTATGCTTGAAACTAATGATAGATTCAGATAAACTGTATTAGATATTTATAATCTAGTATGAACAACAAAAGCCTCCCATTGTTGGATATACTGGATTCATGACTGGCATTAAAGCAGAGAATATGTATGGTGAATCCTATAAGGATATCAGCCATTAAGTTTTATAAAGGAAGTAAAGATGAATATTATAAACCTAATTGATATAATTCATTCTAAATACTGATTTCTGAAATTTAATTACACATTCTCAAAATGAGCATCAAAATCTATAATTTTCCAATGAAGACCAGCCTTTAAGCAATCCTAAATAACCCACCATTCCAAGGTACTTGATGAATTAATGACATATTTAACATTTTCATTCAATGAAACAATCTTATTTAATACAAATGAGTACTTTAGCATTCAAAATGGGAGCATCATCCACCTCAACTTATGAAATTCTCAACACAATTGCTTATTTTTAATTAATATTGTGTAGCATTTCCTTAGCTATTTCACTCATAATTCCTCTAGCATTTGCTCTTGCTTCGTATACTCCAATAATCTTTCTATCACTTTGCAATTCACTTGATATCTAATGTTATGAATTGGACATTCAATTACAATATCTAAGGATACTTCCAATGTATTTAGACTGACTCTAGAATGGAATAAAGGATAGGCATCCACAATATTAACATGCGTATCATTAATTTAACCAATCAGAATTCCTATATCATTAGATTAATCAATACCAATTACGTCTTCAGTTGAATATTTGCAAGCATGTAACATTGCTTTTTTGTAAACAATTTTCTAAATATCCACGCCTACTTATTCTAATTGTTAATCCATAAATAATATTTTATTAAATTTATTTAATAATTATACAAATTGTTAACATTATTTTCCTGTAGATAAACCCCTATTTTCAAGTGTAATCTTAATAAAAATAATTGTTATCAATCACTCTAAAAATGGGAACAATCAAATAAATCATTATAATTCATATAAGAATTAAAACTATCATTTATAGATTAGGATTAAACAGTATTATGGGGAGGAAAGTAATTCATAGACAATTAAAACACTGAGCTTTCATGTCAGCTATAAAAGTTATGACATGAATATTTGTTTTAGAATTATTGTTATTACTGTTACATAATTTGTTTTATATATCAGTATGAATTAAAATCACTAAAAAAGAATTTATCTTGATTTTAAAGTGTTAATTATTATTTTTAACTAAAAAATAATTTATAAAATCTTTCTATTACTTAATATAATTATATTGAATTAGAACTATCTTATAATAAATTTTGAATATTTTTATGGATGAATATGAATTCAAACATATTTTGGTATCTTTCTTAATGTTTTTTCAAGAATTGATACTCCTGGTGGTTTATTTCGATGAACCTTTTATATGTGTCCTCCCAATTAATACGTACTCAAAAAGTCTTGCTTACATCTATCACAACGGTAGATTATAGTTTTTCTGTTTGGTACGATTGTGGTTTCATTTCTAGTTTCTCTTCCATCCTACACTGACTACACTTGTTAATTAGAATTTGATTGCTTAAGGCATACCTAATTAATTGTGGGAACTTAAGATCTGGTCTTTCTTTTTTTTTGAATTCTTTTTCTTTTGATCATTCTTTATATATTATAAAATATTAAAAAAAAAGTTCTTTATATAGCAATTTTAGGGATATCGTATCTTTTTCAAAATAATCAACCAATATTTTGAGAATTATAATAGAAATAGTTGGATCCTGAATTTTTCACACCTGAATATTTAATGAAATCTTTGAGAATTTCAAAATGGATCTAATCCTTTCCATCTATCCCCATCTCTCATCTCTGTTCATGATTTCTATTAGATTTTGAATTGAGTACTTCTTATTGGTATAAAGGACAATAACTTAGATTTAATATAAAAACATAGATTAACTCATCTTTAGTAATAAGATTATAAGGTATTACTTATAATAGTCTAAAATCAAACTTTGATGAATCGGGTCTGATAATTAAACTCATGAGTGGATAATTTTGAAAAAATTATTTTGATTCTTGGACTCATTAAATTTATTTCTCCATTACTCTTCTTAGGTTGTTGAACCCTAACTAAATTAAAGTGTGAAGTGATATATAATTTTAAGAAAATAGTTATATATTACATTTTTTTCGTTATAGAAGAGTACGATGTTAATATTTGAAGGGTCGTAGTTCCCTTGACATATCATAGTAAAAGACATAGAGAGATTAAAAATTATTCAATATTTCTTGATTTCAACAACAAAATATGGATTTTAACGAAAGAGTGAAATTCGAATTAAATAATTGAAAGAGATTCTGCATTCTTTGAATCACTTTAAATCTATGATTTTTGTGTTTATAGATGAAGAAAGTATTACAAAATAGAATCAAAAACTATGATCTTCAGAATTTTAGATTAAGTCATAGTAATTATTTATTGATAAATATTGATAAACAAATTATATATTAAATGATGCAAAAATTTGAAACTAAATTTTATCATATTATCTTCTTTTTTTCAAAGATATGCAATCTTTCACTTAGGTGACGACTATGTTTAGTTGATGAACCAGAAGATTACTCAGTGGAAATAGAATGATTTCCTTATTGAAACTCATATCCTTAAAATTGATCTGTTATTAATATGAAAACTATTACCCTAGATAGTTTAATCTCTTAAGACTAAAATATTTTATTAGATTAATTCCTAATTTTCTTCATCCTCATCTATAATTTACTTTTAATCAAAGTTATCTTCAGTTTGCTTTAAAGATTATGAAGAATCATACATTTGGAATGAAAGGAGGAATCAATGTTTAATTTTACAATTTATCCCATGCAAAGTTAGCAAACCATGGGTGCTCCTTGATTTCTTGAATACCATTAGAACCTAATCTATTTTAAGGTTTTCGTTGGAGTAACTAAATAGCTTTGATTTTAAGGATACCCTATTAATAAAGTCCACTGCTTCAAGAGACCAACCATTAGGAATCTCTGTTCTTTTAATTGAAGCCTATTTAGCCAAAATCGAATCTCTAATTTCTTGTCTAGATCTTCCAAAATATGGTCTCTAAATTAGAAGATAATGATTACTCTCCCTATCATAAATTCATAGCCAATAACTCCAACAGCAAAATAATCAACAGCATAAGAATGATTTTACTTACACATAACCTCGGGTGCTAAAATTTAATCAATATCATTTACCCATATATCCAGGAGTACCACTAGTATCGCTGCTGTTTTCAAGTTTCATAATTCTAGCAATCCCAAAATCAGTGATATGAACATATCCTTTTTCATCAAGTACCAGGTTTTCAGGTTTGATATCTCGATGAATTATTTTATTTGAATGTATGTATTCTAATCCTTAGACAATACAGGCTATAAAAAACTCTTAAAGTTATTTTTGCATCGATACTTGTTGAGTTTTCATCAAATCTTCTCATCCTTCCTATGTGATATCTGAGATCTCCTCCTTTCATATAGTCCATCAATAAGTATAGGTTTTCTCTATCCTAATATGCATAGTTCATATTGACTAATAATGGATGCTTTAATTGACTTAATAACGTCCGTTCATTCATGACAGAATGTACACTTTTTTTTGTCACAATTCTAATTAATACTGAATTTGTACAATGCTTTTGACATTTCTTTCATTGCGAATATTTACCCTGTTTTTTTGTGCTCAACTTTCCAAACTTTACCAAATCCACCAATTCCAATGACAAACTCAAAATTAAATGAATTTCTGCAGAATATGATTTCTTATTGAATCTTAGCAGAAGTAGAATTATGAAGTAAGTCTTTGAAGTTTACAAATTATTAACTCTGCAATTTAACATGCTTTTTTTGTGCTTACGATTTAGAGTCTGTCGTTACCTTTGCTATTTCTCTAGCTTTTGCAAGCAAGGCTTATATCTATTGGCTATTTACTGACTATACGATATAAGCTACATTACCTCATTAATCTTTGTTGATTTTATTAATCGAGTGAGACTGGTGACATCAATCTGAGATCCTTTGGGACTATGTAGATTTTTCAAACTATTCAGTCCTGATGCTACAGGAGAAACCTATTAACTCGATGGAACTATTATTGGACTTCTAAAAGTAGACACACTATTTTGTTTGAGTTTTCGTTAACCTGTTGAATTAAGTAGCATTTTGCAACAATTAATATATTTATTTACAACCAATATTTATTATTAATTGCTACATTAATAGAAAATAAAGCTAGGTAACATAAATTTTATAATAATTCATAATATGTATTCTGAATATAAGTATAAATATCTTCAATTAAAGATGTATTAAATTAAAATAGAAATATATATACACAACTTCTAAATAATAATAAAAGTTTATAATTGTGAACAGTTTTATTAATTTAGTTTATATACGTAAATGGTTACATCATGTAAGAATAATATAAAAAATCTTCGAAATAAATGAGAATACTTATTATATAATATGATCAACTAATCTGAATACCAAGACAAGAGTTCGAAACCTCATAAACAACATGAAAGTACAAGAGCAATGTCAAAACTCTCTTTTGCTCAGGAAGGTCAAAAGCAATCTTCTCTTTCAACAATTTTTGGCATTACTAATTCGATGGTTGGTTCCCTTTGTTTAGTCATTCCCCAAGTATTCCAGCAATGTGGAATAATAACATGCTTAATAGTGATGATCATTTTAAGCTTGGTTCAATACAAAACATGCTAGATTATGATCATTCATTAGAAGGAAGAAGAATTAGACAGTGAGCATATGATTAAGAGATTATTAGGAAAATCTTGGGTATTTTTAAATATAATAATCATAGACCTAAGCATTCAGAGTTACATCCGGAACTTTATTATTTATTGTTGGAATTATTTATTTTCAATTAATAAATCTAACACTCTACCCCATATTGGTGTTGATATTCGAAAAAAGCAATTACACTAATTATGCCATGCCTTCTGATGGTATAACTTTTGATAAGTTTTCAATTCAATGGTAAGCAATAATTATTTTCTTGCCATTGGCCTCGATGCTGTTACTAAAAGACATCACAAAAATAATCAAGTTTGCACATTACGGTGTTGTTGCTATCATATGTTATTGCATATTTATTATATACATCTTCTCAGCAAATATGATAAACATAAATGAATTTAAGGGGGATATCACTTGGTTCACTTGGAATTTCATTTAGCCAGCAGGATAATTTGCATTTGGTTTCATGGTACATAATTCAGTTGGATAATTGATTAAAAATAATGCAAATAAAGCAAATAATTCAAGGGACCTACTAATATCTTATGGGATCGCAGCTATTATTTATGGAATCATAGGTACATTCGGCGCAATAGGGATTATGGGAAAGACAGCAGTCAATCCCTCAACAATATTGGATTTCTTTTCATCAACCGATTATGCAGTTTTGTTTATTGAAGGCCTGTTTTTAGTGCATTTAGTGGCTGCATTCCCAATATTTCCATATATCAGCATATACTAGATATTGGAAACATTCTATCATAAGGAATACCCATAGAAATTCTAATGGGGATTGAAGGGAGTATTCATTTGTTCATGTTTAATTGTGTAATTGTTCAACATAAATGTGGGAATTGTCATTTCATTTGATGGAGCTGTTTGTGGATTTCTTTTAGTGTATATTATCCCAGTTTACATGCATTTTAAATGCTATTATGGTAATAGAACAAATGTTGGAGATGCGTTGTTAGATCACGATAGTAATTGTGTCAAACACAAAAACATAAATTATTTGTCTCTTCCTTTGAGAGTCATTATTTATTTAATAATACTCTGCGTGGGCATATTTAACATGATAATTTTCTTTTATGACTTTTTCAAGTGAATGATAATTTGTATATTTTTTACTATATTTAAATTAAAGAATTTTAATATAGAAAGTAAAATAAATATCGTTTTAAATAATTGCAAGTCAAAATAATTATTTTGGATGCACAAAGTTTAGATAATCTATTTTTTCTTTCTTTTCTTCAATATTATCATTCATTCTTAGGTTTTTTAATAATGAATCTTGCGATTTAAATCTAGGCTTTAATTAGAGTTTTTCCTTCGAATCCAAATGCTTTCTCACATTCCTGAAGGAGGCTTGGATTACTTATTGGATTTGCCTTGCTCTTTTGTCAGGATTATTAGATTTGTAAGCTTATTAATACATCAAAGAAATAACAAGATTATCAGGTGGAACCTTAGGAAGTTTGGTGATGGAATCCAGAATCTAATCTAAATTCATTTAAGGCAAAACTTTATTTGGACTAATCGCAGGTAATTTAACATGAAATGAAAACTTCCCATGTACAACATTCTTTGGAGATTAATAATCTTCTGTAGTGAAGGTCCTAAGATATTAGAGTGTAATTACTTATCTCTAATTTACTTGGTAGCTGATTCTAATTAGGAAGCACGATTTCCTTATTTTTTTAATTTTGCCTAGTATTATTACAAGGCATTGCTGTAACCTCGCTTTGAGCCTTGATCATCAGAGGCAAAACAGTGTTAGTCATCTGAGAGGATTCCTGCATCAGTCATATGCTAAAAGACTTGGACTTAACTTAGACTTTAGTTTGTGCTGTCATGCTTCGATAATTTAGATTGGAGTTTCCTACGATGCGAACTTAAGTAAGGCTTTGATAGATAGATAAATGATTACATCGGAATCTTTATTGATTTAGAATTTAGCAGAATTGAAAATGAGTTTCCAATGTTTAAACATGAGAACTGATTTCCTCTTCATATTTTCATAGACCAGAAAGTTACCCAAATTATTGAAGAATTTGGTCTTCCGTATTTTGTAGACAATCAATCTAGGCGTGATTACTCTGGCTTTAGTAAATCTTTCAACCTTATTGAGTATTTCGACTTCCCCAAATTATTGGTATTCTCCATATGATGATAATACCAAATGGGTTTCAGCAACCTTCTTAGACAATTCGACTTCGCCACTTATAATAAAGTATATATAATTAGATTTATTGCCTTCATCATAAATGGTTTCTCCTGCTTTATATGTGATTTTGTGGCATTCAAGTAAAATACCCATGATTTCATTGATATCAGTTTCAACTGATGTGAAGATCATATTCTTTTTGAAGTATTGGATCTTCTCTTCAAGTATTTAACTCAAGTAGGGATCCAACAGTTGTATGTAGGCTGCCTCACTCATATACAGCAAATGAGTATTCTCAACTGCGAAGACTGTTGATGCACGTGAACTCTCTAATTTGATTGCCACCTCTCCAAATGAGCTAATGATATATGAATGCAGAATTACTCTCCAGAAAACATCACTTTGACTACTAGATAATCAGGAAACAGGTTTTTTAACCCGTATGGATCTTGGGGTACTTTGCTATCAGTGGTTTAATTGTCGATATCAAATTCTACTTTTTGGATTCCAACCATTTTCTCTTTGGGTTTCATGACCACACATCTGCCATCCAGGACGATGTAGTAACGCTTGTTTAGATCTCCTTGTCTGTAAATCACATTGAATGCTGAAACATACTAATATCTATGTGGAATGAATTGGGTACCTCAATTGTGTGTATACTTTGTGCATCACCTCTGGGGGAACTTGCTCTTTCATTGTTTTAAAGGCTCGAATATTGCCCAGTTATTCAATCAACAATGAGGAGGTTGGAATAAACAGATTTGGCAATTGTCTCATACTCGCTTTTTGTATTCTTTTACCGAATTTCTATGGTTATTATTCAGTCTCAAGTGCTGGTCGACTATTCAATTCAGCCTTGATGCTTTCAATATCAAATAGTTTCTTTGATTTTTTCGAATCCTTGTTATTCATTATTAGCAGTTATTAGCGCATTTCTTCTTCCTCCGAATCGGATAACTCTTGGGGTTTTTGAAAGTCAAAGATTTTTTTGTCTGAAACTGCAAATTGCGATTGTATATAAGAGCTCATACTAATAACTTTAATCTCAAATTAAATTCAATTATAACCAATTTATATATTTATTTCATCTGTTCTACACAAACCCTTATTAATCATATCACTTGTGTTTCTCGAGTTTTAATTTGCATTCCTCAATGCAATAATACATTATTATTATTTTATATTAAATAATTTAATATATGTCTAAAATTAAGCAAAAGAAAAAAGCCCTCATCAAGCATTCAATCGACCCTGAAAACGATCACGAAGACCAACTCAGTTATGACTCCATCGATGATGAACAATATTTAAATCTTTTATAAGGTCATGTCCCCAAATCCCATAAAGTTGACATCCATTTGGGATCCAAGTATCAAGGCAAAAAAACAAACAATCAATAATAACACTCTCAAAGTGAAGATGATCTCCAAAATGAATCCATCAACAGTGATGAAATCCCAGAATTCATTGAAAGTGAATAAGAGGAATCTGAAGATTAATAATAAAGAAAGACTGTCTAACAAAAACCTAAAAAGAAATAGAATTTAAGTACATTTTAGAAAGAATTGTAATAAATTGAAAAGGAAGATTTGGAAATGGTTGAGAAGCAAAAAGAAAATAAAAAAGAATTGAAAGAAGTCGCAGATCAAATCAAAGAACAATAGCAAATTTGGGGAAATCTAGTTGAAATTAGAGAATGTATTTATTTATTATTATCATTTACTCTCTTTAGAAATGCAAAAATCATTAGACGCAGCTAAAAGACTACCTATTCTCAAGGATTCCTTTGTTACAGAACTATAAAAGTCCAAAGACTCGAAGCTAAACGATTTGAATTGCCAACTCTTAAACAACATCACAAACTTATTGAATTTGTATTCTTCTCTTTATTAAATTGATCAAATCAATTTAAATGATGATGGATACGATCCGAATTCATTAAAAAAAGTCAATGATAATCTTGAAGATTCCATTAAAGTTGTCGAAGATGACATCATAAGATGGAGTTCGAAATCAGCACTGTTGTCATCATTAAACAAGGATAGCAAATCATAAATGGGGTTCTTGCTCCTAACCCCTATTGGATAATCCAAGAAGGCCTTACAAAATATGGATAAATTAAGATAGAAAACTTAGTTGAAGAGACAGATATTCAGAATCTTGGGTGAGGAAGGCTCAGATTTGAGTGAAACCACCAATAAACATATTTTTGATGACACTGATTTTTACTTGGATTTATTAAAGGAAACCGTCTCGTTTAACAATCAAAACCCTACCGAAGAGGCTCTCAAAAAGGAAACTGAATAGTTTATATTGAAGAGATAGGCCTAAAGACAAGAGAAGGAGAATAAGGTTGTTGATAGGAAGGCATCAAAAAATAGAAAAATCAGATTTGAACCACATCAAAAAATTGTAAATTTCACTTCCAGAATTGAACCTCCAGTTGAAACCATATCCAGGGAAGAAATTATTAAAAACCTATTTGGTTTGACCTCTACGAATATTGAACCTCAGGTTTAGAAGAAGAGAAAGCAAAGTATTCATGATGTTAATTTGATATGATGCTGTGTTTATAAGTTTAGGCCTTTTTATAAATAAAATATCTCTAAAATATATATATATCTATGAGTCAATTCGAAACCAATTCACAATCTTAAATGCCCTTTTAAGAGAGAAGCAAACTCAACTCGAATCGTTAATTAGGGACTACTAACACGTTCAATGGGTAAAATCCAAAAATCTTGGAGTAAAACGAGTAATGATTATATTTTCTAATCTTATAGATCCTTCCCTTAGAGATCTACACTACCAAATAAGTAAGAGCTGCACTTAATTTAAGCTATGGGAATCAATAAACAAGTTCCTAATTGTCCCAATATCCCCAATTTAACTACCCAATTATGGGCTAATAAACATTGAAAGATCAAGATTAATAGGAGCAAATACAAAAATTGACCAAAGAAAATGACACCTTGAAGTAAGAGATACAATCTAATTAGGTATTAGTGGAGAGCATTAGAATAGGAGAATCAAAAACTGAAGAGCGACAAGTATTTAATCTCATGTATAATTTAGTATTCAATTAAACACAAGAGACAAATCAAATATGAATGAAATCCAAGAATTACAGTAAAATAATATACTATCTAGCTAGAGATCAAATATTGATGTTGAAAAACGAAAATAAAAGATTAACAAATACCATTTAAGAAGATCAATATTTGTTGATAGATTTGTAGAAAATGAGGAAACAAGCAGATTTTAATAGGGGACTTGAAAGTTAGATCAATGATTTAGAGTAGCAATATGCAAGTGTTAGTAAATAACTTCAGGAATAAAAAAGATAAAATGCATTTTAAGAATCTGAACTTCAAAATCAAAAAGAAATACTTGAAAAGTACAAAGCACAAGTTCGAGACTAAACTCTGGGGTATGAATAGTAAGTGTAGAAAAATGAGCAATTGTTGAGTGATAATCGAAAAATGAAAATGGCGTTAGATTCAATTAACAAAGACTTAAAACAAGAACAAGAGTAAAACTAAGTGTTGAATCAAAAATTAACTTAGATCTCTTCAGGGGCTAAGGATTAAATAACTAATCTCCAAAAGAATTTGTCTAATCTTAATTTTTAAAACGAATAATTGAAAAATCAGGTCACTTAATTGTAGCAAAAGGAGAAGGAATTGCAAATATCTCAAAATTAGAATATTCAGTAGGAAAATAAAATAAGATAGATGAATCAACAATTAAGTGAATGTAATTCTATTTTATCTAATATTTAGAATAGAAATAAATTGAATAGAATAATGCAATTATTTCAAGCGGAAAATTGGAATATACCAAATTGGCAACTAAATGCCAATCATAGGATCAAGAAATTTGGAAATTGAAGGAGTAACTTAATACTATGACTTAATAAAATTCTTTGATATCAAATAAATGTACTTAGTTGGAAAGGGGAATGGAAGATAGTTTGTAGAAATCCTCTATGTTGTCATCAGATCTAAAAGGATAATTGGAAAAATGGAAAAACTATGGAACAACACTGGAATAGGAAGTAAAGAAAAGAGAAACTGCTATTGTGAATTTAGAGAATGACATAATGAAGACAGAAGCTCAATTAAAATAGGCGTAGGAAATCCAGACTCAATTAAAGAACGAAAGAACTGTGTAAATAGGTAAATTAAAAGAAATGCATGCTGACCTATTGGTTTATGAGAAAAAGTGTGATTAATTGGAAAGGGGTATTCAATTAGTATAAGCCTAGACATTATGACTCTTTAATCTCAAATCAAAGGATCATAATAAAATTAAGAAAGATTGGAACAGGAAAAAGCGATCCTAAATCAAGAGATTAAATAATTGATGGAGGATTTGCGTAGAATCTAGAACTAATATGATTTAAAAACAAGGGATTTTGAGTCTTTGCTTTAGAAACATGAATAGGAAAGTAGTTTAAGAGATCGAGATTTATAGAGTCTGAGATCTTAAAATTCTGCTTTGACTGAGAGGAATATGGCTATGGAACATGAATTGACAAGAGAAAGAGTAACGATATTTGTCATTTACATTAGGAAAAATAATTACAATTAGATTCTAAGATAAGGTCTTTAGAGAACGAGATTCATAATCTCAATTTTTAATAAACTCTTAAATAGTAGTACTCCTGGAATACTGAGCCTTAATTGAGTTTAGGAAATCAGAAGCCAAAGTTCACAGAAGTAAGCCAAGGCTATCAATCTCCATAGGCAAATTATCAGACACTCAATTCTCCAGCTTATAATTAATCTGGAATTCATGTTCAATCCAATTAGAAGCCTACAGAAGTTTCGAATTCCGGGCTTGAACATTAACGTAACAATTCATCGCATCAGATTAAAAGTAAAAATTACGATTTGAGATTCCAAAATGAACCTTAAAATTAATTACATTGATAGATGGTTCATTATAAAATAATTTAATTGTTTTTCATGATTTCAAGCATCAAATCTTAAAGGGGATCTAGGGAAAAATATAGTTAAGAGCTCCCATTTATATCTCACAAGAAATCTTTCACATTTTTGAAAAATGGTGAGCCACAATCCTCCTAACAATCTATTCATAAAAAAGGAATTAAATCTCAATTTGCCTTAGAAACACTCTTCAACTATAAGTTGGTTCAAGATTCAAATACGAGTCCTGTCCCTACAAGTCAAAAATCTTATAGATACGATAGAGCCTCTTTTTGCACTTTTTTCCCCAATAAGAAAGCCATGCCTGTAAGTAATGAAATCTCCTTATCTTTAAAATCTATGTCTTACAAAGAAAATAGTTTAATGTAAATGTTGAATTAAATTGCATTCATTATAAATGAATTACGATAATTTAAAAGTGAAAAAGGATTAATCTCAATTATAGAAAAAGAAATAAATTAGAACTCTAGATTTTTAGAACTTTCATTTCTTTTCTTGAATGCTAAAATGTCAGATTTAGTGTAATCGGAATCGATGTTCAAAAGAATATATAAAAAATTCACTTATATCCAAGACAACCGAGTAACAATTAAAAGGAATAAACTGGATTAATCTTTTCTTTAAATTTTAAATGATTTCTTAAACAAATTAGAAGAATAATACAGAAAAATTAATGAGCTTTAATTTTTAGGATTATAAGAATCAATGAAAAGTTCAAGGATCAAACTGCAAAGTATAAATTAAATGTATATTTATAGATAAAGAGTTAGAAATGCAGACCTAATTTACCTCCCAAGAGAAAAGAGGGGCTTGTGAATAATTATAGCAATTCTTCAAACAAAAATTCTCTCTTAATAAAAGAATTTTGGAAAGTAAGTTATCTTAAGACATAAATTAACTTGAAGAAAGAAATGGTATTTTCAAACACATCAATAAAAATAATAGATTTATTTCTAATTAAATAGATGATATTTTGAAAAATATTATATGACTAAAACATTTAATATGAAAAAAACAAATAGTTGTTATTATAAAATAATAAAATTTATTGTCATATTAAAATGTTATCATAAAAAACTCTTTAATTGTTAAGAAATCACCTGGAAGAGTTCTTGAAACTTGAAAATGAAATTGAGAATAAGAGAGAATAATTAGCTCATAATTTATATTTCGAACCTTACACAATTTTTTGCAGATTAGATTATAAAAAGTATTTTAATGGCTGATTATTAGAATCCTTCATATTGATATCAATGATCTAAAGGTTTATTTTTCAGATCATGATATATTAGATTGCGATGATGATTTATAATTGCTGGTTAGAAAGATAGACATCGATAAGGATCAATATATATCATTTAGCGAGTTATATTATAATTTAAAAATAGGTTCTCGAGATATATTTTACCTCATAGAGATCAAGACCTAAATTAATTAGCTAACAGTAGATAATCGTATAATCTATTGGAGAATAAGTTGCCAAATTTAGTTGAGAAATAATTAATGTAAGTATTTTTAGCTGAGATTGAACTGAATAAAAGAATGTTAAAATAGATGCAACAATTGAAGGCCTAACCAGATTGGGACAAAATAATTGCATGGGAATCAGTAAATTCTGGCAGGAGATGGGATTAAAAAGGGTAATATAGATTAATTATGTAAGATTATAGTAATACTTTGATGAATCTAAAATAATGTGTAATTCTAAAGATATTGAAAACTTTATCTATAGAAATAGCAAAGAGAGGGATTATAGAATAAATTATTCTGATTTTTTGTATTTGGTTTTTGCTCATTAGGATTAGAATGTAAATTATAAGTTTTTCACACCTCAAAAAAATTAAAAATAGATATCAGATAAAAAGTCTAATTTGCTTCCTAAGACAAATTTTAGGACTAATGAATCTACTAATTTAAAGAGTGAAAAATATAATAGAAATCTGCAATCTTAGAGTCACCATCATCAGAAGCAAAGTCATGATGATGTTGAAGTAAGTGAATTTAGAATCAATGAAAATGAAGATTAGAATATCCTGGAGTTTTTAATAAATAAATTGAAAGTTCAAAATCAATTAAAAGGGCATTTGATAAAATAACTATTCTATCGAATCGATGAAAATAAGAAAGGTGACAATTAATTTTATAAATAGGCTTTATAACTTTGGATGATCTGATGAGTTATTTCGAGAATGTATTGCGTGCTCCATAATAAATTGAGGATCTTATAAAATTAGTGAAAATATTGGATAAAAATAAAGACGGTATAGTTTCTGAGAAAGAGTTTTATGAACAGATTGTGAGACATGCTTACATTTAATAGTTTTGAGAATTTAAATATATATATATATATATCAGCTATAAACAACCACTCAGTTTCCGAAGACCAAGACATCAGAATAAATCTTGACTATCCTATTGAAGGATCAATGCATCTAAAAATATGTTTTTTCTAATAGATCTAGTATCGTTTCTGGATGATATAGTTGTTCTATTGCTAATATATTTGGGAGAGATCCTCAAAACATCCTTTAGAATTGGTCTTGTAGTTTTTGGAGAGGTAAAAGTGCTTCTATGTGTTGATTATGATCTAGGTCGTCTTCTGTCAATTGACATTTTCATTGGTTTGGAAAATGATTAGACGAATGTTTTTTCTTAGGAAGAGATAGTTAGATTTATTTATTGAGCAACCTAATTACTTTTATATAGTCTTAGTATTTAATCATGTAATTCTAGTTTATCCTTTTTTTATATTTTATTTAATTGCATCCTGTCTCTATAAAATTGCTAAAATTTCACCTAAAATTGGTTGTTGTTGGTATTTTATTTTTTGGCAATAATTTAATTAATGACATCGATTCTGGAGCATTGTTATTTATAGCAGTTTCCATTTGATGTGATTGTTGTTGTATTATTAATTGATGATTACATATTTTATTATATAATTAATAAATCAACTCTTTATGATGATAATCTTCAAATGATGTTTGGCAGGGGGGAGTTCATTAACATGGATTCTAATGAAATCCAAATGCTTTTCATATCCACCAGAAACAGCTCCAAAGGTATGTCCTGGGAATGAATAGACGAAGTGGACTCCATTCTTAACTCCGAATGATTCCTCTTTTCCTCTATATGTCTTGAATTTCAATTCGTTGATTCTAGCACCTGCGTGTCCTGAAATTTCAAGGATTTCATCATCTATTTATTATTATTGAACAATTACCATCATCAATTTTGAAGTGTTTCTTGTGTACTTTGCCCAACAAATGTCCAAATGGCTTGAATTTTTCAATATCATGACCTTCAATGGTGTGTCCCTTGGCATCAGCATATTTGAAGACTGTTCCGATGATGTGCTCATCAGTGTATTGGACTATCCAATTAATTATGGAATTAAACCTTCGATTTCCTTGATTCTGTATGGTGCTGGATGCTTAGCCAACTCAGTCTTGTCGTCGAATGTGCTTAATCCTTCTCTTGGGAGTCCGATTGTGACGTGTTCAGGAACTGCGTGCATTTGTTAATATATATTATTAAAGATAAGGTCATTCGGATAATGGGATTTAAAGGAGCTAAATTGAGATATAGAAAGCGGTATCAATTTTCTTCAATAAAATTTATTTCTAGATTATTCTTCGGATATGCTTGTGCAATATTATTAAAAATGAGTAACAATCCATATTTTAATAATATTGATGACGGATTTAATATTGATCAATTAAATTGAAATAACATAAATTATAAAATATAATGCTATAAATTATATAATTATGAATTCTCTTTAAATTTAATTAGTACTTTTACTTCTTTTTGTTTGTGTTCAAAGTATTGATTAATGCAAAGAGTATGACACCTATAAAGCTTGCATTAACAGCGACGTAGAATAATGCATGTGGCTCAATAACAGAAATCTTTGCTAAAAAACCAATGACTATTTATAAGGCTGCAGTATAACAATGAATAAGAGAGCATGCGTCAAACAAATTGGCAACGCCTAAGGTTAACCAGCTAAATGTACTTCATCCAATCTAACCAAGGTCGTTTTATCAATGTATGCGAAGTAATTCCAAATATCAAAACAGAGGAATGCTTGAACAATCTGTCAAAATACGGCTGCATAGCTATTCAAAACCCAGAGTAGATTTGCTATTGGAAGGATGATAAATGTTAAGTATTATATCAAAATCAATGGAGTTAAGTTCAAAAGGATTTTGATTCAGTAGCATATAGTGCATCTGCTTGTTTTTTAATTGAGAGTTATTTAATAATACACAATACTATCTTATGGGATTTAATATCATATACTCCTAATTTGTATGACGAAGCAGATAGAATCTTGAAAAAGGAAAAGGGTTTATAAGTTGATGGCGATATAGTTTTTGATAATCCAAATACAGTATCTTTGCAAAACAACTATTAATTTTCGAATGGATCATATGCATGGTATACTATTAGAGAGTCTAAAGAAATTAAATTAAGCAATCGTAACTATTGAGATATATTGTATTTAGTGTAGAAATCGTATCGTTACAGAGTAGGATGTATAGCAATAGAAATATAAAATGATGCTGATTATTTGAATCTTTTAAGGTTAACAGACGAGGTTAGAGGGATCAATCATATTTATTGCAAATACTTAAATTAAAACCCAACGATATCAAACCAATATGTATACTCAAATAGAGTTTGCAAAATGTTTAACAAAGAAAATTTGAATAATTAAAATAAAATTTTGGAATTGGATTTGGGTTGTAAGTCCATCGATTATTTTCAATGCATTTATTATTATTCGAATACAAATACTTGCAGATTGAAAGCAACAGAATACGAATATCCTTGTGTGAATTAAGAAAATGATTATGTTGCTGATTGTCTAAAAGGTTATTGTACAGTTAAATAATGTTCCAAATTATCTGAGTATTATATGGATACGTCAACCAATAGATGCAGTAAAAGTTGTTCTTTATTTACAATCAAAACCTAATCTTCTTGTGAAGCAATAAAGGGCTGCAAATTTTTAGGAGCAAATAGCATATTTGATGTTAGGATTTGCGGTCCTTAAAATGGATGTAATTAGTTAGGTATGTAAAAGTCTTATTGTCGATCAATTTTGGATTAATGCGGATGGGATCAGCAATAGTAAAGATGTTTTAGAGTACCAGAGGAAGAATTTAAATTGATGAAATGCAGCGAAGCATATAATGGAAAATCATGCATGTCGGTGGCATTAAGCGATTAGGTGTGCTATTGGGATTTTTTGAGAGGCATATGTTACAATATTGTGGATTCTCCAATATTGATTTCTCATAGTGCAGTGACGGATTAGGAAATACTTATCACAGGCAGATATCGTGTAACTGTCAGTAATCGAAACTTTTGCAAATATCAATAAAACGTAGCATCAGAATACTTACCTCTTTTAGGCAAATGTACAATAGAATCATCGAGATTTCTTTATGACTTTAAGTAAATCAATAGTTATTCTTGCCTCATGTATTAATCTGGATATTGTAAATGGGATTCCTATGAGTAGATTTGTATAAGCATTCCTGAAACTGAAGTTAGTGAATTAAACTGTGTCGAGCAAGTGCTTGTTAATGAGAAAGTATGTCAATTAGCAAAAACAAATCCTGACATGATTTGTATGTATGATTCAGAAAACAATTCTTGTAAGGAAATAACAAAGACTGAATTTGAGCTTTATGGATGTGAAGGAAATGGGTTTTCATAGGAAGCATGTGTAAGTAAGTAGAAGCTTGGAGAAGTGTGTCAATTTTCAGCTGGAAAATGCAGATTCATTTCTGAATCTTACATTAATTCAATTCTATGTTCCTCCCTTTAGAATGTAAATTCTTAGGTTTGTTAATTATATTCATCTTCTTCTAAAGTGTGTTTATATGATGAAACCACTCATTCTTGTTACACTCCCAGTAGCTACACTATATTGAGTTACTCTGAAAACCTAAATCGTTATGGTTGCCAATAGGTCCAAGGTTCTCTTACCCTATTTAGTTTAGATTTGAAAAAATGCATTTAGATAAGTAATCTGAATACTTCTTTATTATCAAATTTAGAATGCGCATCAAATTTTGTAAATCAATAAACATGTTTGTCAATTATAAAAACTGATTAAAATTGTTTTTGGGATGCCTCGTCAAAGCAATGTAAAAAATACACTGGATATTTTATCAATTGTTTAGAGTATGCAAATTATAATTCTCGAGTATGCACAGCACTTGCCTCAGATATGAGCAAATAATTTATGAAAGACAACTATTGTGTCTTTGAAGATAACACTTGCAAAAGCAAATCAAATACAATTACAGATTGCGGAGAATCTGAATAAATGAATATACATAGATGTAGTGGGTTAACAGGATTGAGTCAAACAGGGGAATATATTCAAATGTGCGCATTTGTAAACAACAAATGCAAGACTTTAATTGACAATTCTATGAATACCTATATTGACTTAAATACAATTACTTGTCAGTAAGCTAATTTGAAGGCATGTACAAGAGTAGAAACGAATGGATAATATTGTTAATTGATTGATTATGTCTCCTCCAATATGGTTATAATAGATAAGAAATGTGTATCCATAGTCACGACCACAGAAACTTGTACTACTATCAAGACCAATTATGCTGTAAATTTGATTAATCCTAATCATTGTTCAAGGGCAAGTGATAGTTGTCAGTATGATGCAACTAATGGATGTACATCCCCAACGAACACTAATTTAGAATGCAATACTTTAGGGTTGTCTTATTTGGGATGTATACTAAATACACAAAATCATAGATGTGCTTTTATGAAGAGCAAATGTCAATATTTAACATAAAATTTAATCGTTTCTGATTGTAAATACTTAAATCAATTCTCTTGCTCTTACTATGCATTCATTAAATGCTATTGGAATGGTTCACTTTGTGCTGCTTCTACTAATGATACTACACAATATGGAAGTGAGTACAATTGTTCTCTAAATACAAGCAGTACTTTTATAGTCTCGGATGGATTAACATGTTAATTAATATAATAATCTAATTATGAATAATATTCCTGCGATAGTAAATTAAATCAATTCGCGTGTGGTTCAATACCAAATCAATATTGTTTATTTGTTTAAAATAAGTGCTAGTTTTATAGATCAACACCTTGTGAGGATTCCTCATAAACTTGCAGTGACAATAATTCTGTAAATTTGAAATGCGTATATAAAGATAGTAAATGTTTTGATCATCCTCATACTTATTATAGTTGTGATTTCTTTGACAAATCCAATTATCAATTTTGTCTGCAATACCCTAATTGTGTCTATTTTAATTAGAAATGCTAAAAAGTCAATTAGATATCTGTTTATGATTATTGTAGTTCATAGTCGTCATCTGTACAGAAATGTGTTCTTTAAAATAAATAGTTAGCTTGCTCCTGGTAATCAGGAAAGTGTGTTGATTTTAAAGACAAAGCTTGCCCCTCACTCAATGGGTTCTATTCATTTAATGTATGCCAGCAATTCCAAAATTGTACTTATGGATTCGCCAAGAGAGGATTGGGATTTTGTTATTCTGACAACAATTTTGAGTCTCTAACGTGTCAATAATTAAACTAAGATCTCTGTATAGAGGATTTAACTCATCTAAACTCTTCTCTTTAATGCTATTGGGATTAATCATGTAAAAATGTATAGAATAACTAAATTACATAATGTACTGATCTAAGTGCTTTTAAATCCAGTTATGGAGCATGTAATTACTTTAATTAAGAATAATGTATGTATTCATTTGTAGATTTCAAATGTAAATCAATCTCAGAATATAACTCCACTACTTGTTAAGGAACTACAGCTAAATAATGTTCTTCAATTCAGAATACATGTTATTTTGATGGATCAATTTGTTCAGTATAAGGAGTCTAAAATTAAATAAATAAATATGGATGCATTCAATAATCAGGAACTTGGAAGTTTGCTTATTTTAAATGCACCCAGATAACTGATGAAGTTTAAAAGAGTTGCAATAATCTCTCCAAGGATGCTTGTTTAAGTGATCTAACCAAAGAAATAAGTTGTTAATGGAAAGTGAATAGATGCTAGAGTGTTCTCTAAACACAAAACAAATAAATCACTTCTTGTGCAAATCTAAATCAAAGAGCTTGCTAAGATGTTCGTTTATCCAATGTTTTCTGTGTTTGGAATGGGACATCAAAAAATTGTGATTCTCTGACTATCTCAAATACAGATTGCGTTGCCTAGAATCTTGCAGTAACTACATCCATGAGTGCATGTAGTGGATAAACCAAGAAGAATTGTGCTAAAAATTATGACAATACAAAATGCACCGAAATTAATGTAAACCTTTCTAGTTGTAATCTTTATGGATTAAATAAATAAGCTTGTATTTAATTAACAAGTGTGCCTTGCCAATGGATCTCAATTAATGATGGAGGGTATTGTGAAGATGCAGATTTATATTCAGCACATTGCAAAGATCTAATTAATAGGTAAGCTTGTCTTAATGTTTAAACTACTGGATAGGTTTGCAAATGGGATGAAACAACCTTATCATGTAATGATCAAGAGATAAGTACCTGTGAATCTGCATCTAACCTTAATTCACTTTATGCTTGCAATGCTGTGACGGATGAACCCTGCTAATATGATCCAATCTCTATGTTATGCAGCAAAATTCTTTATATTCCGAAAACTTGTTCCATCAATTTCAACAAAAAAACATGTGAAATGTGTTTAGATAATTGTGTCTGGTACTCAAATCGATGTATTACTACTCCCTAAAAGAATTGTTAACAATATGCAACCAAATCAAAATGTCTTGAAAGTGACTCGATTAATTGTCAATGGGTAAACAACATATGTGCTGATTTTAACTAATTGGATCAAACAATATTTTGTAAAGATCTTCCTAGCAATCTCAATTAAGCAGCTTGCACAAACAATGCTCGCGATCCTTGCAGGTATGATAAAAATTCACCATCTTGTCTACCTGATTAGAGTATGTCGTTATATATAATTTAGAGGATGATAACATTAATGATGATGCAACCTGCTGATTATAAATCTCCAATTCTAAGTGGTAAGTGTGAATAACTTCTCATAAAGGAATATTGTTTAAAATCTCGTATTCCAGATACAGCGTGCATTTGGAAAGATTCTACTTGCCAAATGGTTACAGATTTGAATGAAATTTCATGTACTGACAATCTTAATTTTTGGGGATGTTTGAATGTAAATAAGGAAGGTGAATTGTGTTTTTGGAGAGATTAAAAATGTCTGAGATGGTTCCCAACCATTACTACATTGGAAAATGTAAATAAGAATGTATGCAAGTACCATAGTGTTAATCGTGTTTATGAAAGAAATTCCTGCGTAAAGAAAGACATCTCAACTATCTTATGCACATCTGAAGGAATCAGCAAATAAACATGTTTATCAATCCCAAATCAACAATGTTAATGGACTAATTAGTGTGTTGAATTCACTGTATCAAAAGAACATTAATGTTCAGATTTCAAAGAAGTATCGTCTTATGTTTGTCAAATGATCCCAAATATGGCTTGTGTATATGATGAAGGAAATAAAAGTTGCATTGATTTTTCAAATGATGCTGTTGGCTTAGGAGTTTCAAAAAAGGCATGTATTAAGAATAAGAGAATCCCTTCTCATTGGAATGGAACAGTTTGTTAAGTAGTAACTGATAAAATTGAATGCGATTCTTAATTAATCGTCAATGCATATACATGTAGCAATCAGGTTCATAATATACCATGTATTTATGATACCATCAACAATCAATGCACAAGTCTAATTAATGTTTGGTCATTGAAATGCAATACTGAGGGATTGAATTTTTTAGGCTGTGTTTAACTTAAACAAGAACCATGTATTTTCAAAGATAATAAGTGTCAGCTATTTCGTGAAATGTAAAGTAGTTGTATGTTCTTGAGTCAAGTAAATCCCAAAGCATGTGCATCCATTATGGATCATTATTGTTCATATGATTCGATCAATCACAAATGCTAAAGTGCATAAGTCCCTTAAAGTAATTGTAATATTGAAGGAATAAACAAGAATGTTTGCACTAAAAATGAACTTTGTCTGTGGAACCAAGATAATTTAGATTGTAAATGCAAATCTGTATAGGAAACAGAAGTTTGCTAATAATCAAATGTAGCTAAATGCAAATCTTAAAGCAGATGCTATTTTGATTTAGACTAATATAGGTGTGTGAAGAAATAATGTTATCATCTAAAGGATGATGAGTGTGATTAAATTATGGATAATAAAACTTGCTATAGAAGTCTTAAGAATGGATGTTAACCATCAGTTATTTGTGAAGATATCATCGATCCAAAAAATGGTTGTGAATCAATTTACATTAATTCATAGCCTTGTGTTTAGGTAGGAAAATTGTGTGTTACATCTACAAATTATAAATTATTATGTCCATATTCTGATTGTTCCAATACCAATTGTATTTTGTATTATGGAACTTGCAAAATGAGGACATGTGAAGACTATGATGCTTAAGATTGTCAAAATAATGAAGGATGTTATTTGGATTAAGAAAACAATTGTCTAGAATTATTGAGATGTAGTTAGATTACTGTAGATTATTATGGTGAACAAGCCATCAATATTTGTAACAAGTCCTCAGTGGGTGGTTTCAAATGCAACTGGTAGAAGTAACATCTAATGGATGATACTGAATCGTGTACTAATAGGTCTTGCGAGTATTTATTATTTATTTATAATTAGAATTTATGGTGCTTCTTAGAATATTTGTTAAGGAAATGAAATTAATGGGTATTCTTGTGTGTATTTGAGTGATTTGGTTTGCAAGTAATGTGAGTAAATTACTGAATCTTGTTTGTGCAATTAATAAAAAGGTGTATGCGTTTATAAGAATGGAAAGTGTAGATCTATTTTGTGTTCCTCACTATTGACTAAGGAGAACTGTGCTCTAGCTTCAGATCGCTGTTATTGGAGCACTTATGAAGATGCGAGCAATGTGCAATAGGAGGCTTGTTTAATAGAATGTGGGAAATTGATGAATGCAGATGAGTGCAACAGTAGAATAAATGAGTGTTATTTCGATAACTAGAATGGTTTATGCATAAAGGGGAAGAAACAAATTCCTGATTTGAGTTCTGAGATTTTCATAGAGGAGTTCTATTCTGTCATGCTTACAGTATTCATATGTCTAAATATGATTATTTATGTATGAAAAATTATTATTATTATTGAAATGTGAATTATGAATTGCGCAAATTGCATTGGTTGTTATTTAATTATTTTTCAAATTCAAAATGTAATTTCTGCAATACCCTCCAGATAAGAAAATTCAGAATTATCAATTTAGTTTCAAAGCCAAATTAGGAAAGGGTGCCTATGGTACCGTTTATGCTGGCAGAAACATCGTCGATAGTAAATTATGATCGTTATCAATTACAGATAAGATTGTGGCATTAAAGGTTGTGGATAAGAAAATTTTACAGACAGATTATGCAACTTAACTCATCGCCTCAGAAATCGAGATTATGAAATTGATTGAGGATAAGAATATTGTCAGATTGATTGATGTTTTATAAAGTGTCAATAATACCTACATTGTCACTGAGTTTTGTAACGGTGGTGATCTCAGAGAATACCTCAAAAAGAGAAAGTATGACATAATCCACCATATTAGGTCCATCCCAGAAAATGATGCAATCAATGTTTTAAAGGATTTGCTCCATGGCATTAAAGCATTACTAAAAATAGGAATCATACACAGAGACATTAAACCTGCTAATATCATGGTCCATGATGGCATATTCAAAATTACAGACTTCGGATTCGCCAAATAAGTCGATTCTCACATTGATACCATTATGAACTCATTAGTGGGTACACCACTTTATATGAGTCCTCAAATCTTAAAAAGACAATCCTACACATCTAAATGCGATATCTGGTCTTTAGGTCTCATATTCTATGAATTGATCTATGGAATCACACCCTGGCATTCTCAAAACCTAGTCGAATTAATGGCCAAATTAGATACCAAAGTATATATTCTATCCTATTCCACAAGCCTTTAGAATTTCCACCCTATCCCAAAGTCACCGAGTAAACCATCAAAATAATCAAAGGATGCTTGCAAATCAATGAAGATAAAAGAATTTCTTGGGATCAACTCTTTTCCTTGGCAGGAATGCAAGAATATGCCACACTGCCTGAAATCACTCCAGTCTTGCCTCTTATCCAAAAAAATACACAATCATAATATCAAAGTCAATAATAAGAACCAACTTAAATCAAATAAAATCTAAGTTTCTTGGAAATCAAACCCCACTAAAGAGTCAAACAAAGAACTGAAAGTATGGGAACTTATCATTTTCCAAATAGACATAACAGAAGCATGAGCAATGCTACTCCAACTCATGATTTAGATAAATCAAGTGAAAGACAAAAAGGAAAATTTTATACCAAAACTAAAATCTCCTACCTACAACCTGAATATCGTAAAATTACTCCTTAAAGGAACATTACTGCATATACACAAGAATCAGAAAGAGACAGAAATAGTTCCTTTGTTAAATTTACAACCCAAAGAATTGAACTTATCAAATTCTTAGAAAATGCCCATACTCCCCCTCTCCCCAATAAGAAATATTCCACAAACAATAACGATTCATTTAGAACTCCAAGCAACTTGTAATCTAATTCAACAAATGCATCAAATAGAAATGTGTAAGAACAAGAAAACTCTTCAAAGATAGTCAGAGTGAATGAATTCTAAATCGAAGAAAAATCCAGAGAACCTCTAAATTATATCATAGCTAATGGATATTTTAATACGAGCTCAAATTTAAGATTAAAAAGAACTTTTAGCAATCATTTCCAAGATAACGCCTTATCCCCTATAAGCCAACAAAAAAATAGTATCTTACAATTTATGAAAATCATCCAAATCTAATTTGATCTCATTCCAAATCATATCACAATTAAAAAGGATATCGACTCCTTACTAAATCAACATAAGATTACTATGAATAATGTGAGAGAGTAGCTCTACACTCCACAAGATATTAAGGAATTGAAGAATATTATCAATTGCCTTGTAGACTATCTTAATAATAACCCTCAAGATAATTTTGTAACCTAACTCTCAGTCATGCTACTTTTATTGCTCAATTATAATTAAATAATTCTTTACAATGTATAAACTAAGTCATTACAGTTATCAAAGTCACTAATTGATTAAATAAACAAGAACTAAAAATTACAACAATAGCAATTATTGTTAAGTCCAGAAATTTTAAGAGAAGAAATCAAAAAATTACTCAAATGATTTTTGTGATTTTTAATTCATTTTTCTTTTTTTTTATTCATTTAATAGTTGTTCAAATTACATTATTGTTAATTTTACCCTATACTAAAATCTTCCTTACTCGTATTTTTTGAAAATTTTGTTACTCCAAAGGTATACAAAATTATATAATTATATATAAATTAATTCTTTAAGAGATTTAGAATATTCGGAGTAATTTCAGAAGAGATTTAATTTTTTTCATTTAAAAATATATAATAATCTTCTCTAAATAAAATGATTACAGATAAATGCTCCGATATTGAACCGAATTTCCTTGTGAATACGAAGAGGCAAATCTTTAGCTCCGAAAATGAATCTCATATTCATTTAACAAATAAATAAAATTCTTTGGCTGAACAAGATGACGTTTCCAGTTAAGAAAAGTATGAATGTTTGTTAATTACAATAAAATAGTAGAAATATTCATTTTATCGAATTGATACAATCCAGAAGCTCAGCTATCCGAACAGTGAAAATTATTTCCCCTGAAGATTTTGGCACATTGAAACAGCACAGAGGAAGTCTCTGTTTTCAGTCAAGCCTACACAATAATGAAAAGTATTTATTCCCCTTAATCAAGAGTTTAAATCCAACTTGGAAAAAGGGAGGATTAAAAATAATAAAATATGTGGCAAGGTTCATCTATTAATTGAAAACAAAGGCTGACAAACCCAAAATTAAGCTAATGAATTTGGAAATATTTAAAAATTTGGGGGACAAAAGTGGGGATTTTTCAAATTTCAAGAGAGGGAAATAGAGAGAAGAAGAGAATATTGTTTGTTCAATATTTAATAAAATTGTAACTTTTATGGTTGCTATTTGGAATGTCATTTGCAGATATTCAAATCGATTAGCCATTATATATCCAGAAAGCAGTTTCAAGATATTTTGGGATTCTATTGTAGTGTGTATCATTGTTATCAACATATTTTACATTCCCATGAGTTTGAGTTTTGAATTAGACAAATCTAATTAAATCTCAATACTATTCTTTGAAACTATTCCTAGTTACATTTTTATAGTGGAGATAATGTTAAACTTTAATACTGCCTTTTACAATTAAGGCATAATACACACTAATCGGAGTGAGATTTTCTTCCATTACATCTAAAACAACTTCTGTTGGGATTTATTGATAACCATTCCTTTTGTGTTGGCTTAGTTCGATATTCCATATATACAATTTATTTTATTATTACGAATAGCTCGAGTGAGATCGATGATTTAAAATGTTTAAGACCTATTAAACGCCAAGGAGGAAGTATAAGCAGTATTGGAAATGATTAAATTAGTCTATTTTTTGGTGTTGGTTGCCCATATGTGTAGTTGTGGTTGGCATTTACTGGGGCGCATTGAATATGAAATATATAATGACGAGAGGAGTTGGTTAATCTATTATGACTATTATGATAAACAATGGTATGATAGATATATAGTTTCATTATATTGGAGTGTGATAACAACCTTGACTGTTGGATATGGCGATATAGTTCCATAGACTACAATAGAGAGGCTATTTGTAATTATTGTGGCTATGGTCTTATGTGGAGTTTTTGGATATATCATTTCAACTATTGGTGAAATTATCAAAACATTAGAAGAACGAAAAGCTTTTTTAAAGAGATCATTAAAAAAAGTTAATCAATATATTAAACAAAAATAATTGAATTTACAATTGTCATTAAAAGTGAGAAAGTATTTTGAATTCAAACATTAGATCGATGAATAGTTATAGGAATAAGATGATTCTATTTTAAATAAATTAAGTGGATAGTTAAAATAAGAGGTTCTGGTTGATATTTATAAGCGAGTTTTGCTAAAATCAAACTTTTTGAAGAATAACATTCCTGATGAATTGATTAACAATTTATGTTAGAAGACTAAATAAGCAACTTATGCACCTGGATGTGACATCGCAAGTGTTAATGATACAGCAACAAAATTAATTTTTATTTTGGAAGGTTAAGTTGATAGCTATTTTGTGTCCAAAGGATTAGAAGCACTTTGCAAAGGAGAGAAAGAAAATGCTATTAGTAAATTATAAAAAGTCTACTAGAAAGGAGATGTAATAGGGGAATTGGAATTTGTTTTAAATTCCTCATATCAATATAATTTTCGAGCTTCTTCCTTATTATAAATAGCATTTATTGATAGAAATGATTTTCTTGCTATAATATCAGAAAATGAAGAATGTCGATAAAAGTTTCACTAAACAAGAGAAAAGTTGACGTATTAAAAAACTTATGGTAAGACATGCGATATTTGTAAATGGACCCATAAATACCAGGACTGTCCATTCGTATTTTATTAATCAAATCTTGATAAAATTGCAAGGAATGCTAATTTCAACCTTTATTAGTATAGAAAAAAGTTCGAAAGATAAAGGGATGTGAAAAGAAAAAGGCAATGTTCTTTTCGTAATATAATTGTGTCTTAGGGATTAGATCTTATTCTTAATTTTGGATTTTTAAACGAAGAGTAAATAGTTAATTTTAACATAGTTAAATCAATGATCAATACTTAGCCAAATTAGGTTATGGAGTATTAGAAGATGAAAAGAGTAATTAGTTATCTGATAGTCAACTTTCATTAGAATCATAAGAGGCTGACAACATTTCACAAGAATAAAGAAGAAGGGTTCAATCGTTTGATAAAATGAAGACCTCTTTTCTGGCTCAGAAATTGAAAACAAATTATGGATTGAATTAGAATTACTCAAAAAATGTTTTCACTGAGGATTAATAGTAAACTCTATTATAAAACAGAAGAGTAGAACTTAAACATTAACAAGAATAGATAATAACAGGAAATTCTCAGAAAATTAGTTAGAATATTTATTCTCAAAATCCAACGAGATAAAGTAAATTATTAAAGTTGGATACAATAATTTAAAAAAGTGGATCGTTAGGTTCATAATAACTTGATAATAAATCTAAAAATGCTACAGATTATGAAACCAATTAATTATCTTAATCTGGATAAAATTTCATAATTGAGCTAGATTAAATGAAAGATTATGAATTTTATTTTCCAATTTTCAATGTTACAAACGTAGTTGAAGTCTTAAGAAAATAAAGATTAGGCCTACTCAAAATCAACAAAAAATAGGATTTACAAGATAAACTGAGAGCATTAAGAATGAATAAATCTTAAAATAAAATCAATATTCCATCATCCAAAAATTTAGAAGAGAAAATGTGATTAATTAAATTAGCCTCAATCTAATATAGATATATATATAATTTTATAGATTACTCTTAGAAATTCATTTATTTAAAGAAGAATTAATCTCTTTCTTCAAATGACATAATAAGAAATTATTTTTATTTAATTTTCTTGCTGAATTAATGCTACCGCTCTCTCAAGTAAAATAGAAGTCTAATTCATTTTAGCACATATACCATCGATAGACAAATTCCTTATTGCAAAAGCATTTTGAAACAAGAAAAAATTCTCCTGTTACTATCGTCAGAGCCCCCGCTCTACCTAAGAGGCAACCCTTGAGTGGTTCTACTTTGTGTTTAAGAACTCCCTATCCTGATGTTAAATTAAGAATATTTACTTAGGTATTTGATGCCTGTATTTTAAGCAAACAGAAGAATCGAAATTTGATTTTCTACATGAATAAGATGATTCATAAAATTAATAATTGAGTTCTTTTGCCGATATAAAGACAGATAAATTAAGCTGTACAAAAACAACTGCTGCTGAGAGTGTAGAGGAGGAGAAATAATAAGTCAAAAGTACTTTGCCATCTTAATTAGCTCAAAGAAAATTTTGCAAAATAATCATATCTATAAATGTAAAAACAACTACTTGATCGAGATTTAGAAATACTCCAATTATAAAGAACCATCAAAATTCTCAAAGATTAAAATGTATTTGATAAATTTAGCATAGAAAAAAATCACTAACGAAAATTCTGTCTTGAAAAAAGAAAACACTCATATCAAAATTAAAATTGATACACTTGAAAAAAGAATTGAAGGATCTCCAACACATGCTAGAATATCAGAATATATATCTGCCTTAAGTGAGGTTGATAAAGTTAAAATAGAGACACTTTTAAACTGAATAAATTTATATAAATATTTTTAATATAGTGAATTTTACATGTAAATGTTTAAAATGCTTATAATTTAAATGAAAAAAAACAAATATTAATATATTCTACTTATTCATTTATATTATTTTTAAAGGTTGAATTTAAAGCAATATTAAACCTGATATTTACCTATTAAAATTAATTTTAACTAATTCTATGAGTTATGTGTAGATAAATAATTTTACTATATAGAGGATTGTTGGTGTTGGATCAAATCATAATATTGCCAATAAAGTTATACTATTAATTAATATGGATTTTAGTTATTCTCTAATGGAGATTAATTCATATTCTAAAATACATTATTACTCTCTTAATTTGTATTTTTCTCATATAAATAAGTAAAGTAATAATAGAACTTATAGATTTAATAAAAAATTATGTAATCCTAAAATCTGCGTATACTAGACTATACTATATTATAATAAAATGTAATATAATGAAATAATTATTCTGAATAAATCAATTTGTCAGTCTTGATTGGAAATAATCTTTTTTAGAATACATAAACATTAGATTTCCTTAGAATATGGAGAGAGTCTATTAGGAGTAGAAGGAAATGGCTGGATCTATGAGGTGAAATAGAAAATGAATAAATGGGAATATTAAAATGTGTTTATAAATTCTTAAAACCATAAATATCTTTATTTTATATTAGTGAGTCATCATCATAAGGCCCATGACATAGCAAAGGTTGCAGCAGCTAGATTGAATGCAGCTGCAGCTACAAGGAATTATAATGTGACACCTAGAGTTGATTATAGAACAGTTGTGAAGGTGGATGGCCCATTAGTTATTTTGGACAATGTGAAATTCCCAAGATATGCAGAAATTGTTAATGTTTGTTTAGGAGATGGATCAGTGAGAAAAGGGTATTCATAAATGTCATTATTCTAGTTAAGTTTTGGAAATTGCAGGAAAGAAAGCTGTCGTTTAAATCTTTGAGGGAACATCAGGAATTGATAATTTATACACTCATTGTGAATTCACAGGTTCAACACTCTAAATGCCAATCTCTGAGGAGATGCTTGGAAGAGCATTCAATGGATCAGGAGTTCCCATCGATAAAGGTCCCCCTGTATTGGCAGAAGAGTTTTTAGATATTCAGGGTCAACCAATCAATCCATTTTCCAGAGTATATCCCTAAGAAATGATTCAAACAGGTATTTCAGCTATTGATTGCATGAACTCAATTGCTAGAGGATAAAAAATTCCTTTGTTTTCTGCTAATGGTTTGCCACACAACGAAATAGGAGCGTATGATTTCATAACCATAATTTTAGTTAAATTGTGCGTTAAGCTTCATTGGTAAAAGGAAAGGATGTTCTTGATCATTCTGATGAAAATTTTGCAAGTTGTCTTTGGTGCAATGGGTGTCAATATGGAAACAGCTAGATTTTTCTAAACAGATTTTGAGTAAAATGGTTCTATGGAAAGAGTCGTATTGTTCATGAACTTGGCTAATGATCCAACAATTGAAAGAATTATTACTCCAAGATTGGCATTAACAACTGCAGAATATTTGGCTTACGAGAAGGAATTACACGTGTTGGTTATCTTAACAGATATGTCAGCCTATGCAGATTCACTAAGAGAAGTCTCTGCAGCCAGAGAAGAAGTACCAGGAAGACGTTCTTTCCCTGGTTATTTATATACAGATCTTTCAACTATTTATGAGAGAGCAGGTAGAGTCTAAGGCAAAAATGGATCAATCACTCAAATCCCTATTTTGACAATGCCTAATGACGATATTACACATCCCATCCCAGATCTTACAGGATATATTACTGAAGGACAAATTTTCATTGATAGATAATTGAATAACAAATAAGTTTACCCACCTATCAATGTGTTGCCATCATTATCAAGATTGATGAAGTCTGCTATTGGTAAGGGTATGACCAGAGAAGATCATCCTGAAGTCTCAAATCAAGTATTTATAATTATTAACATCAACTATAGTTGTATGCTAATTATGCCATTGGTAAGGATACTGCAGCCATGAAGGCAGTCGTAGGAGAGGAAGCCTTGTCTGCTGAAGATCTTTTGTATTTAGAGTTTTTGAAGAAGTTTGAGAATAATTTCATCAGTTAAGGAGCTTATGAAGTCAGATCTATTTTCAAGTCATTGGATTTGGCTTGGAGATTATTAAGAATCTTCCCTCCTGAAAAATTAAAGAAGGTATATTGTAGTTAATAATTTCTTATAGATCAACAAAAAAAATCTTGAAACTTATTATTATAGAAGAAAGGAGGATGAAGATGACTTTGATGGACCTTAATAATAAAAAGAAGAAAAAATGATTGTGATGTATCAAGTAAAATAAGCATTAATCATATAATACCAAATTATAGAATTTTTCTATTTTGTTTATTTAATATACTGATTTATTTATCAAATAATTTCTACAAAAGCCTTTGGATGTTAGAAGGTTGTTTATTTTGGAATGACCACAGCAGCTCCTCTTGGTTATACTGGTTATCTTTTGGTTGAAATGACTTATTTATTTTTCTTGGCTTCAGTCTTCTTTTTGTCATTCTCTTGGACTCTTTTAACAAATTCTTATCTGCATTTTGATGGTCTCAAATGATCAGCTCTAACATGGAATCGTTTCTCCACATATCTTCCTCTGACTCTTCTTTATAATGAGACACCAATTCCTCTTGGATTGACATTGAATACTCTTGCAGTTCTGCCATGATAATATTAAAATGGAACTCCCTTGTGTTAAGCACCATCAACCAAAATATCGACAAAATCACCTTGAATTTAATTGCATGTAATTCTTACCTCTTTTGAATGTCTGAAGGGTCTTACGAATTGAGATGTTTCCATGTCCTCTAAAAGGTTTTGCAAATTTGCTTCTTGTGCCCTTCTTCAAACCATAACTATGAGTCATTTATTGATAATTTAATTTATAGATTTGTAATCACATTTAAATACTTAATATATAATCTATTTCAATAATATTCTCATCCTATATTAACTTTCCTCACTTTAATAGTATCTTGTTTGTCTGCCAATTCCTTTAACAAAGGTTTATTATGCATCAATTCTTCATTGTTCATTTTACTTTTTGGTCTCTGACTGTTATTTTCTCTCATCCATTTGTTGCTTTAAGATTTCTTAATGTTTGACATTGACATCCTTTATATAATCATATTTGGATTTCTCATGTTATTGGAATGTCTGCAAATCCTGTTGCCAAACTTAAGCTTGTTTCTTATTCAATTCTTCTTCTTCCTTAAGCCTCTATCTAAAGTCATCAGAATATACATACTTCTTATCCTCCATCTGCTTTATTAAATACTTTCTCATATCTTACTATTGCGATTTGATTTGTCTTTTTTTAATCTCTTCATCTTACTACTCAATTTCATTTTACATTAATATAGCCTTCATCATTTTATCATCCTCAGCCCTATTATTAATGCATATATTTACTTTATCTAATCTTTCTGATTCTTCACAACTGTCTATGAAAAATCACTCATTATCTTTTTAATTTTGTCTTCTCTTTCTTTTTTCTCCATCTCCCTTTCTTCCTCTAATTTCTATTGCAACTAGATGTATTTCCTTTGCATATCAACTTCTAATTGCTTGTCTGTTATTTCATCATTTAATTATTTTTATCTATTTTTTTCATTTTCTTCCATCATTTCCACAAATTTCCTCTTCTCCATATCCTTTTTTTATAAGGCCTCTCTTTATTCTTATTTCAATTCTTCTTGAATCCTTTAAACTAAAATTGCATCCAACTCCTATTATTTCTTTTTCTCTAAGAACTTCCTTTTTTCTTCTTCTCTTACTTATCGATCTCTTTGTTCTTTTTCCAATTATTATTTTTTGGCTATCTCTCTCTTCTTTTGCTCTTCCCTTTAATCATAAACATCCATCTAAAAATCTCTTAATTTGACATAAGCATCCTCTTGTCTTTTCTCTATTTCTATTCTTCTTTTCTTTTCCTCTAACTGTCTATCTAATTCTGCCTTCATTTTTTTCTTAAACTCTTGCTGCCTCTGTTACTCAAGCTGCTGCTCCTTAGAATGAAGTTCTGTGTCGAATTTAACTAATGCAGCCCATTCATCTTCTTCATCGACTACATAGACAGATTTTGGTTGTTTTTCAAATTGAGAAGACGTTACAGAATATTAATCTTGATCAAGTTCAGATTTTACTGAATTTTTGACTGATTATGGTCTAGGAATTTATGATCTCTATTCGCTTTTATTGTCAAATTGAGAATTATTATTATTTTAGGCTACATGCTATGTTTGACTTAAACCCTTTTATTTTTACACTGCTTCAATTACTCTTGCTTTCAACTACTTTAAAGAGGTTTCAGTAACCTAATTTAGAAATTGCCAATTACTTATTCATTTGTAAAGTATTCATTAACTATTTATTAAATTAGAGCTTCTTTGCTTTTATTTCCTTAAGCATAATCCTTGCTGAATTTGTTGATTAACATTTCGCGTAATTGCTCTCTTTGTTAAAGCAACCCAGCTCTTTCAATCGCTGATCTCACTCTTGCCGAACCTGATCGAACAGACTTACTTTTTTAAGAATTATTCATTTAATATTTATATTTATAAATTAAAAAAAATCATTTTAATTTCACACATGATGCATATTCAATTTACCTTAACGAATTTTCTATCTTATTTAACTGAAATCAATTAAATTTTCTTTAATTTCATCAAATAGTTTCCACTTTTATTTTAGTTACTAAAATAACAGAATGAATATAATTTGCTTAGATTATAAATTCATTTACAAGATTTTAACTAGCAGAAATTAAAAATATTAACTCCTATATATATATTTAATTAATTTATACTATTATTTATTATTAAATCTGTTTTCTTTTAAAAAATATGTTAGAACAAATGTTTACAATTGTTGAAATATTTATAATTTTATATAGTCGAGTGAGCTGCAATTTATTAAATTTGAAGAAAAATCACGAAGAGTTCCCACAATACTCGGAACTCATTAGATTTATAAGTACTTTGATTAGAACAAGGTTTGTTAAATGCTTTATATAAAGCTAATTAAATATTCATTAATTTAGAGATGCTCTACAGGAAGGACAAATTTTTTCAACTTGAAGCCATAAATTGAGACAAGCCTTATGGAAGGTGTGATTACAAGGTGTTACTACCTTCAAGTAACATGGGATTGGCATCAAACATATTGGGCATTAAGCCAGTTCTTATGTTTAGACGCAAAGAGATTCTATCTAAACCACTTATTGTTAGTAAGCAACTTCAGATTATTGTCTAACTTATGCTTATTTTTTTTGTTTCCATCTCAAATAGAGACATCTACTGATGTATGCAAGTATTCCAATTATCAATAATCCAATGCACAAAGCTATAATTATTATTATTGCTTTGTGGGTTGGAGTATCCTCGTCTTTATCGTCATTATCGTGGTCATACTCGTTTTCTCTCTCTTCTCTTAGAATTCTCGAAAAAGTTTGCATGATTGGAGAGGCGGTTCGAGATTGGTATTCCTATAATAAATTTGGTTTCATAATGTAAAAGAGGGATTTACTAAAAGAAATATTAATGATATTTATTTTTCATTAGATCTAAATTTAGTTTCTGAAATAATATATTAAATTGCCACAATGTTATAACCAATTTGATATAATATTAATTAAAAAAAAGTATGGTAATTAGGAAAAATGGATGAAGTAATTAAAAGATGAAATTATTTATTGTTTTTTATTTTTATTCAATTCAACAACACCCAGTCTTCTTTTTTTCTTCATCTGCACCATTATTTGGTTTTAATTATTATGGTCCATTTTAGGGATTACTTGGATTAGGTGATTTTTCATTTTATAGATTAGCCTTGACTGCCCTGGCCATTGCAATGAAGGCTTCTGCCACTTATGTACCATCCTTGGCTGAAGTTTCAAAAAATGGAACTCCATACTACTTTGCTAATGCTTCCCCTTCTTCTTTTGAGACTTGTCTATTTGGCACATCAATTTTATTCCCTATTATAAATGAATAAATTTAAAATAGAAACCTATAAGCAATTTACAAACATTTTCACTTGCATGTTGCTTAATTTGATTCATCCAGCTGGAAATATTAGTAAACGAGTCCTTATCATCAATGGAATATACAAGAATAATTCCCATTGCCCCTTTATAATATGTCTAAGTAATTGTCTTAAATCTCTCTTACCCTGCAGTATCCCAAATTTACATCTTGATTTTCTTACCTTCAACATCAATTGATTTTATTTTGAAATCTATTCCAATTGTTGATAAGTATGTTTGCTAGAAATTATTTTCACAAAATCTTAATAACACATTCGTTTTTCCTACACCAGAATCCCCTATCAATAGAATTTTAATGAGCCAATCGAAATTGTCCTTCTTATTTGCAATAGAAGTGGCCATAATATTTCAAAATGATAATTAATATAATCAGAATATAATAGTAAATTTTTATTTAAATACTCCCAGTTTCAACCTTGAAAATATTAAATAGGAGATAAAATCCGCAAATTAAGCATTTTTTAAATCAATAAACCCAAGTTTCGCAGCATAAATTATATAAAATTCTACTTTATTATAATGCATTATTATACCACCTATAAATGAAGAAAATGTAATCCTCAATCTCACTGCGTCTATCAACCAGAAATATAGATTTTATTCATAATGAATTGATCAATTATTTATATTACTAAAACGCTTAGAATAAATTTATAAAGAACCATTAGGATTTTTATATATGTGTTGAAAATAAATAACTGAATAAAAGTTAATTACAATATTCATAAGCATCATTATTGCTATGATAATTTCATAATATATTTGAATAATCTGATAAGTAAAGTTGAACTGATTCTATCTTTTACCTCCCCTTTCTAAAACCTCTCTTCAAAGAATCCATTCCAAGTAGTCCTCTTTCAAATTAATCAAAATCATACCTATAAATGAAATAAAATAGGATGGCTCCCACTGTCAAATGCAACTCAAATCCCAGATTTAAAAATAAATAAAAAATGTAGAAACCCATACTCATTTCTTCAATAGGACAGTAGTTCTCATTGTTAGCGTTGGTTTCAAAAAATCTAAAATTTTGGAGACATTTTCCATACCTTATTATAAAATTGACTATCCATGCGAGTGAGTAAAGGACAGGGAATAAGATTACTGATTGAATTCTTAAGGCAGGATACTTCAATCCCTTTTTGTTCTGGAGGTGATGCCAATAGCAGGAATTCTATTTTAAATATATAGATCTTCTTTACAAACAAGGAAAACATAATTGAAAGCACAAATAAGGATGAGACAGGGATGATCCAAAATCCTACAAAATGTTTATTGATAACTTAATTTAAAGTAGAAATATACATCCACAAAAGATGAAGTTGAACTCACCATTCTATAGATACCATCCTGAAGGACCAAATCCACCGTCGTATAAAACATAAAATAAAAGTCCATGTGGAATCAAATATAATAAAGAGATGAAGAAGTACAGATGATTCATTATGTAGTTGAATAACAATTCTGACTATTGGTAAATTCATAGTTTACCTTTATTAAGCAAAAGTAGATGAAGCATTAGAATAACATAAAATTCAAAGATGCCAACCAATTAGAATGCATAAAATAGGCAATAATTTTGCAAACTTATGGCTAACATGAACTATTAATCGTAAATGACAAGGCCAATATGAGATCAATCAGCTCGGAAAATACCTGAGCGAAGATTAACATAAAAGGCCAAAATTAGCTTTTTTTACTCTTCTTGATTATTATTAGCACAAATAAACTCGACAGAATGGAAATTATCAAAATTATTATCCTCAAAATAAAATTGACTAGTTTATCTCCGCTATTTAGATTTTATTCACAATGCTCCTAGTAGACCTCATCCATATTTTAATTTTGACACTAGAACATCTTTATAATATAATAATAATATAAAAATCAAGCTTATGAATTATTTAATAATCTCATATTTTAAAAACAAGTTACTTTAAATAATATTCCAATGAAAAAATTCCATAATTATTTAAAAAATATTTTGAACATATTAAATATATATAAATACCTGAAAAAATTATTAGAGAGCGAATACGAAATCGCCTTTTAAAGCCTTATCTGCTATTGATTTTAGTATGAATAATTTTGCCAATTGTGTATTGAATTATCCGTTATCAATTGCTTTCCATTTTCAAAATAAATAAATCCAAAGATACATCTCTTATAATATCAAGATTTACCCTGAGGAACAACAGGGTAACTCCTGGTTTCCCTTATTGACACATTGTCTATGCCTTTGAACATAGTTGGATAACTTTTTATGGAAGTTGTTAGATTATTTATTTCTCATAGTCCTTCTGATAGCTTTAAAAATAACAAAAATAACATAAAAAGAAATAAACAAAATTGTCAGACAAAGATCTACAAAACTATGGGTTGATGAACACTTCTCATTAGAAGTGCCACTTTTTAAGTTGTGATATAATTAGAAGATTAAGCATAAAAATGGGAAAAAATAATGGAATATGTTCTAATTTAGTATTTTCAGTGTAAAAAGGATGCAAAGGCTAACTTGTAATCATTTGAACTTGATAGCATTTACCATTTTGATTGAAGTTGATGAACAAGAAATATAATTTATTTTTTTTTGTTTAAATGGAAAAATGGGTTTATAATCAAGAGAGAGAGAGGTGGATTTGGTTAGAATTCAGTCTTCTTAATCTGAATTACAAATAAGTATCGTTTTTTCTAAGTCATCATCTATCTTAATTTTTTTTCTGTTTATTTTTTTTTCTGAAATAACTAAGTGATCTTTTAAGTATTCTAGGTTTCTTAAAACAACAAATAAGTCAAGAGACTTGCTTTCTTTTTTTTCAATTAATTTGTTCATGTATTTATATTAATATATTTCAATGAAATCACATTAATTAAATTACATTAATAATCGGTTAAACAGTTTTTTTTCTCTACGAATGACAGGGTATTATGTAGTATTGATGAATTATATTAAAAATTATAAAAAAATAATACCAAATCAAAGTTGCCATTTCTACTTAAAATTGATCGCCATTAAACTAGCAGATGTTCAAACCATCCAGAAGGTGTATATGCTTCTTAAATAGTTACTGTAAAAATATCTAAGAAGATTGCAATGGATCATTGAGATTAGATTAAGAAATAATTATTATAATAGATACTCAAAAGAGAAATATAATTTGAAATAATAATATATAAAACTAAAGTATGATAAGATTGGCTCTGTTATTTTTGTTGACTAATCCAAATTTAACTGTGAGCACATCTATAAATGAATAATGTAATTGTGAATAACTAAAGTCTAAGGCGGATTGTGTTTTTAATAGTTGTATATGGAAAGATGAAAAGTGTTTAAAAAATGAGGTTGATTAAAGTGATATAACTGTAAGTGTACATTGTAACTCTTTGGATAAGACTAGTTGCCAATCTTAGCAAGGTTGTGCATTTAATGATGAGGTTTGTGAGTAATTTAGTGGATGTTCTGCATACACCTAAAGTTCAAATGATCTTTGTTAATAGATATCTCAATACTGCACTTCTGATGGAACTTAATGCATAGAGCCTTTGAATTGTAGCGATTATATTGATTAAGTGCTTTGCTATTCTAATATTAACGCACAAGGTCGTAAATGTAAATGGGAATAAAAGAAATGTCGAGATTTCAAATGCATAGACGCTAATACAACTCTAAATAGTGATAATTAATGTAACCTTTTTTATCCTGGATGTGTAACTAATGGAAAAGGTTGTGTGGATAAAAGAGAGGAATGTTCAACTTATGGGGAATCCTGCTTAGGGATGATAGGAAGCGATGGTTATTGTGAGAAAACAAGTAGTGGTTGCAGTCCAGTGCTTTGTTCAGCAGCATCAGTAGAGTTAACGACAAATGAATAATGTGCGAAATTTTAATTTGGATGTATCACTACAGGAAGAGGTTGTTCAAATAATCCTTTGAATAGTTGCACTACTTATACCGGAGAAGGTTTTATGTGTTAATAGATGATTGGATCAGAAGGTAGATGTGATGGGGGTGTATCTAATTAATGTTAGGAAAGACGATGTGAGAATGCCAGTACAATTAATAATACAGATGAATTGTGTTAGTAATATTTAAGTACTTGTATTACAAATGGGAGAGGATGTGTTACTCAATTGAAACTATGCAATACTTATACAGGAACTGCTGATGAATGTAATCATTATATTGGAAGTGATGGAAATTGCACTATAGGATTAAGTGGATGCAAAGTTAGGCTTTGTAATGAAGCACCAGATACTTTCAAATCAGACACTGACTGCAATGAATATTAATATGGATGTGTGACAACTGGTTTAGGTTGTATTAATAACAGATTGTCATGTGCTACTTACAGTGGAACAGCAAGCAGTTGTTAGAAATTTATAGGAATAGAGGGAGATTGTTAAGGTGTTGGAGATAAAATAGAGGCTTGTAAAGCTTAGAATTGTTCTGATGCTCCTGCCACATACACAAGTCATGATTAATGTTCTGGATTTTAAAGTTTTTGTTTAACAAATGGGAAGGGCTGTGTTGAGAAGACAGTGTGCACATCAACAATAGCAGAGATAAGTTGTTTAGGCACAAATTCATGTTAATGGAATTAGATATGTGTAACATAAACCGATTGCAAATATTATAATACAATTAGTTTATGCAGTAATAATTAAGTGAATGGGATCAGGTGTTAGTGGGATAGTGGAGTATGTAGATATAGACTTTGTAGTGATGCTCCTAAATCATATAATACAGATGAGAATTGCAAAGGCTTCTTAGAGAATTGTGTAACGAATTCATTTGGATGTATATCAGTATTTGCTTAATGTAATTAATACACAGGGAATAAAGATACTTGCATCAATTTTAGAGGAAATGGAATCAAATGTACAAGTGCAAGTGTTAGTAATGCTGCATGCATAGATGTAACATGTGTGAGTAATACAACAGCAACAAATCAAATTCAATGTGATGATCATCTGACTGGATGCAAATTCTAAGGAAATAGTGGGTGTGTTGATAGTTCAGCTGAGTGTCACAAATATTATGGAAACCAAGAGAGTTGTCGTATTTACAAGGGAGTTTATGGGACAATAAAATGTTATTAGGAGAATGGATTGATGTCTAATTGTAGAATTCTGTAATGTAGTGACAATAATACAGCAACTGATGACATCCAATGTAATCAATTTTTGAGTACCTGTGTAAATAAGGGAGTAGGGTGTATTGACAAAAGTGAACCATGCACGTCATATCCAGGAAATAGTATTTCATAGTGTTAAAGATTCAAGGGTAATAATATAAAATGTTGGTGGATTGGTGGTTCAAGTTGTGTTAATAAATAGTGTTCATAAGATAGTACTTCTACTACTGATGAGGCATGCAATATATTTCTGGCTGGTTGCGTAACCAAAGGTAATGGATGTATTGAGAGAACTTAATTATGCACAACTTATAAGGGAAATGAAAGTCTATGTTAATAATTCAAAGGGAATGAGTAACCCTGTGTTCGCAAAAATTATTGTATGAATAGAAGATGTTCTGATGTAATTAATCCAATAAATAACGATGCCTGCATCAGCTATTTATCAACATGCAGATTTAATGGCAATTTATGCATAGATGCAGAATTACAATGCTAATCTTATTCTAATCTAAGTTATACAAGATGCTAATAGATTACTACTCTATCAGGGGGATTATGTTATTTAGCTAATGGAAGTGGTAATTGTTTGACAAGGACTTGTTCATAACTGGGAGTAGCAAATAATCAAGCTGATTGCGACCAATTTTTACCTGGCTGTATTTTCACTGGAGCCAATTGTGTTGATAAATAGATAACTTGTGATTTATATGTTAATTTTACATCCATTGCATGTAGGAATGCAATTACTACTACTTCTATGATGTGTTGGAATAAATCAATTACTATTGATAGTTGTTAAGCTAGAGCATGCTCAGGTATCACAACTTAGTTGATTGATCCTAATACGTTTTCATCAGAATTTTGTGAAAGCTTTTTAGACACATGCATATATGATGGTACCTAATGTGTCAACAAACTTGGTGCCTGTACTTCATATACTAATTTTAGTGTGTAAGCTTGTAAAGCAGCTACCACAACTTCATCTGAGGAATGTTGGTAAGAAGATGTAAATTCAAGTATTTGTCAAATAAGACTATGCAATAATAGTGTGACTGCACCAAGTTTAGATAACTGTATTTCACATAAAGCAACATGTAGATATAATGGAACATCATGTACAGATGCATAGAGTGCTTGTAATTTATATACATTATTTACTTAAAATGCATGCAGAGAAACCACATTATCTGATGGGATCACTCGATGCTGGAGAACCACAAGTGATGTTGGAACATGTGAAAGTAGATTATGCTCGAATGTATTATTATCATATTCAACTGCCGAATGTATAGGACATATGTCAACTTGTAGATTCAATGGAGCCTAGTGCGTTGATTAAAGGAGTGATTGCAATCTATACACCGGATTCTCTTCTGATGCTTGTAAATCAGTAACTACAACATCAGGTGTACTTTGTTGGTTTTCACTTAGTGTACCATATGAATGCACAACAAGAACATGTAACGATGCAGTAGAAAATGCTAGTGTTTAGACATGTGTATCTCATCTCTCTAGTTGTAGATTCAATGGATTAATCTGTGTAGATAGTTAACCCTTTTGCAATTCATACACCGATTTCACTCAAAGTGCCTGTTAAAATATTACAACTTCATCTGGAGTTAAATGTTGGAAATCTACATCTTCAGCTGGAACTTGTGAAACTAGAAGTTGTGACAATAGTATTACTAATCCTACCTACACCACTTGTGCTAGCCATTTATCTATCTGCACATATGATGGCTCTGGTTGTTATACTATTAAAGATATCTGTTCTAAGTACACAAATGTTTCTGCATCCTAATGTTAAAATCTAAGAACAATCTCTGGAGATAGATGTTGGTTAACTAGTGGTTAAGGAACTTGTGTGAAGAGATAATGTGTTCACAATACTACTGCAATGACAGATTAAGAATGCGATGCCTTTCTATCTGGATGCGTAACTACAGGAAAAGGATGTGTCACTTCTACAACCTCTTGTTCATTATACATTGGAACCATATCAAGTTGTCTTTCATTTGTTGGAAATTCCATTCAATGCAAAGGTGCAGATTCAATTGGATCTTGTGAACCCAAAAACTGTTATGACAATATGGATAGTATTACTGATATTTAATGTGATTAATTTATGCCTGGATGTGTGACCAGAGGAAAAGGATGCATTGCAAAAACAGAACCCTGTACAAGTTATATTGGCAATTAATCTAATTGCTCTTAATTCAAAGGCAATTCTAAAAAGTGTTGGAATAATACAAATGCCTCTACTACTCAATAATGCAGAAACCGATTGTGTTCAGATGATACTACATCCAATACTGATGATTTATGCTAAGAATTTCTAATCAGTTGTGTGACCAAAGGTACTGGATGTATTGATGCAACAGCCAAATGCTCATTGTATACAGGATCACAAACCGAATGCAGTTAATTTAAGGGAGAAAATGGAACTAGATATTGTTGGAACTCTGACACAGCTACACATTTGGTTGCCTGTGTCAATAGAATCTGCACTCACAATTCAAGTGCAACTACTGATTAAGAATGTGATGCTTTTCTTTAAGGATGTGTAACTAAAGGAATAGGCTGTGTATCACCATAACCATGTTCATCCTTCTAAGGTACTACCATATCATGTGCAATATTTTCTGCTACTGATAAACCATGTAAAGGCATAAGCTCAATAACTACCTCATCTTGTGTTGCTATTTAATGTAACGAGGCTCCTAATAATTATGATACTGATGAGTTATGTAATAAGTTCAAAGAAGGGTGTGTTACTAATGGGTTTGGTTGTGCCTCAAATGTTTAATGTGAAGAGGTCTAAACACAGAAGGTTTGTACAAGTAAAGCTTCTTGTGCTTACGTTGGTAATTGCAGAGATTTATAACCTGAATGCAGTAATCTCAAATCTTAATCTATTTGTGTTAATACTCCTGTTAGTAATGCTGTTGGCATGTGTGCATGGGAGATTAATAACATAACTAAGGTTGGATTTTGTAGAGATTGGAGGTGTGAATATGCAAGCGAAAGTTTGACTACTCATAAGGATTGCAATGAACTATACAAATAGTGTACAACTAAGGGAAATGGGTGTATCCCTATTAGTTCATGCTCATCCTATACGACAGTTGCAATTTGCTCTGTTGCTAAAACAACTGATTTAGGAGGATTTTGTAAATGGAATACAACCTATTGTAGAGAATTGGATTGTTCTGATGCTAGTTAATAGTTTACAACTGACAAAAAATGTTAAGAATTTCTTAGCAAATGTGTTACTAATGGTAAAGGATGCATTAATGCAGAATACAAATGTGAAGAAATCTTGATTAAAGAAAAATGCACTATTGACTATAAGAGTAGAACTTGTTTATGGTTTCAATCTCAATGCATTTTATACACTAGATGCAGTGATATAAATGGAGTAACATATGCATAGTGTAAAAAATATTCCAAAAATTGTACAAGCAATGGATAGAATTGTATTTCTATTGCTCCATGTGATTAGTATTCAAATCCAACTAGTTGTTAAATTGGTACAAATGGTTAATGTGGATGGGTAGCTGCTACTTAAGATAAGGCTGCCCATTGTACATTATTCACTAAATGTACTAATAGCACTGGATAAACAAAAGAAATTTGCTAATTATATTCAACATCTTGCGTTTCTGATGGAACTAATTGCATTGAATAAACTACTTGTTCAGCCTACATTACAGAAATGAGTTGTGCTTCTGTTGGTACTGATGGAGTATGTATTATGGACAATGGAAAATGTAGATTACGGTAATGTACAGATGCTACAATAGCAACAGCCATAGAAATCACAAACCATTCAAAGTGCTATGCATTCTAAGCTGCTACTAAGTGTACAACAAATGGAACTAATTGCGTCAAATTGAACTTATGTAATTCATACAAAGAGTAAGGATGTTACTATGGAAGAGATGGAGAGTGCATTTTCTCATTTCCATCAGGATAAATCCAAGGTACAAAATCTTGCAGAGTCAAGGTTTGTTCTGATTTCAATGATGTAACATCAGAAATTTGTAAATTGAGAAATGCTTAATGTATATCCAATGGAACTAATTGCATAAACAAAAGTTAATGTGTCTCATACAAAACTAGAGTGGCTTGTAATTCAGGAGGACTAGATGGAGTCTGTGTTTTCACTCCCTCCAACAATGATCCAAATAATGGAAGTTGCGATTTAATGAAGTCATGTGAATAAGCTAATTCTGATATGGAAGCATGTAAATCAAAGTATAATGCCTGTCAGTTCTTAGTTTCCTCACAGAGTGGAACGAATGTTACATCTTGTATTAATCATACATGTGCAACTGTGGCAAGTGGATCAATTTGTAAACCATTGTATAGTTTTGATAAAAAGTCAATTACTATTTGTGTACCCTCTGCTTCTGGCTGTATAATTGGGGATTCAACTTAGTTGACAGCTTCAACTTGTTTCGATTATAGTCTCAAAACATACACTTGGAATAGTGCTGCAAATCTCTGTGAAATTTGTACTTCTGAATTAATCCAACCTGACTACACTAACAAACCAAACAGTACTGGGATAGACACTTTTGCTAAGGTTCTATACGCATTTCCATTGATTATGTTCTAATTTTGATTAATTCTAAGAAACAAATTTAAAAATTTATTATATATATAAACATGATGGAAGAAGAATTTATTAAGCTCTTTCAGAGTAATGAAGTTGAATTACAAACGATCGATTAAAAATAGATGTATACTTATCTTCATTGTATTTAGTGACTAGGAGAGCATTAAAGAAGCAGCCTTAAGGAAAATTAGATAGTAGGAATTGTCAAGTATGCTGAAGGTAAAACCACAGCTTTTAAAAGTGAAAAATAGGATCTCAGTTGGGATGATCGTTATGAGTGGCTACATTACTAAAAGAATAAAGGAAATAAGTTGTTTTATCAGCAATAATATGATCGAGCAATTTAAGTGTATAATGAAATGGCTTTAGCGTTGGATTTATAGAACACATAAGAAAGGAATGAAATAATGAAATAGGATTTCTAATACCCTATCATTTTTAATCTGGCACTCTGTTATAAGAAGAAAAAGGATTATGGGAAAGCATCCTAATTTTATGACATGGTAACTAGATTCATAAATTTACATAGGTAATCAAGATGCATCCTAGTCCAAGGTACATTTTGAGGAGAGGATATTTCCATTTCGATATTTAAGAATATGATAAAGTATAGGCCGATTTAAGTCTTGTAACCAACATAAACGAGTATCCAGAACTGCGGGAAGATTATTTTGAACTCAAATAAAAATTGAATGATGTACTAAAAAAGGATAGAGAATTATATTAAAGAATGTTTTAATAAAATTCATAATCTGATGACGAATAATAGATAAAACTCTCCAGACTAGATTAGTTGTACGAATGGTGTAAAAATCAGTTCTCTCGCATCTTTGGTTGTAGAAAATTGTTCGAAGATGACGAATCAGAAGATGATGATGAGTCAGATCCTAAGAAATTTATGGAGAAATGATAGTATTCACAAAATTCAAATCTTTACACGTTTTATTGTTTGAACTCTCTTCTGACTTTCATATGTATTCTTGTCTTCATCATCCTCAATTACTCCATTTTCTAGATTTAAGTATGGGTGTTTTAGGCATTCACTTGCACTTGGACGATTGCGAGGATCCTTCTAGAGCATCTTAATAAGTAGATCGTATCCAAGTGGATTATTTATTTTCACATTCACCAAATGACTTTCATCGTATTATCCACTGATGTTTCTTTTGATGATATCTTAAACATTCTTCGAATTACCGAAAGGGTTTTTTCTGGTCAACCTAAATAGATATAAGTCAAATTATATACATATTATAGAGTATGATTCCAGCACTATAGATATCTACTTTCTCATCATAATTACACTATTGGTCAAACACTTCTGGAGCAGTATATCCAGGAGTTCCACATCTATTGAATTATTATTCCAAATATTACCTAGGGTTATAGTATGGGATTTGTTATTTAAAACAAGAAAGGCCAAAATCGGCAATTTTTAAGCTATTGCCATTTTGTGTATCTAGAAACAATATGTTTTGAAGTTTGATATCTCGATGTACTATGTTTAGTTCATGAAGATGTCTTAAACCTATTTGATTATTAAGACCATCTAGTACCTGAGAGTAGGTTTTACATAAAGAGAGGAACATCTATCTTGCTCGCTTTCTTATTTAGTAACTTAAGTAGATCTCCTCCTTAGCAATTCTCTAGAGTGATAGACACACATTCGTTATCCGTCACGATTTCTTCCAATTTAATTATATTTTAATGTTCATGCTCTTTCAATAGACTGAGGATATCAGCTTCCTGCTTCAATTATCCCTTATAATTAAACTAAATAATCTACCAGTCTGCTTATCGAGGCTTAATCTTACAACGTCTTGGGAAAAGGAGCCATTTTCTCAATCATTACATTGTTTTGAGTTTAAATCAGTTCTAATATAAGTATCTTATTTTACAGATCCCTGGTGCTATCTAAGCCAATATTCGAGGATTTTAAGAGCGAAAGAAAACTTGCTTTCCTCTTAATTGGTTTTACAGTTCGTAATTATCTTCCTGATTCAAGAGAAAAGACACTTTTATTTGTGTTTCAGGATTTTCCAAATCCAGTGTATACAATTCTTCATCTACGATTATAAAGTAATATACTTTCATTGATTTATTTACCAAAGTGTAGTATTGTGTCCATCGACCCGGCTGGCAAGTACACCATTTACTAGTCATTTTGTGATGTCTTTTTAAATTCTTAATACAATATGTACTTTTATTAACAACGAGCCACTTTTTGAGATAATCGTTACTTATTGACGACCTCCATCAACATCCAAATAAAATGCTTGACAAGAGAACTGATGCATTCAAATTTTAAGAGCAGAAAAAAAACTTAAAAAAATATATTCCTTATAACCAGACATTATGAATCTTATGAAATCACGTAACAAAAGGCACCCCCATAATTTGATCTTGGATAATTTTATTGAAAATGAATCAATTTAGTTGCAAGAATAACATATTTCATAATTTTAATGGATATTTTTATTTAGAAATCAAAATAAAGATTTATTTTGTTCTAATATATGCTTTAATTAAAATCTTAGTTTCGTTATAACTAAATAAAAATTTTGCATAGCCATTTTGATATACTAAATTAGACTTATGGACACAATAATAAATAATTTTAAGCTAATCTGCCATATTCTTTTCAATATTTTTCCGTTAACTTCTAAACCCTTTCATACATCAAATAATCCAATAATATAATTTATTATGGGCTATACTACTTTTTAAAATAACTTAGGATAAAGTATCTAATGAGTGTCTACTATATAAATTACCCTTTAACCTTAAAGAGGGGTATGTTATTTCATATTTCAAATCAATAGATTATAGTATATTATGTGGAACTTATCACGCTATTAAAATAAATTATATTTTAAAACCAATATTTCCTAATTGTCCTATTGAATTCTTCTCTTGAATATTTCAAGAATCTTACAAAAACCAGAATTAGATTTTATCTAAGAAAATTCAGGGATCTTATTCAAATCCTTTCAGTTTACTTTCATTTTTTTGTTTCAAAAATGCCAAATCACTTCTTTCTACATATATTAGGGTTAAATTATGAAATTTTACCCTTCCAAGTTTTCGAGGATCTACTTCAAACTAAATTCAGATAATAAAGATATCAAAGATTAAATCAGAATGGCAATCATGAATTTGAATATAATATATTTATATTTCTACAAATTTCTATAAAAAAATCTATAATCTCTTCCTTAATTCTCCATTTGATATTACATTTAGAATCAGCATATATGTATCGATATTCAAGAGACTTCTAGCTTATTTTATCTAATTAAATTTATATATGAGGATGGCGATCAAATTTTGATATTATGAAGAATTTTATCATTCCCCATAAATTTTAATTTATTTTATTTCTTTTCATTAATACGAAAAGGAGAATATGATCCAGACAAAAGAATGAGATCTTTAAAAATCTAAAATGAGATAATAATATTATTTAATTTATATATATTTCAGAGGATAATATTATTGAATTATAAAGAGTTTATTCTTGAAAATACACTTCAGCAACCAATCAAAATTGATTTGAATGACTATCTCAGAATTATGAATCTAAACCAATATTCTCAATATTACGATGTTTACAACACTCTCAATTATAAAAGAATAAAATGCAAAAACTTTTGATTGATATCTTCATTAAAGTGGATCAACAATTATTTATAATCAGTCTGATATCTTTGATAGAGAATAAGTAAAAAAAAGAGTATTAAAGTGACTTACCATTCATTTGTATTATGATTTATTCAGAATATCATATTTTGATTTAGAGAATTTATATATTTATTTGAATCACATGTTTGGAATAGTGCCTAAGATGTAGCAATATGTTTGCGCATGGAATTTTTGGCCTGCGTTCATGAAGAGATTCTTAATGAGTGAGAAAGGTCCTTTCACAATCTTTTTCTGGACTCCATTAGCCAAATGGGGGATTTCTATTGCTAACATAGGTGACATGCGCAAACCAGTTGAATAAGTTAACACACTTTAACAATGCGTTATAGCTTGGACGGGATTGTTATTCACAAGGTAAATGGCATGTTATTAAAAACTAGGTGGTGTTTCATTATTACACCAAGAGTCTATAGTTTAGTCATTTGCAATTTCTGCATGGCTCAAACTGGGTTGTATCAGCTCTACAGAAAACAGTATTTAGTTAATTTAATTGTAGTCAATAAGGAAAACTGTTTGCAAGATGAAATAAATAAAAATACAATATATATTTTTTAGTAATCATACAAAATAATGAGAATTTTAGTATCAGACCAGATTTCTTTAAATTTAAAATTTCTCTAAAAAAGTTGATGGGCATCCAAATACTAACATCACTCTATCATTTATGCAAATGATCATAGGTTAAGAATAATTAATACATAGATTTGGAATAATCAATTGTGTCTCAAAGACAATTAAAAAAATTTCATTAAACTTAATTAAAAAATAAACTCTTGATTTTGAATTATGTTCAATTCTATTTTAGTAAACTAACAGAAGTTGAGCATTTCGAATAAGTGATTTAACAGATTTAAAAACGATAATGTGCCTAGGCTTAGAACAATATTATTATTAATGAGAACAGTTCTATTGGTGGTTTTACTCTTAAGTGTTGCCTCTGCTGCTACATATAAGAATAAGTTGGATTACTCCAATAAGAGATCCCTAATATCAGTAATGGCTGAAGTGGAAGCTAAGATTTCAACAAAATCTCCATTGGATGCTATTTTGAATGTTTTGAGAGATTTCAGAGATTCAGTAAATTTTGAATAAGTGAATCATGACGAAATCTACTAAATTGAAGTCAGAGAATGTGAATCTGAAGATGAATTCAGAAGCAAGGAAGTCTAAGAAGCTAAAAACATCCTTAGAGATTCTACTGCTTAATTAAATGTTTGTCAAACATCAAAAATCAGAGCCACCAATTAATAGGAAGTCAATTAACAATAAACATTCACAGCAGAGAAGCATTTGAATATGGTATTGACAGCTGCCGAATAAGAAGCAAGTTATTTCAAGAAGAGAGGAAGAGATTATGAAGACGCTCTTCATGCTATTGACGAGGCTTCAGACATCTTGGCTGCCATCTATAGTGGATCAGGAAGTTTCGCTGAGATCAGTAGAGTTTCAAAGGTTATGCTCTAAACATCTTTCAGTATCAAGGAAACCACTAGATTCGCTCCAATCCTTTATGCATTATCTTAATTGGCTTCATAAAAGGATTTCGATGAGACTTCTCTTGAGAGAGTAGCTTAATTATTGGACACCTTGAGATAAAATATCCATGAGGCTTACAACGATTATGCTGAATCAAATGGATAATCTATTGCTGCCTTCAATGATTAGAAGGAGAGAATAGGATAAACTCTTGAAAGACTTTCTGCTTAAGCTGAAAGATTACAAGATAAATTGGATCATTTGGTTTAATGTATCGGAACTAATTCTGCCATTGCTTAGACTGCTTCAGGAAAACTCTAAAGAAATCAATAACTTTGGGATTAAGCTACTGCATTATGTGCTACCTTCTAAAACGAATACAACTTTGCCACTTAAGCCAGAAGAAACGAACTTTAATTGGTCAGTCAATTGGAAGATATGGTTGAAGACAGATTCAATTAAGTCGAAGATGAGAATCACGAAAGAAAACTCAGATTAAGTCAAAACTGATATATAAAAAGTTTTACATAAAATCATTTCCAAAATATGTTCTAATAATATAATACAATAATTTTTATTACTATGATTTAGACATCAACTAATAATCAAAAGAAACCTAAACCTAAATTGTAGTTAAATGTCAACATCACCGATGTCTAGCCTGAGAGTACTCATTCTTCAGATGGATGGAAGCAATAAACAGAGGTGTTTTTCCATGAACCTATGTATTATTGAATTTATTAATAGTAAGTGATTAGTCTTTATAATTTTCTCATAATGGAAAGACAGTTGCTGATGTGGCTCAACTTAAGTGTGGTAGAAAGTATCAAGAAGATAGAGTATGAAATCCTCTTAATTTAAGTTTGTTGCCATTCCCAATCTAAATCAGAACAAAGAGGCCTAATTCTTTTATGCAATTTATGATGGTCATGCAGGTCATTCTGTATCCGCAATTCTCGAAAATAATTTACATAAATATTTATAAGAAGAAAACAAATTTTGTGATGATCTAGAGAAAGCAATAATAAATGGTTTTGAGAAAATGAATAAATACATCCTTGATTGTCAAGATGAAAATCAATTGCTTGGTGGTTCTACTGCAATTTGTGTTATTAATAAACACAAAGATCTCTATATCGTCAATTTGGGGGATTCTGCATGTGTTTTAATCACAGAAGAATGCGAAATTCAGAAATTGAATCTTGAACATAAATTAAATAGAGAAGACGAATTCAAACGAGTCGAACAGATGGCAACTATTCTAGATAGACAGTATTTCAATATACTATTCTAGTTCTATCCCAAGAATCAATGGAGAATTGGCAGTAACCAGAGCATTTGGGGATAAGAAACACAGACAATCAGGTTTGATTGCCATCCCTGAAATTAAGATACATTAAGTTGATCAAAAGGATAAATACTTAATTTTGGCATCTGATGGCTTTTGGGATGTAAAAGATTATATCAATATATATAGATTATTAAAAATGATGAGTTAAAAAAATTGATTGAAAATTGGAATAGAAAGGAAATAGATTAATTAGCATAATATCTCTTGGACAAAGCAGCATCCAAAAATACTAATTATAAAAAAGACAATATGACTTTAATAGTTGTAGATGTCTAATCTTATTGGAAATGAATGTAAACTAAATTTTTATTGCTAATTTTATATAAAAATTAAAAATGAAATGTTTGGCGTTGATAAGTATATATGAATTGTTGTCAATATTATCACTTTTCGTTGAAATAAAATATGACTAATTTAAGTAGACTACAAGTTCATAAGTAAATACTATTGACCAAAATATTTCAATTCTTTGATGTTATCTGATTTGAAGAATCAATATTAAAATTATATCAACACTTTTGATGAAATCATCAAATTAAGATACTTAATGCAATATATATTCATAATTATTAATATTTTTCATTATGCATTCTAATCAATTTGATGAAGATGGCGATCCTTAAGAATAATTTCTTGAAGTAATCATTAAATATCCAACCCTTAGGCATTTAAAGAATTGCTTGAAATTTAGAATTAGAGAATGCAAAATGGAAATGACTTAATAAATTAATATTGTCCTCAATTACTCTACCCACTCATTATTCCCACTTAAATACCTAACACCTTTATTGTATTTATTTATTTTACATTAGATAAACATGGGTCCATATTATCCTCATATATAATAACCTTAATTACATCCATAGATGACTCAATAATAAAGAACACCACAATAACCTTAACAAAATCTGTTCTAAAATCGTTAAAATATCAAAGAAGAAGAGCAAGATGATATCAAATAATCCAAAGGGAATTGGCTGCAATAAAAAAAATAATGAACTATTTCTGAATGCTAAATTTATATCAAATAGTTGAATATTTAACATTTCCTTTGTTTTAAATTATTAATTTAATTTTTATCATTCTAGAAAATCATCTATATATTTGATTAATTACATTAATTTTAAGAAAATGTATATGCTTCCCATCAACTGCCTTTCTACTTCTAAGATCTACTCCAATAATTTGAATTACAATAAAGCTGTAAAGAGTGGTTTTATAATGCTGTTTCACAACCTTATGAAGCCCTCAATTGAGCATATAGAATCTGTTTATTGAAGTCATGATTATAATTGGAAATCTTAATGATATTACAAAACTTTCGACTTATTTTAATTTAGGGTTTTTCTTTTTTCCACGGTAAGAATAAATCTTAATGTCATTCAAAGATTAGATTCTTCACTATATCATACTTTTAAGATTAAAAGTCTTGAAAGTAATTCTATACATTTCAAAAGAACTAAATCATAAAGGACCTTATCATTCCAGAATTTAACTTACATACATTTGAAAGACCAATTCTACAGGTTTTAATATGGACTTATTATTAGACCTCTAATTTTTTGATTTCCTTAACCTTAAAGAAAAACAAAAGCATTTAGTTGATAAGTAAATCAAATTTTACAATTTAAATAAAAATAAAGCTGGTTAATATATTTGATGTTAAAATTTATTAAAAATCTGCGTTAACTAAAGAATAGTTACACATAACACAATAAGCAAAACTAAAGTAATAGACATCCTTAGTAAAATAATATTTAATATTTATAAAGAATTTCACTATAAAAACATTATAGACATATGGAGATTATTTTTAATTTTAAATATTTTAGACTTTGGCTTGGCAAAACAAAATAATGTACTCAACCTTTTAAAATGTATTAATTATTCGAAAAATATATACCATCATGATTTGAAATGAATAATTATTATTTTCTTATTTATTTTATTTAAATTAATGTTAAATATTTTTGATTTATCCAATATACTTGTAATATAGTTACAATTTCAAAAACACTAAATACTATTAACGATATATCCTAAAAGAAAAATGATAGACTGAATAGGATTAATGCCAATTTGACTATATATTTTTATGAAACACTAAAGAAATACTAATTGCCTACTTTACCCAACTAAAAAATCAAATTATTGACAATAATTTGATCCTAAGTCATCAGTTTAATATGGTGAAATCTTAGAAATGAAAAAATTCATTAATGTTCAAACCATTAGGCTTTATAAATTACTTCATACTTCTATAAATCATTTATCATTTATAAAAATTTTGAATTTTAGATCTTAATAATTATTTGTTGTTAAAAATTATGGGCTCAATCTGCAAATGTCAAACTTTTGATCTTAAATCTTGCTAAAATGAAATCACAATTACTTCCAAAAATACATAGAAACAAGAATAAAGGACCTTAAAAAAAAAAATTTCTAACTCTTTTTAAGATTAAAATTTGAAGGTCTTTTATATAGTATACCCAAAAAATGAAAATGATTTCGCTTAATTGTTCAAATAATTGGAGGTTATCAATAAAAACGAACAATATGAAATAGAGGAATATTATTAAGAAAGCCAAGGGAGTTAAATTGAAGAAATTGAGAGTTATTTTAATTTAAATGGCCTTTCAGTTGGATCATTTAAGTAAATGCAAATCACAAGTGACAAAGAGTAAAAGTGAACCATCTTTTTTGTTTTTGGATTAACAAAAATTGAACAATATATTCACAAATTTTTTTATATGAATCTTTTTCTCAATAAATTTCACAACTAACATCACAATCAAACCCAATAGTCTATGCAACATTATTGTAATTAACAATTGATAAAAATTAGTTAGAACTCAAATCAGATAAATTGTGTAACTTATGAGTAGGCCTAAGTCATGAGAACTTTAAAACATCTTTCTTCTTAAGAAGTAAGTAGTTTCATTAATGTTTCAGTCATGAGTTGCCAATAACAAACTTAAAATTTAAATCTAATAAAATTTTAATAGATTGTATCCTAATTCAAAAATTCCTGAAATGACAGGATTTCAAATTCAAGATGCAATTCAATAGATGAGATAGTTAGCATATTTAATTCATACATATACTCAATCTAGTTGGCATTTTAATTTTTGATTGAATAAATTCATTATATTTTTATTTTGGTTTGGTCACCTCTAAAAGAATATTTATTATAACAATAGTTAATTTGAACAGAGACAATGCTATCAGTGATCATCCTAATTAGGATCCTTAATAATTGGCTTTCTTAACGAATTAGAATAGATGAATTTTGAGAAAGTATATATAAAGTTATTGATTCTAAATTCAAACATTGATTCGTAATTTAGATATTTCTGCTATTTTGATATTTATGAAAATCTAATAATTTTCAGTATTTTTGCTTACACTTTCCTTATATCCAAATAGTTCTACGAACCAAAAAGATATATTCAAAAGAATAGATTTTGCTAATGATTGTCGATTTAAGAAAATAAAAAATCTTAAAATTATGTATAAACAAATTAATAATTCATGCCCAATCATTAATAGCAATAATACTATTAACAAATGAAATAAATCTTTAACTATAGAATTAAGGATCAACACATGAAATTTATTAGCCTTTTCTTTTCACATGAAACTTGTAAAAGTATTCCAATTTCTTTTTGAATGTGAATTTTTAGGTATAATCAATCAAACCAAAGCAAAAGCATTTGCTGCTATTACAATATACACGTTTTCCCTTACTAATGTTGTTGTAACAGACAGCAATGAGCAATGAATAATCCATAATGTTATTTTTAAGAAGGAAATCAATATCATCTTTAAGAATATTAAATAAATTATCTCTATCTTATTGTTTCAATTGAATAAAAATATCTGTTGATTTGATGAAGTTTTGATCCTTTAAAACACCTTCCTAAGGTAAATATTAAGCAAAAGAACTTGTGAGGTCAACAACTTAGCTGTTTTTAACATTTTATTTTCTGTTCACAAGACTTCCTTTCAAATCATAAACTATTCTTTCTTTGGGAATTTTCTCAAATATGTTCTCCATAAGCAACAAATGAATTTAGGAGAACCCTTCTATACTTATCGAATACAGACCATAAAATTTAGCCAAAAATGTTTACTCTCTATTGATATATTTGTAATAGTCTTCCAAAACTATAAAATTAAATAAGGAAATTACATTCTTAAATTAACCTAATTTCAGACTATGTAATGGTTTTCAAGACAAAAAGATTATCATAAGTATAAAAGAAGAATGATCCACTTTTCCCCAAAGATTCTTGAGTCTTTTTAATTTGATTTTAATTCTGATCTAACCTCAAAGAATTTTGAAATTATTTATAACAAATCCCATTTTTTTCTCTGATATCTTGAAATACTGCTGGAGCGTATTCTTTAATTTAGAATGGCAATGTTAATTCTAATGAGTAATTGATTGAATGTATCAAAGGAGATTAAGACTCATTTTAAAGCTGATCACTTTTGTTGGATGAAAATCTGAATTGCTTTTTGTATTTACATTATTTGTGTAAATCAGTAATTTTTTCATCGTAAGTAACAATTTTAAGTATTGAACTTAAAATGTTAGATACTGTTTCTTAATTCGTTTATTCTTAGACTAACTTACTGAGAGGCAGTTAGCATTGTTCCATAATACTATCATCAACATTTTTGCTAAATGCTATAAAGGGTATTTTTACTCTTTATTTTCTTTCCACCTTCTTTTACAAAAGATTGTGGCAATTAATAGGAATGTTCTACTCTTAAAATAGGGTTCACGAAGTCGGATCCATAATAAAATTGTTGCTAAATATGGAGATAAAACTATACGATGTAAAAGCATAATGGCAAAATATATTTTATTGATTAATTTGTGGACTCGACTCTGCTCACTCAATGTCGTCATTATGAGAGGGAGACTCCACATTATCGACAAAGTCAGAAATAAGTACTAATTTAGGTTTAATGACAGTTTACTAGATGATTGTAAAAAAATTTCTTTCTATTTTCTTTCACCACATTATTGATTTTCTTCATTTTTTTTAAGTCTTTGATTCCAACATAGATTGAAATGGCTAATAATACAGTTATCACCATCATCTGAAGTTTAAAAACCTAAGAGACTTATCTCGCACCTATTCCTTTACAAGTAACTTCAAGTGAATCTTTCTCCAAATAAAACATTATCAAAGTCACAAAGGATGCTCCCAAATTATATGAAAGTTGCTTCATTTTAGTATTCAAGAAGGGTTTAGTTAAAGTTAGTATAAAATCTAATGTCAGAATTGCATAATAATTTAATTGCGCTAAGAATCCGAAAAACACAAGAGATTGATTTATTTAACATAATGTTTCATCCGAAATCGAACCAAAACCAAATACATAATATTCCCTCATTTTATTGTAGCCAATAACATTGTCTAAGAATTAAATCAGTTCTTAAAAATTAACACTGTCTAGAAATAGTTAATAGCAGGTTATCATTTCCAATATACCTAAAATATAAATTATTCTACATAATATCAGAACAATTTATGCCGGGTGATGTCTACACTTCGGGGAGTACGTATAAATTATGGGTATGACTGAAGCTGAGCATAACGAGAAAATCAGCAACGATACATAAATATATTTCCAATAATTTTCTACTGAATATTCTGAAGAACCTAAACTCATAGAATACACAAAGTATTATTATTAATATTTAATAAATTAATTATAAACATTATTATTATTATTCTTGCATTTCAATTGATCAAATCTAGACAACACACTATTAGTTGAAATCTTATTTAACAAATATTCTAAAGAGACCAAAACCGAATTTCAAGATTTGCATATCAGAATCAATTAGTTGCATCAATTATAACAATATTTCTAAGAATTGAATTTGAATCTGATGGCAACAAAATTTTCATTGTACTTTCAATATTTCAGTTGATAATTATTTTATATGTGATATTGTTATTGTTTTACATACTTCATTATAAAATAATGAATATCTTCATTCTGAATAATATTATCAAATAAATATTAAAATTTAATATTTATATAATTACACACGTAAATGAATTAACAAAGAAAAGAGTTTGAAAAATATTTTTATCCTCTTTACCAACATTATCATTAATAGCATAGTGGCTTTAAACTTAGGGAGGCAAACTTTAGTTATCAAAGAAAGATATAATACTTTAAAGGAGAGGATTTCATTAAATTCACAACTGCAAATTTTGAGGAAATTAAGGGGTTAGTTCCATTAACTGATAAAAAGAAGGACGCAGCATAAATTGCTAAATACCTATTAGAATGCAAAATTATTTGGAGAATCGATAGACACACTAATGACCCAAAGAAAAAGTGGCCAAAATTGGTTACCTTAGTTAGAGTTTTAATATTTCAATATGCGATAGGATTAAACTTTTGTAGAAGATGGGTTCTACACTTGGAGTATAGATGTCAAGAACAAAATGAACTCAATTAAGTTGGCTGCCATTTTACTTGGTGTATTTTTAATCTGTCTCTTTCCAATATGGCCTTTTTCCTTTAAATACGGCATATTTAAGTTTACAATATATCTGCTTATATCGTTAATTGGGCTTTAAGTTGGTAGATTGTTGCTATATTCAATAATAAGATTATTTGGATATGAATTCTGGATTTTGCCAAATATCAATGATGATGTAAATTAAATCTCTATTAATTAGTCTTATGGAATACTAGGCTCATTTTTACCTATTTATTCAATTTCGAAATATTCAGATGGAAAATTGGAGATAGCACTTCGATTAGTAGGATTGGTGGCATTTTTTATGTTGATTTTTGTAATAGTTTAAGAGCCTCATCATCTCACCCATATAACAGATGCTACTGGATAAACATTAGATGATGTTTTCTAATGGGGAAAAGAAAAAATGGAAGGAAAATAAGTAAAATAATTAGATAGAAATTAGGAACCCTTGCATAGAAGAGCAATCCCAGATTTAAGTGAATTGATTAAGTAAGCAGAGGAGGATTCAAATAATGCTCAAAATGTACTTCAAGATGAAAAATTGGAAAAACCTGAAGTTTAAAATGATTTGTGAATATAAATTTTAGTATTTTTGATAATAGGTTATATAAAATATAGGTTAATATAATAATCTATTATTTGAACAAAATTATAAACCAAAATAATATTAATCTTGAAGATTAGTAAGAGAGTATATAAATAAATTTTATTGATAAAAATACCATTGAATTAAAGTTGCTAATTTAATTGAGTCTATTTTTAAAAGCATAAAATAACAATATGGGAATTCCAACTAATGAAATACAATTTAAGATTTTACAATAGTGTTTATTTATATTTATTTAATAAATAAATTAACAGATTCATGCCATAAGAAGACATAGTGTAGAAATTATTGCAAAGAATTTAAATTCTTGTAGATGAAGTTGAAACTTTGACTGCCTTGGTGGATAGCAATGCATTAGAATAATAAGAGATGAATTAAAAATATTAAAATTTAATGGAGCTATACCGATAGAAGGAACTCGAGTGTTCAGAATTGTAGAATAAACTCAATTAACAATTTAGTATTGTATTTATATTCATGTAGGACTAAATGTGAAAGACCATTTGTAGTAAATTAGTGAAGAGAGATAGCACATAACTTCCTTATTAGTGCATCAAAGAAATGATGTGCCTGAAACATAAAATCAAGCATTGTATCAATTATGCTAATAGAAAACTGCCGAGAATCAATTGTTGAGAAATAGACAAGATCAATTGGAATAAGAAAATGCATTTTTACATTCAGAAAATATAAGATTGAGAACTTATATACAACATGAAAAGATGTTCAGATAATTGGAATATTTTAATGGAAATTACAACCCTTAAACTGTGGCACCAGGATAGAATGTGGAAATTCCTAATATAGTTTTGGATCCTATGTATGAGTAGAAATACTTACAAGAATATTTGCAGTCTAGACAAGTAGTTTAGTGAGAATATTTTTGTGATAATTTTATATAAATAATAATCATATGTTCTTGCAAGCAATGAAGTTGAAAGATAATAGGTATGGTGCATTATAATAAAGATTGGAGCCTATTCAATTAAAGTACAGTCCAAAAGAACCTAGATAGCATACTCCAGAAGGTTTGGCGAAGATTGGTATGTTCAACAGCACTCAATTTCAGAGAAAATAATCAGTTGAAAAGCGTAAACTTAGTAGTCAGGCAGAAGGCAAAAGACCTTAATCTTCAGTGCAAAGAATACCAAGAACTGCGTTTTTGAAAAATACATTTTAAGCATAATATGTTGTAATGATGATTATAAAAACAGGTAGTTCTTTTGTGAAAATGGAAATAATGGGGCTCTTGTAAGGAGAATACTATAAGGAAGAGGTTGGTTTGCTGAATAGTAAACAAGTTTTAAGTAAGTTATAGATTATTAATTGTAGTGTAAACTTTATATGGAAGCAATCAAATAAGGGATTCAACTATTCTACTCTTACTTAGAAGAAAGTTTGTATTAATCATTTGGAACATCATCATGAGATTTCAAATAAAAATAAATTACACGATAATCTCAAAATGCATTGTTAGAGGATCAGCAAAAATATGGATGATTTTGTACCTATAACATTCTCAATAAACTTGGATTCAATGACACTGTAATGGGATCTCAAGAAATTTGTTGACTTTTTTATCTCAATAAAGAAGGAAGGCAACTAGAAGAATCTTTGGTTATTGAAACCACCAGATCTCAATAGAGGAAGAGGAATTTAATTATTTTCTGATCTTAGGGTCTTAATTAATTAAGTAGAGGAATTCTGTAAAATTAGATGTCAGAATTCTAAAACTAAGGGTTCATCAAAAGGCGCTAGAGGAGTTACAATTACATATCCAGACTCTAATGAAAGTAATTTTATTTAATACCATTAACTTAGAATCTGGCTAAGCCTAACTTAGTTTTACAATAGATTAGTCTACTAGTAATGATCGCATTATAGTTTTATAAAAGTATTTAGAAACGCCCCTTTTGTATAATGGTAGAAAATTCGATTTTCGAGTTTGGGTACTTGTTGATCATACTTCAAAATACTATTTCTTTAAAGAAGGGTAAAATACATTTATTATTTGTAGATATCTACGTTTAGCTAGTGAGTAATTTGATGTGAATAATCTGAAATCTTTATATATTCATTTAACTAATAATGCAGTATAAAAGAATCATCCCAGCTACGGAAAGTATGAATTGGGAAATCAGCTGAGTCTATAGGATTTGCAACATTATTTAAATTAATAGAGAAATACTAAAGTATCTTCAGCAGGAATTATCCTAAAAATGAAGGAACTAATTCATTAAACGATATATTGTGCCGGATCTAAATTGCGTGACAGTTGATATATGTACTTAATTTTTAGATCGGAAGGATTTCTAATTTGAAATATTTGGTTACGATTTTATGGTCGATAAAAATGGGCACATTTGGTTGATTGAGATTAATACTAATCCCTGTATTGAGGAAAGCAGTCCACTTTTATAAAAATTGATACCGAGAATGTTAAGTAACTAATTGAATCAGTTGTAGATGACGCATTTAGATTGACAATTGATAAAATATTTCCTCCTTTCAAAACAACGCAAGAGAACTTTCTTTCAAATTTAAATGAATATGCTATTCCGGGATATAGTGATAAAGATATCCTGTGGGATTACATGGGATAAATTTGATTTATAAGTCATTAAATAATATCATTACTATATAAAATGGGATTTGTATGCTCTAAACAAAAAGAAAATCATACGGAGAAGAGAGTTGAAATAAAAAAGCAGGAGGACATTCGACAAAGTGTGAGCACTACTAAAGAGGCGATTGACTTTGTAGAAAGCAACTCATTGGCGAATGTGATGAGAACTAAGCCTATAAAATCTTATTTGGTGGAGCAAATTGAGAAATAGTAAATTCAGATGGATTCATGTGAAATCTTGGCAGAGAGAATAGAGGCTAAATCCTAATTAATAATTCGAAGCTATAATCATTTCACTGAGAAAGCTTTGAAAATAAAGTCGAAAGTACTAGAGTATTATCGAAATGAATACCTGAATTATATAAATTCCAATCTTGATACAATTACAAATATAGAATTTATATAAAAAGAAACAATTTAAGTAAATTTATTGTGATTTTATCTAATAGTTACTAGTAGAAACAACAATCATTTTGAATTGTCTAATGGATAAGAACTTTGACGATGAAATTGAACTATGGTGGGGAAACAATTACTTTAGTGATCGAATTTAACATTTAGCTCTTACTGCTACTGATTGTTCGGATAACACAGACGCCATTACTACTCCTATAATACAATACATAAATGCATTGAGGAACAAAATACTTCAAGTGATACCAGTCCAAACTAATCAACCTAAGTCCATTGCAAATAGTGTTGCTATTGCTAATGTCCACTTAACTCAATTCTATCAAGATCTTAAGTTGGAATTTGCAAAAAAGGTTGATGAAGAAGATGAAAACTATTGAATATAAAGGTTAACAAAAGTCTTAATAATATAATTCATATAATTAATTCATTGTGTTTGTTAGTGATTGTGGTCATCGTGCTGATCCGAACAAAGAATCACTTCTATATTACAGACTGGACATTTTTTGTGATTTAAGAGCCATGCTTTAATACACTTTGAATGATATATGTGATTGCATGGAAGTTATCTATATACATTACCAGTTAAGATTTGATCATAACAAATAGTGCAACTATTTGTATATAGAATTAATAATGTACATTTCATCAACGTTGTCATTTTCTTCTTTGGCTCTTTTAGGAATCTGTTTAATAACTTCCTTCGGTAATCCCACATTTTGATTCCTTATAATAATAGTGAACATAAAATACCCAATTCTCTCCTATAGATTTAAGATTTATTCGTATGTCATATTGTCAATATTAACATTCTATTAATTTTGGGCCTATTGATTTAAATATTGCATTTCTTAGACGATAGATTCATGCATTCCTAATTGTAGTAATATTTATCTCAGTTCTTCTAATTATAAAAATGGAGCATTCTATTCTATTTTCATAATTTCATATACATTAGGCATCTGTGTATCGACCATAAAAATAATTCAAAGCATCTATTATTCTTCTCTTATACATCTTCTTCTTGTCTCTGCAGCTTCTAAACTTGTTGGAAACCTGTTGAAGTTTGGTTTATGTATCTTTAACTTTTATCCAATAATCAGAAACAGTCTAAAATTAATTTAAGAATTACCGAATTCGCCTTTCTCAATCTTTACTCCAATAACTCATTTTACTTCTTTAACTCTGCTATTTGATTTTAAAGTAATTTTATTTCTGAAGTTTGATCGGCTAATCGTTACTCCAATGCTAAAATGAACCAATCAATTACTATCTTAGTTTGAAGGCATTTAACTTAGATTATTCTTGAAATTTGGACTTAATTTAAATGTCTAGACTATTATCATTAGTATAAATGAAATACTTCTAAATACTTATCTATTATTTCCTTTTGCATTTTTAGGTTGTTACTATTCTTTGGCAAACTAGGGAGTTTACACCTTATGACATGAAGGAGGTCTAAAAATATTACTATTATTGTTCATATATTATAAAAAATATTTTAAAAGCAATTAAATTATCATTACTTCTACACATCCTAAAACACACCCACAACTTCCATAAGACTTTCCCGATTTTCAACTCCTTAAACTATTAATGCATGAGTCACAGGTTTCCTACACAATAAACACAAATCACTTTTAGTCAACAATTATTACGAACATTCCTAACAAAATCCTCCATGACCACAAGGCTGATTAATCATATTACTTTCTTTTTCATAGCATACTAAACATAATTAAATCTATTTAGGTTATCCTCTACTTGATAGTTCTGCACCAATACTTTCACTAACTTCTAGTTTTAATCGAGGAGATGATAATAACTGATCAAACCTCTTTGTAAGTTCCTCATCATAAATTTATGAAGATTGCTTTTTAACTTCTTTATTTTATTTCTTCTCTGATAAACTTATTGATTTAAATTTCTTATCTTAATTTAATATTGATCCAACTGGCTTACTTATTACACTTGTTTATTCCTATCTTTTAAAATAAGTAGCAGATAATTTTATCATAAATTAAGGCATCTTACTTATACTTATTCTGTGAATTTATTTTATCCTTTCCTTTATACCAGCTTGTTCATTGTTCCTTTCTTAACTCTATGCTTATGTTTAATTTTCTTAGTTGCTTAGATAAAAACTAATTATACTTCACAATTTTACATTAAATCTTTCTTGTTCCTTATATAGTAGCCAATTTCAAATATATAATAAATTATTGTTAGTATAAATGCGGCTAGATTGATTGATGGTATCTAATAGTCTAGCGATAATCCCAAACCCAAAAATGTTAGTAAAGATATTGAAATAAAACCAATCATTACTATGTTAAACCACATACTACCATAAACTTATATAATTATACTCTTACTTATCTCCTTTTTATTTTCTAATTTGCTATTATAACACTTCATCAATAGATCAATGAATAAGCTTATTTCGAACAATATCATCGTACCAATACTGAACCAAATAATAATAAAAGTTTGCATCCAACTCCAGTCTATTTGATCACTCAATTTCAAACTTAAAAACACAATCTATAAGGATCCAATACTTTTAATAGCTGAGACTAACTACACTCATAACATAAATACTATATCTTGTATTTGCTTTGATTGACCATGCCCATCACTTTCTGAGTTCTGTCTGCCCAATATAACTGTAATTGCTAATATTATAAATTATATTATCAGAAGAGTGTAGCTAATCAAGTTAATATTGATTGGAGAAACTTCTCTGTCGTATATAAAGCCCAATAGGTAAGTAATTAATAATGTACTTTCCAATATGGCAAAACAACAGTAAGAATTAATCCTAATTTAAATTATGCTGCTACATACCCTTAACTCGAGAGGAGTTTGGAGATCAAAAAGCCGAATTGTGCTGTACAAGCGTATATAATAATTATTTTGTAATCCCATCCGAAACATATATTTGTATTAAATAGAAAGCATAAACCATTAAATAGAGTAACTAATAAAAATATCTTATTCAAGCCAAATATGTTACAGATTATAAATCCTATTTTGCTTTCATCTTCTGATAATCTAATTCTGTCTATTGCATATAATAATAATTTAATCAATTATAATTTAAAATAATTTCTCCATCACTCAAATTTTTAATATAAAAATTATGAAATAACTTTAAATCCCTAATTATTTTTATTACTTTTTCATTTATTTAAAGGAATTTTCATTAGGCAAAAAATTTGAATATTTTTGAAACGGATTAGAATGATTTTTAATTTTTATTGTACAACATATAAACATTAATCTATATCATTCTAAATCGTCGTCATCATTTTCAATTTCTTGAAGTTCTTCAACATCGAATTATTTTATCTTTACAAAATGATTGAGTATAAAATCAAAAGGAGCATTTTATTTAATCAAATCAAGAAAATCCAAAAAGCTTTATTTAATTTTATTGAAAACACTTTTGTAAATCTTCTCATCCTTTAATTCTTTTATTAAACTACCATAGGATTAAATAATTACAATTAACCAAAACTCAATAATTTAGTGCACAATTCTATGTAATAAGCTTACTAAAATTCTGGATCATTGAAGTAAGGGAACTTTTTGCACTCAGAGATAAACTTATTCAAACAAGTTTTATTGTCAACTTTTTTATAAACCAACGACTTCATTTTTTCTCTTATTTTTCGAATAATTCGATCTTTTTATTTAGATAATAAATACATTCAATTGTTTTTAATTTTGCTAAGGATAAACATTCATCATTCTCTGCGTTGCAAAAATACAATACTGATCCTTCCCCCATCTCCTTTAAACTCATTTTAGCTATTTCGTTTGATAATTGAAGCATTTTCATTTTTAAATCCTCAATTCCATTAGCAACGATTTCTCTAAATTTTACAGTCTTTAATTGTAAATTATCAAAGATTTATTGAGAAAACTTAGGTGATAAACAAGTTTCAGTTCCATTTTTTTTCACAATTGAGAAAAATCTTATTTAGACTTCATCATATCTGATTAAGTGTTACAGTTAAACATGGCCACAAAATTCTCCAATAAATGTATGATCTTACAATATATTTTTTAATCCTTCTATTGGTTAATTTAACTGTTTTAATTCTTTGAACCATTATTTTGCAATCATTAATGCCACTAGATATGAATTGTTCTAATAACATTAAGCTTCTAGATCATTTTCATTTCTAAGTACAAGAGTTTTGTTCTTTGATGAAACACTCCAACTATCAATATCCTTGCAATATGAAATCTAACAGTTTTCCCCATTTGCTTTTTCTGAAATATAGATTTTAATTTATTTATTTTATTAAGCTAGCTCTTGAGCTCTGCCAATATTGTAATAATTAATCGTGTTACAAAATTCACCACCTTTCCCTTAAATATCTTCAAAGTACAAATCAAAGAACTTCTTTTACCCTTTTCTTAATATTTTCCAACCTTAACCATAGTTTACATAAGCCAAACCCCTTCTAAAAGTTTAATGTATTTGTTTATTTAATGAAAATAAGGTGTCCTCTTCATAATGGATTTTTAATTTAATATCTCTAATCTAAAGATCTAAATCTTTGAGATTACATTCAACAACCTAAGAACTTGTCAAAATATTAAAGGTTTGTAAAAAGTTATCTAATTCTTCAATTGTTAATTATGTCTCTGGTTACTAGATAGAAAATTAAATATACATCTGCTCTAAATGATTTTAAACTTTATATCAGAGGTTCCAAATTCTTGGTTATTCTTGACTTCTTCCTTTTCTATTGTAACATTAAATAAATTAGATTTATATTAAAATATTTACCATAATAATTCTTATATAAAATAAAATATAATTCTTTCATTATTTATTATCACCTTATTCTATCAATTATTTAAACACATTCATATCTTCCTTTCCTTTTTTCTATATTCTATCCTTGATATCTAAATAGCTTTTATCAATTAAACTAAAAAGTATTTATTAAATCTATTTCATGTTTGCATCCTGCTGACCTTTAAGGAAACTAATTGCATATATTAAAATATATACTTAGAAGCTTCTTGGAGTAAATTAGTAGCAAATTGCAGGTATTATTTCCTCTTGCCTTAATCAATTGCTGTAAACTATTGTACGCTTTGTTACAAAGCCTAATAAGTTTTAACTGGGTTTCCTTTTTAGTGAATGCAATCTTTCAATGCCTCTCTAATTTACCTATGAATTTTGTCTATATAGGGTTTGAATATCAAATACATTCAATAGTTTTCAATTTCCCTAGTGTAAGGCATTGATCTTAATTATTTACAAGATATAAAACTGCTCCTTCTCCCTCTTCCTCTATGCTCCTTATTTTAATCATATCCTTTAGTTTTTTTAGTTCAATAATCAGATTCTCTTTGCTATCAACTTGAACTTCCAATCTACAAGAAACAGTTGGAAGTTAATATTATTAAAACAACAATCTAGATTCACCTAATGGTTCACAAGTTTCTAAACTGCTATGTTTAACTCTTGAGAAAAATTTTAAAGAAATATTGTCATATTTTACTAAGTGCTAAAATTTTGGATGTCCACAATATTCCCCAACTAAAGTAGAATTTGATAATTCTTATTTAATCTCTACTAGTTGAGGATTTTAATCTATCATTTTAAACCATTATTTCGCAATTTATATTGCAAGATTAAATTTTTGATCTGAATAAATTTTCAAATCATCAACTCCGTTACATAAAATAGCAGTATTTTTGGAACAAATCACCCACATATTCAAAGGTGGAAAAAAACTTATTTATGCATTTTCCCCATTGGCTTTTTCCTAAACTTATATCTAAGTGTTATTAATTGTTTCTTACTTTAATTGACTTTCCATTTTCTAATTCTTTGTATATTCTATGAAAAGTGTAAAATGATATTTGATTATTTAAATCATTTTTTTCCTCAGACTTTGCTTTTTCTTGATCAATTATTTTTCTAATTTCTATATACCATTTACATATCAAAAAATTTCATCATTCCTTTTCGAAGTAACTTGTATTAATTTTAAAAGCCTATTAAACTTAATCCTCTTCTAAATGTTTGATGTATGACAAAACTTGATGTTAGAATTTTATCTTCAATTTCAGGATCAACATTTAATTTTAGATCAATAATCTCAACCATTTAATTTTAGATAGTATGAACTTCTCTTTTCACAAGAAATATATCAGAGAATTCTTCACAAATCTTTATAATTTCTTCGGGTTCTAATTATACATTATCCTTCATCATATTTATTAAGAGCTACTTATTATTCAAATTTCTTGCGTAATTATTCTATAGTCGTTTTGATTTCCTCTTTTTTTTATGCTTTGATTTCTCTGCCATGCTATTTTATCACATATTTTTTATTATCCATTTAAATATATATTATAAATTAACATTTCATTAATCAATTGTTTAAATGTAGATTCACACTTTTTCTCTTGATAAATATAATTATTTTTAAATGTTTAGATGAACAAAAATAAAATGTTGTTCCTATTGAGATGATGGAATTAAAATATTCAATTGTTTAAAAATTACTCACTTAATTCCGCATTAATTTAATAATGAATCTATTTCATCGAAATCTTTATCGAGATCATTCAACTCCTATTGAATTTGCTAATTAAACTCTTATTTTTCTTATTACTCTTTTGAAATTGTCATTTCATATTTTTAAAATTAATCTAATTCTTATTATATTTTTTATTTCATATTTGCTGTTACTTATCCATTCTAATCACTCTGAGTATCTTATTATGCAGATTCTTATTCTTATGAAATCTAATCAAGTTCTACAAGCTAAGCCTTCCATTAAGTCAATTTTAGCAAGATATCATCATCCATTTTATTAAGATTAAGCTAATTAATAGGATAGTTTTCTAAATTTTCTAATCTTTAAGAACTTTCTTATAACTTTTGTGTCACTTCTTAGGTTTTTTATTCACTAGCCATATATTTTGGAATTTGAAGATATTCCTTCATATATTCCTGTCTAATCTTTTGCAATTTATTATTTAGATCAGTTTATTATTATAATAATTCCTCTTATCTAGTGTCCTCTTCTTCCTCATCTATTTCATATCCACTTTTGTAGATGATTTTTTTTGTTTGTTAGTTTTCCATAAGTTGTTTTTTCAATTCAAGATTTTCATTTTTTTTCCATTCTCTCAAATCCTTAATTGCAGAATCAATTTCTTCCATTAAAAGTTTATTTTACGTGGAACGTTATGAGGATGCACTCATAGTCCTTAAGGTCTTGATGGAGTTTGGATTGAACATATTATTTATAAAGTAATGTTTATAATCAAATAAAATAATAAAATTACGGATGTCTTGGGGCAGGTCCTTTTTTCATAGTAACATATCTATCAATATAGGATTCAAGTTCTTTTTTGATTTTTTTATCGTTCTCTTTTTCTTCAGGAACGTACTCTAAAAGATTGGCAAATTTATTATCATCTTAAAATCGTTATTTCGTTAATATCAATGCTTGTTGGATCTTGAATGTGTTCATCCTAAAAAGATAAGGAGTTGCAGACATACTTTTCCAGAAAAAGATCGTATTACTCATTTGCTTTAATGGCTTCCTGAAAGTAATTATCTTCTTTGCTCCTGGGCAATTATCTAATATGCTTGATGACCTAGACTAAGTATAAAACTGTACTTTCTATTGCTTCTCAGCTACTATCTTCTTGGTACCAATTCTGTGACCAAAGATCATATCATTGTTGGGCTGGTTAGTTTAACATTAATGTAGTTTCATTTTTTTATTTATTAAATTAGTTTATGGACTAAGATTATATAATACTCTTATTTATTGTTTTAGTTTCCATAATTCTACTCATGATATTATACTTTATAGTAAGAAAATAACAAAAATAAATACCTAAGACTCAACTTGATAGTTCAACTCATATAGAAATTACTTAATTGGAATAAAAACCATAAAAAAGTTATTAGAGAATGATCAAAAAGCAATTGAAAATAAACATACCCAATAGCTCATTTGACCCTTGATCAATTTTTATAATATTATAAATATATATTTAACGAATACATGTCTTTTACTTATCTGCCATTTCATAATCTTGCTTACTGTCCAAAGTAAGTCATAGAATTTGTACAAAATCCAAATCTCAATCTGCAAGATTTGAATCATATGATAGAATAAATGAGGATGCCCAGAAATCATCTAAAAGCAATTTAGAAAATGCAAATATTAGCATCACGGTAAGAACAATTCTTGTAGGATGAAAATACAATGCAAAATTAGGAGGAGGAAATCCATTCTCCAAAACAACTTTTAAGTTAAATTCCATACTGAAAACTTATATATATATATTTATAATAAATTTAGACACACAAGTTTAGATATTCTTGCTTCGTTCTCCATTAATTATTAAATATAATCATAAATTGTACTAATGCAATTTGATTTAGAAATTTGGATCAAATATAGGAACCCCATTAAATGATTACTTCTAATCTTAAATATTTTTTTCTATTCTCCTTCTATAAGATCTTGAGGCTGTTTATCGAATTTTCTTCTCCTGGGATCTGACATCCTAAGTCATGTAAATGCCTGATGTACTTTCACTGTAGGTAGATGCTCGAATTCTTTTTAATCATTTGTTTCTGCAGGTTTTAATTTTTTTATAATCCATTTTGGGCCTGTTCTTTATGCAACTTGTTATAAATGAACACCGAATTGTTTTTCCAATACCTTATTTGCCCAGCCTGATCCATAAGGATTTTTCTTTGTTTCTCTGAGTACTATAAACTAGATTATACAGCTAAAGCCTACTTTTGTTTGAAATCACTTTCTTTTCATTTTTAATTGAGATTTCTAAACTATCCTGATGAATTGATTGCTTCTAACTTTCAAGTTCATCGTTTTCTAAAAACTATAAAATAGTCTAATGTTCACTCAAAACTGCAACATATAATTAGGATTGGAAAAACAGACTATCCCTTTACTGTTTCATAATTAATAAATACTTAATATTTGATAAATCATATATCATTTTAGGATCAGGTGAAGAAATTAATTACTTAACTTAAGATCCAAACCCCTACTAAAAGGCCCCAAAATTCAAATTTAAACAACGTATTTTAGAGTGATGACGGCTCCTATTATTATTGTTACTGTTCTAAGAAGGCCACATCCTCTTGAGTGATACTGCTTCCTTAGTTGGATTGCAATTCTTTGAACTTTGCAATAACATTATCTCTTTGTTGTGTGACATGATTTAATGATGTCTTTAAATCCTAAATTTCTTTTTATTGCTTTGTTAAATTCTCTTATTAATTAGTATACTTATCTTTTTATTGTTATAATTGATTTTCTGTTTCTGTGAGTTTGCTCTTCAAATTTTAGATTTTCTTATTATATTCCTGCTCCTTTGATTCAGCCTATTATTTTTGTTAAAATTGAGATTTCGCGAAATCCAGGGCTAATTCTTCTTTAAGTTTTTCCTTTTATAAATCTAATGTTTATTAATTGAACTACTAATTTGTTTAGGGTTACTAACCTCTTAATTATTCTTATCTTTTTTATTCTTCCAATAATTACTACTATTAGAGTGATTATTATCTTTATTATCTTTCTTCCTATTCTTTTTAAAATTTCTAATAAATATATCTATTATTTACCACTCTTTATTGATCCTCCTATTGTTATCTTTATTCAGCTAATAATTTAGATTTCAACTCCTCCTCTCTTTGTTAAGCCTCTTCTCTCTCCTTTTATTATTTTCTTCTTTATTCCTCTTGTTATTATTTTAAAAATTCCTATTGTTATTGCAGCAATTTCTATCTTTAATCCTCTTATTATTTTTTAGCTATTTCCTGAAGCTTTTCTTATTCCAGTCTCTTTCTCTACAGTTCCTGATTATCGTTTTAGGGAAATAGAGAAGAAAATTTCTGTATGTCTTAAGGACTCATTTCTGAACCAATTACATATTACAACTATGTGTAGGTGCTTGCAAAAAACTCAACCTATCAAATCGATATGTTATCATACACTATCATTATCGACCTCATCTTCAAACACAATGTACCATACATTATTTTGTAATATGCTTTTGGTCACTTTTCCAATGCATTTAAACTTCTATAGCATGTCATTCTCAGCAATTCCATCAGGCAACCCCCAAATTTTAAGGTAATTAGATGTTTGATCCATAAAATAATTTAATAATGCATAGAGATACTTTTAAATCAATCTGGTCTAATTTGGATTAAGCCTTAGGTGATTCCTCCTTCTCTTCTTATTATGCTTCGTTTCAAAGGAGAAACACTCCAAACAAATACAAATCTTCGAAAAGCGAATTGTTGTCATTAACTGCCACAAGAATCAGATTCACCTGTCCCATGAATAAAAGGGATAGATTTGTCGATCTGCTTTTGGAGGCTCGTGGTTAGGACAATGAACTTGACAAAATCACCATTGAAAACATAGAACGACACTTTGGAGTTGATTTCTTGCAATTAGAATCTATGCATTTGAAACTGAATGCAGCGAAGGTGATTGGATCTTAGTTAAAAAATGACGAGAAATACCTAAATGTATGCTTAGGGAACAATTAATTTGGAGACGAGGGTTTCAGAATTCTCACTACTAATCTTTTCTACAATAGATGCATCATCCATTTGGATATTAGCAAATCAGTAACTTAAACTCACAAACCATATAGTGTATAACTCCCAAAGGATTTCGCGATGCCCTACCCTACTTGAAACCGATCTACACTCTTGTCTCCTTGAATTTGTCTGGAAATCGATTAAGCAGTGTTGGAAGCAAGGCTCTTTAACAATTAGTGGATTAGCATGGCAATATTCAATTTTTGAATCTCTACTCAACATTCTCAGAGATCATATCAGGAGATTTCGTAAGTTACAATCAAGGATTCAATTCATTAAAAAATACTAATACTATATGTTCATCCTTATGTCTAAATTTGTAAGAGAATGAACTTAAAGACTCTGGGATTGAAGGGATAAATGAAAAAATCAGTCATTGGAATATACAAGTGCTTAATCTAAGTGAATGTCAAATTACATCACATGGTTTAAGTAGATTAGTAGATCGAATTGTGAATCATAAATACTTGGAATCTTTGATTTTGTCAAAGAATAACTTTGGAGGATCGGTTAGTTGTCTATTCAAACTATTATCACAAAATAATTGGCTCTAAAAATTGAATCTGAGTTATTGTTAAATTGCTGAATTCTCATAGATAAGTGAGGGTTTAAAAGAGAATAAGGGGTTGAGGGTAGATAGATCTTAGTGGTAATAAAGTAGGGGAACATGCTATAATATTAGGATTGTATATGTAGAGATTAACTCACATAAAACTCAATGATTGCGATTTAAGATAGAATGTAAATGACATCTTGAAGAGATTATATTATTCCAATCTTAAACATTTAGAAATCAATCAAAATAGAATTGAAGATTTAAAAGAATTGAAGACGTTGCTTATGAAAAATAAGGAAATTGAGAAGATTACTTATGGATTAAATATTGATTAACTACAAACAACATTAAGAAATTTAAAAAATCTTTAATTTGAATATTAAATATTAACAAACTCAAATAATCCCAAAATTCAAATAAGAATTATCTAAAATTTGGGCTAGTTTGAATAAGAGCGAATCATGATTTCTAGGAAAATGCATGAGCTAAATGAAAAAAAGAAGGAGAAGGATGAAGAACTGTTTATACTTAACTAGAAATTAGACAAGACAAAATTTGAATAAGAATTATTAACAAAAGTCAAGGAAAAAGAACTTGTAGAAAAATAAAATGAATTAATTTCTGTTAAATTATAATTTGAAAAATATAACTAAATAAGCATCAGAGTTAAATAATGATAAACAAGAATCAAAATAATTATTAATAAATACCATTAAAGAATAGAACTTATGCAAACAGCTGATAGGTCCTATTGAAAAACTATAAGACAAACTAGATCAATTAATGATGAGAAAATAACACATTATTAAGGAGTTAGAGCATAAATTGCATAAATAAAATATCATATATAATAGGCAAGTGTTAGATTTTGATAAATACAAAAAATGATCATGTATATGTGCACTTAACTAAGACTATTTGTTATTATAAGAAATAAGTTAAAATAATTAAATTTAAATTCATAAATGAGACCTTCTTTTGGAAAAAAAGTGAAATAAGACGATTCTGATAATAAATTTAAAGAGAAAGTCTATCGCTCTATGTATCCATCGCCTTGTTCTTCATAGTAAAAATTAATTTTTGAAATTCTTAGCGATCCTAACAAATGGCTACAAAATAATGACATCTCGTGGTTGTCTCATTCTTTAGAATAGGACATAGATAAAATCCTATAAATTGCTGTCCCATAACCACTCAAACCTTAAAATAATAGACGAGCTAGTGCAAATGATATTAGGGAAGAAATTGATGACAAAATAGAGAAACAAAAGAGACACACTTGGTATGTTGACAAAAAGCATGAAGATTAACCAAAAAACAGTAAACTCAAGATAAATATGAGTTCCATTATTTGTGAATTTCCAATTTAAAAAGTTACGCGGTAATCAATATCTGATCAACCTAAAACACCCAATTGTTAGAAGTCTTTTATGGAAGCAATTATTTCAAGATATTAATAGAAAAATGAATAAGAGGATTAGTTAGAAAAAGAGAAAAAATACTTATTTTAAAGTGATAAAAAATAAAAAATCCTTGATCCTGACATTTATTAAAATGAAAAAGATGATAATGTCTTAAATGATGACCAATTAAGTATATCTACCAATGAAATTAATCCTACTAAATAAACTTAATCAAAACAAACTAGACCCAAGAAGGTTGGTAGAAAAAAGAAATCCTTTGTGAGAGTACCTAAAAGAAAATAGAGATAAACAAAAAAATAAGACAGAATATAACCACTTCCTCAACCAACTTAGACTGAATTATATCAAGAGAAAACTAAATATATTAGACCATAATAAACTATAGATCAACCTATATTCAATACAAAATAATGTTGGGCTAGAATGCAACTTCGTAAGGAAGCTAAAAAGTACGAGAAATATCAAACTTTGGAATTTTAAGATTTATTGCAATCCTTACCAGGATGTTATATTCACAAATGTGAAGGAGATTTGAGGATAGATAAGATTAGACCCATGTAAAATGCAAAAGGAAAATATTTTTAATCTTTCGAAATGTGGATAAATCCATTAGTATTAATTGGACCAATAAAAATGAATAATTAAGTTAAATTGGTAAATATATAATAATTTATCTTAGCATGTAAGATTTAAAAAGGGATATGCAGGGTAGGTCTTTTGTGATAGTTAATTATAGGAGACACTCCCTATAAATTAAATTGACGGAAGGACATTTCATAAATAATAATTAATACTTGCTAATAACTCTGATCATGTGATTAAATTGGTCTGTTGTTTAGTTAATATATCAATTAAAGCTCCAACAAGAAAACGTAAATGAATAATTAGTATTATAATTTTTATGTTTTTTTAACATTATTTCAACATTTTCTTAAGATTGATTTTATAAGTGCTTTTTAAAAGAGGTGTTTAGTTGATTTAAATCTAACTATTAATGTTAAATGAATTATGGAAAAACTGCTTTAAATATTAGTAATCCCAATATTTCTATCGAACTCAAAAATAGTTCTCTTTTGTAATTATTTATTTTCTTAAAATTTTGAAGTCCATGAGTCTAAGATTAGAACTTTTGAGATGGGTCAATGAAAAATGTCCATCTATGAAAGCAAGCAATATTGAAAGCCTCTCTGATGGAAGACATTTCTTATGTTTATTGAGAAAATACTTTCCAGACATAGAAGTTCCTTAATTTAAAAAAAGCTCTTCAATTGTATAAAGAATGGAATCTTTAAATCTTGTGGCCTTATATTGCCAAAAATTAGATGCTTCATTCAAAATAGATGTCCTTAAAATAGCAAATAAAGAAGCTACTACAATTTTAAATATGCTAAAATTTCTCAAATCAATTCTAGATAAAACACCTATTAAAAATTCAATTATTTAGGAAGAATTTTAAACTATATCAAAAGTGTTGGAAAAAGATAATCGCAAGATTTGTGAGGAAGTTCCTGCCCCATAGGCTCAACAAACATAAGATGATGAAACTCAAACTCCTGAAATTAAAGAAGATCTGAGTTCATTACATCAGTTTTAATTTTAGCTTAAAAGACTTATGTCCTTAAAATTGTAGCATCCATTTTTAGAATTGGAACTTCTTAGAATGTTAGATTTTGATCAGGAAGTTGCTGATATGTTACAACATTATTAATTAGCAATTTAAAAAAGAAGTAAAAATTCAAAACATACTGATTATCATTCTATTCATAGCAGTTAATTCTATTATAGAGGTGAAGCTAATTTACTTGATGTAGATTATTCGTTTGATCAATAATAAGCTAGTAAAAGAAGCACAGAATTTGATAATTTATTTTAAGTGAGTGACGAAAAGTTTAATTTATGATTAATCAATTTATGTAAAGATTAGATTAAAAAGAAATCCTCATTAGTTGAGATTTATTGGATTAGACAATTGTTAATAATAAAAAAAATAATAGTTCATCTCTTTTTTATTTTCTATTTCTCTCTTATTTATATATTCTTTGTGTCCATCTGTTTTTATACGTTATCTAAAGAAGCCTACAATCTAGTCTTGATTATTCCTTGTTAAATATGTTTTTCTTTGGATTCAATTTATTAATTCTTCAACCTAGTATTTGGAAAAACATCACCTTTAGAGGTTTTTTGAATCTTACCTTTGCTAGCACCTTAAATGTTATTTAATTCATTTTTAGATAATATTTCAATTTATTAATTAACTTTGGAGTTAATTTTATCTTAACTTTATTAAAATTTAGGGGGATTTTTTTTATTATTTTCAAAAATATTAATACCCATTGATTTGATTTCTGTGGGTAATTCTTCTTGCTATGAAGTAGATCTGTTTTTTTCTTTGTTATCATTATAAATTTGTGAGCCCTGTTTTATTTTTCTACTTTTTGATCTGGTTTGTGTTTATGAAATCTGTGAACTGTTAGAAGTACTTTTATTAAAATCATTTTATGATTTGGGCTTTGCTCTTTTTTGTAGTAGTTTAAATAAGATATTTTCTTTTAATACATCATTTTATTGAGGAATCGAATTGATTGGCTTTTCTTTGTAATCGGCTAAACAAATATTTCCAAGATTTTTTATTTCTAACTAATGGATATTCATTTCATGTTCTTGATTAATATCAATCGATTAGGTTGTATTTTTGTTGTTTTTATTGGTGACAAATTAATTAGAAATAATAATAGGCTAAATTTCTAAATTACCTGAACAATTGTTTGCAATAGAATTATAATCGGGTTCAATTTGATTTTGGAATGATTATAGGAATTCAGAATTTTAACAACTTTCCTAACTTTCATAGCATACTTTTTTGGAAATCACTTCTATGTCAGATTCTAAACCAATTGATAATTCATTTGGGTTTATTACAATATATTATTGTTCTTTTTATCTTTATATAAAAGCCTCGTACACTTTAGGTTTAAATCTTGACATTAAATAATCTCTTAGATTGCGCTTCTCATTAAATATTGTTCCTTAGTAATCAACTGAGTTTGTTTAGCCTATTGTAATTTATCCAAGGATTTGCTGTATAAATATTCAAGACAGACTGCTTTATGAAATAGCATTCCAAAAATGCCCAGCTCTTTTAGACACCATAAACACTTTACCATATTTTTATTAAAATTCTTTTATGACACTAGTATTATAAAATGAAATAGGTCTTGAATTATTTTGTCAACTTTAAATTGTTAATTTCTTTTTATATCTTAATAATATTATTTAGTAGTAGTAATAAATTGGTAATGGAGTAGGTTTGTAATGGTTTAAGAGTTTTGATGATAAATTAATAAGTTATTAAAGATAATGATTATACTCATTAATTCAATAATATTAGCATAGCAGTCATGTTGTCACAACCATATCCAGTAGAAGTGTCAGCAGCTAAGGAAGTATCAAGTAATTATTCCAAAACAATGGAGGGTTCTTGTTTCTCAGCCACATGTGCGGAGATGAACTCCATCACTTTATAACTGTTTTAGGTTTCGAATACACCATCGCATCCCAAAAAGAGAAAACTATATGATATAGATTAAATTAAGTTACCGATCATCTTTATTTAATTTAATTTTCCTGATTTCAGGTTCTGCTATAACCATTTACTAATTAGCAGGTAATGGTTCCTACTTGAATTCAAAATCACCAAAAGCTCTGGAAACAGACAGGGTACCATTTAGACGACCTTATTCATCAACAAAGCCTCCAGCATATCTAATTCGTGCTAATTCATTGCTTGGAAGATGATCTTTAGTGAGTTCAATAGTTTCGTCATCTCTCATTAAGAGGCATCGAGAGTCTCCCAAGTTGGCCACATAAAGCATTTTATCTGCTATCAAAGCTACGACTGCAGTAGAACCTATAAAAGTATCTTTGGGTTTTATTATTAATATATACTTTTGATTTCATTATTTTTAATCATATCGTCCAGCTACAAAAATGTGTCATGAAGTGATTGCATAAAATCCATTTTTTCAAATGCAGGTTAAGAGATCAATACATTCATGAAATTTTCAGCCAAAAACTACGAAATCCCAGATCCACCATGTCCATCAAATACAGCAAATAAAGAAATATTTTCAATAAAATTTGGTTTCATCAGATGAGCATCTTCCATTTACAATCGCCATCCTATTGTTCAATATTAGTGATATACCTTGCATGGCAGTAGTATAGCATGATAAATTGCCACTAAACTAATATTCATGGTATTTCTGGGTTATAGGTTGGGATAAAAAAGATCCCATATATATTATTTATAAATAATAATTAAGTGCTAACTTATTGAATTATGAATTTGAGTTGTATAATATCAAGTAATATTTAATTTGATATCATCTTTTATGACAATTTATTATATGAAATATTATGTTTTTAATAATTGTCGTATTATTACACAATTGTATAAATTTATTAATTTCTAACTTCCATTTCTAATCCATAATTTTTCGTTTGAATTAAGTTTTCCAAAATTTGATTTTCAATAATTATTCGTTTTTCAATATTATAATTAAATTAATACTGAATGAAACAATTATTAATGTGGATAAATTTTGAGTAATCTATTTGTTTCTCCACTAGAAATGACACCTCAATAACTAACCTAAGGTTAGGATCTAAGTTTCGCATGAATGTTGTCAAAATATATAATTAATTATAAAATCAATATATCATCATTTAACAACTACTTATTTAGATAAATAAGGTTATAATTTGATTAATAAATTTGGTCTTCTTTTTATCAAAGTTTTATCTGACCAAGATTAATTATTTACAATTTTTTCATGAATTGTGTGTGACTTTTTTTAAATCAACTAATTTAATGGGGTATATGAAAGTGATTAATGTTCTGAATTCAAAGTTACAGCCTTATTTGATATATAAGACGTGATGATACTATGTGATTGTTTTTTAATCATTTCTGATACAAAGCTCTTCTTTTTTTGCTAGATTATTTTTAAGGATTGTTTTCTATCAGTAAAGTTCACTCTTTTTTGATATGCTCGAATTTAATCCAAAGCAGGAGAAAATTCAACTGATTCTTATTGCGATTTGACTAAGTATTCAGAAATCTATTTTTAGTAATTTATTAATTTTTCTTTAGAAACTAATACACTTTTTTTAGGCATTTAAAAGCATGTATGTCTTCTCATTGCACTCTTTCTCTACATTACAAGAATGTCAATCTTTCTTTTTAATGATTCTTCCAAATTTAATATAGGGCCTTGATGTTATTCTTCAGCCACTGTTTTGGCTCTAGTATGTCTCATTCTAATGAATGGAGCCAAAGGGAGTGTTTTACTTCGAAGCTTCTTAAGTTTATTTTTTTGTAGTCTACTTATGAATTCTGTATTTAAATAAATATATACTATATTGCCATCTTAATCGATTAAGCTTTTTCTTTTTAGCTTTTTCTGCAGTTATATAGTGTTATTTTATGGTAGTTTTAGGTGCCTTATTATTAAGACGTCTTTATTTTTCACTCATAGTTTCATAATAACTCCATCTTCTGGCGATTTTCATAAATGGAGCACTGCTTCTTCTTTGAGTACTGGTAATTGATTTTTCGCTCTTGCCCAATGTGTCAAATGGATTAGGTTTAGAAGGGAGTCTCTTTAGAGCATTCTTTTCAATTGGTGGTTTCAATAGCATAGGACTCTTAGTTGATCTATTTTTAGGTGTTGACAATAATAATGCATGTTGTTCAGTCTTGAAACTCGTTGATCGGAATAATTTCTTAGGTTTTATTTTTTTTTCATTCTTCTCTTGTGGAGATTTGAGTAATATTTTCTGTTGTTTTACAAGCCTTTCCAATTGATTAGAAGTTATTAAATTACCAAAGGCTAGATTTTGATGAATCATTTAATTTTATATTGAAGTTAAATCAATTAAATAATAAACATCAATAAATATTTAAGTATCAGACTGCAAAAATAATCAATAATAAAATTATATAAATTTATCTCATTCACCTTTTTGATTGTTTCCTGCCTATTATTCAGATTGGCTGATTGATGAGGTAGTCTCAGGATGATTTTTTTCTTAAGTTATTATAGAAACTTACAAGAGGCGCTAAATTTATTTGTTTTTAAAAATATAGGGGTTGTGACAATTTATTGCATTTAGTCAGCTGCACAAAACAGTTTAATATTTGGTTATGCTTGGGTTTTGTTTTGAAAGTTGGGAGTCTGAGGTATTGCATTATGGTCTGAATGATTGGTTTGATGTGATTAATCGGGTTCTTGCTCTTAGGCCTATAATAATTCGTCATCTTAATCAAATTATGCTGGTGATGGCTCGATTTTGACTATTTTTCTGATTTGATCTTCCACTTCTGTTGGTCTTTTGATTTGAAATGGGATTTAATTTTATTGAAATGCCTTTTTGATATCAGGAGTAGAGGGCAAGAATTTCTTGGTTGCTTATTTCTATTATGGATTCTTATTCTACTTATTTTTGAAGAAGTTATTCATAACCACTTAAGATCCCATGAATCCCAATCCCATACCTAGAAAAGTGTAAAATATAGGGTCCATAATAATATTTTTATATATGTAAATAAATTAAATAATTGGGTGAACATAGAAAATAACTGAATAATCCGAATATTGTATACGTTTTATATTGTAAAATCATTTTTTGCCTTTATTGGTTTTAGCAGCACCTTTTTGAGCTTTTTATTGAGCTTTGACTTCTGCCTTTTATGCTACTTTTTGAGCTGCAGCAGGTTTCTTCTTTGAAGCTTCAATTTACTTTTGCTTTCTGTCCTTAATTTCTCTGGCTGCTTATTCAGCTTATGCCTTTCTGGTTTCTAGTAGTCATTAGATAAATGTATTACTGTCATCTTCCTTTCTTCTTCTTCTGATTTCTTCCAATGAAATACCAACAATGGCTCTTTGCACTTTAAGATTTCTGATTCTTCTCTTCTTGGCTCCTTCGTCTGTCTTGATTTTCTTATTCAATCTTCTCCAAGCCACAGTCCATTGAATTTCTTGTGATTTAATCTAAACATTGAGGATTCAAATACTTTTCTTGCACTAAAAGCTCTACTCTTTTAATTCAAGTAGTAGAAGAGTCTGCCATCTTTGGCAACGAATCTTCTTCCATGTCCGGGATAGATTCTCCATTCACTAAAGGAGCACAAATCTGTCTTGATAACCATTATTTAAAAAATATTTAAATCTTAATTTTCATTCCATTACCGAGTGTTTCAATGTTTTATCTTCAGGATCTTCAATCTCTCCAGCCCACTTCTACGTTTTCAATTTCCCCTGTAATTCATTAACCACATCCTATTGCTCTTCTGAAGGCTCATTCAACTTTTCTAACTCCCCCAATTTCTCTTCAATTTCTTCTAATTTAGCAAGTTCAATCATCTACTTAACTTGCTTGTCTTCATCCGGTTCTTCCATCTCTTCCTTATGTTCTATTTGTTCTGTCAACTTGTCAATGAGTTCATTCTACTTGAGTAAGGCATTCAAATCCTCAACCAAATCTAATTCTTCAATTTCATTGTCCTACAACCCAACATAGGTTAATCCGATGTCCTCCCTCTCAAGTACATTTATGAATTCATCAATGGCCTTGTCTGTTAAATGATTATTCCACAATTGCAATTTCTTCAAGTATTTCAGACTAGGCCATAACACTGATGCAGCACTATCTGAGAATCCTGTGTTCCCCAAATTTAAATCTTCGAGTGTTTTGTTTTTCTTCAGACAAACTGCCAATTATTTGATGCTAGCCAATTCCATTCCGATGTCATTTAGATAGAGAATTTTAATTGTCTTGTTTTTCTTCAATGCCTAAAAGAATGGAACCAGAGACTTCGAAGTCAATGGATTGTTTCCAAAATGAACAACCGTAAGATTTGGTAGACTATTTGTTGCCAACAATGTGGAGAAGCACACCAATCCTATTAAAATAGTCATCTCATTACCATAATCTGATATATTATTTGCAGGCAATTGCAATTACTATAGATTCTTTAATTCTGGCAAGGCATAACACAGTTATATGAAGGTGGCATCATCAATAGAACAGGAACTCATACTCAAGATTTTCAATTATTTGAAGCAACTTGAAATCTCAATCAATCCTTATATGCCAATCTAAGGATATGGATCATTCATTTGATACTTCGGTTATTTCATTATTCCCAATGTAGATTTCCTTTAATTTGTCATGCCATTGCAAACCTGTCAACATGTCAATAAATCCTCTGTCAGTTATTGAATTGGCTCCAATGTGAAAGACTGCTAATTCTGTTTGACATTCATGAAGATAGAGTGCTATCTTTGAATATTTGAATAGATCATTACAGTCAAAGCATCTAGATCATCTAATTTCTTTGCACTTACATCTAAAAACTTTCCACAACTCTTCAACTCCTCCAAAAGCCATTACTTACGTTTATCGACCCTCTCTTCGAATTCCTTTTTAAACTATTCCTCATCAATTTCCTTGTCATTTTGATCCATTTTATATATATATAATATTATTTTGTAACTTAAATAGTGCAATTATATGATTGATTCAATTTGTATCTAGTTTTACCAAGATCAAATGACGCTATCGATCAAATCAATTATTATTGAAAGCAATCAAATATATAAATATAATGACATCTTTTGCTTAAATAAACATAAATATTTTTAAAAATGTAAGGACATGAAGATATTACGAAAGTTTATACTTTTGAAAAGACTTTAGGAGAGTAAGCCATGGTATTTAATAAATTAGAGGTGCCTTTGGAGTTGTTAAGAGAGCAAAAAAGAAGTCTAATGGAGATATGTATGCTGTGAAAATCATCAATAAGTATTTGTTGATGTGACTAACAATTAGAGACAACTTATAAAATGAAGACTTATAAGCTTTGCAAACAGAAGTGGAAATTTTGACTTAAGTACAATATTATGCTTACTTCTAGATTGACCATCCAAATGTAGTCAAACTCTATGAAATTTATGAAGATGACACCAATTTTTATATGGTCTTGGAATTGATGACTGGGGGTGAAGTAAGGATTTATGCTTAAATTCTAAGCTTTTTGAAAGAATAGTGGAAAAAGATCACTTTAGTGAAAAAGAAGCTGCTGCCACACTGAGACCAATCATAGATGCATTGTCTTATTGTCATAAAATGGGAATTGCTCACAGAGATCTCAAACCTGAAAATCTTTTATTTTCAAGCAAAGAACCAGGCGCCTTATTGAAAGTAAGTGATTTTGGACTGGCACGATTTGTAACTAATGATGAAGTCATGATGACTCAATGTGGTACACCAGGATACGTGGCACCTGAAATACTGTGTGGACACGGATATTCAGAAGCTATTGACTTTTGGTCAGTTGGTGTAATACTCTATATTATGTAAGAGATTATCTAATTCAATAGGTTATGTGGATTTCCACCATTTTATGATGAGGATAATGATAAGCTTTTCAAAATCATCAAAACTGGGCAGTTCTCCTTCCCCTCTCCTTATTGGGATAGCATCACCAATGAAGGTAAGAATGATTAACATATATCCAAATAGCTAAAGACCTCATTAAAGGTCTATTAACAGTTGATCCAGCAAAAAGATTTGGAACTGAAAAAATTTTGAAACATCCTTGGTTAGTGAACAATACAGTTAAATCAATTCCTAACATTTAAAATAAGATGAAGGAGTTTTATGGAAGCGCAACCATGAAAGTATTAATAATCTCATAATTTCAATTAGAAAATGGGTAACTTTGTTAAGCTAGCATAAAGATGGGGTAAATTATCATAGATTAAAAAGAAATGATTTAATTATATCATCAACATAATTATCAATAATTTAATATATAAATTTCTGACCAACCCTGGCCACTTTTTATTATATTAAACAAACCAAATTAAGAATAACAATAATTATATTAATGATTTCAGCAAAAGCATTCTAACTATTACCAGTTGCTCTAAACAAAACAGAGGAAGCATTCTCAGGGTTCCTTTATACTTCAAAGAATACATTTACTTAATTAAAACAAAAATATAATGTTTAAGGAGATTTATTCATACAGATTAATGGCTATGTATTTTAATTGCAAGGAGTAAGTTAATAATTAGATAAGTTAGGAAAATGGATACAAAGATGATTCCATAGCAGGAAGCAAATATGTAAGATAATTATTGAGAATGTCATTCACAGACAAGATTGAAGCAGCAGTGTTTGCACTTCCAAAGGATAAGGAATACAGATTGGGAGTTCTTGATATTGAATTAGACATAGTCTAATAATAAGGAAGTCTCGATAGAATTGAAATGAATTCTGAAGACTTAGCCCCATTCTTGAAAAGAGCATATAGTGGCTAATTCTTCAGAGCAGGTTAAATTCAGCTATTTTTATATGAAGGAAACACTTACTTATTTAAAGTACGTTAATCTAATTTATAGCATAGGTTACTCGAACTGATGTTTTGAGTGTAGGAGTAGATTCATAGCAAGTCAAATTTATGGGAGGAGGTATGTTGGTTGATGAAACTGAACTTGAATTCAGTATTAGGCAAGGAGTAAACCAACTAAAAATGAAGAATGCTTCAACACATACAGCTAGTATATTTAGAGAGGACTTTTCTTTTGATAAATTGGGAGTTGGAGGTTTAGATAAGGAATTAGCAAATATCTTTAGAAGAGCATTCTCATCAAGAAGATTCCCTTAAGCTTTCCTTGAAAAATATGGAATCAAGCATATTAAAGGTCTCTTATTGTATGGTCCACCAGGAACTGGTAAGACTTTGATTGCAAGATAATTGGCTAAAGTATTGAAGGCCAAGCCACCCAAGATTGTGAATGGGCCAGAGATTTTCAGTAAATTTGTTGGAGAGGCTGAAGAAAATGTCAGAAAACTATTCGCAGAAGCCATAGCAGATTAAGAGACAAAGGGTGATTAAAGTGATTTGCATATCATTGTATTTGATGAAATGGATGCAATCTGCAAATAAAGAGGGTCAATTAACTCTGGATCAGGGGCCTATGATAATGTTGTCAATCAATTGCTCTCTATGATAGATGGAGTTAACTCTCTCAATAACATATTGGTCATTGGTATGACTAATAGAAAAGACTTAATTGATGAGGCTGTTCTCAGACCAGGAAGATTTGAAGTGCATATTGAAGTCGGATTGCCAGATGAAGGAGGAAGATAATAGATTTTGAATATTCATACTGAAAATCTTAGAAAGAATGAAGCTTTGGATTATGATGTAAATTTAGAAGAACTAGCATAAATCACCAAAAATTATACTGGTGCTGAAATTGAGGCAGTAGTCAAATCTGCATCTTCATTTGCTTTCCAAAGAATGCAAAACATATTTGATTTCCAAAAGAAGTTAAATAAATAAGATGAACTCAAGGTGAAAAGAAGTGATTTCATGAATGCATTAGATGAAGTTAAACCTTAATTTGGTATTGATTCAAATAAATTTGATTTATTACTTAAAAGTAGATTAATTGATTTTGGAGATGAATTCAAAAAACTACAGAAAATCTTAAAGAATACCATTGATTAAACTAGATTTGGTAAAAACTCATAGTTGAATTCTGTATTATTGGAAGGAGATTAAGGTTCAGGCAAAACCAGTGTTGCAGCTTGGCTTGCAGTGGAATGTGGGTTCCCTTATGTTAAATTGATATCTCCTGAAACCTTCATTGGATTAACTGAAGGAGCCATAATCAATCAAATGGTTAGAATATTCAATGATGCTTACAAATCATCATTATCTTGCATTCTGATCGACAATATTGAAAGACTTATAGAATACGTAGACATTGGTCCGAGATTCTCAAATGCTATCTTATAGGCCTTGCTAGTATTAATCAAGAGATTACCAGATAAAGTATGTATATCATATTAATCATTTTAGTCTTAATGCAGACTTCTTATTATCGGTACAACATCACAATATCATATAATGAAATAATTAGAAGTGGTTTCATGTTTCAACGTATCATTCAAAGTGCCAAATCTTATTAAGCCAGATGAAATTAAATTAGTCATTACTGATTATTTGACAACTTCACCTTAATCTTAAAACAAACTTTAATTAACCTAATAGTAAGAACAGTAAGTCAACATTATTGCTTCGTAAATCAAAAATATTCCAATCAAGAGATTATTGACGTTGCTTGATATGGTTGGAGCCCAAGAAAAGGGTTTGAATATTGACGAATTCATGATTTGTTATACTACAGTGATTATGAATCACCTTTGAGATTAATTTATTTTTTATTATAATAGTTATCCAAATAATTACTAATAAAATTATAATTCATTTTAACATTATGATTACGAAATATATATATTTATCATTCTTCGACAAAATCATTTACTAATAATTATGGAGTTTACTTTTTTTTTAAATCATGTTATATTTATAGCAACTTTATCAAGTTTGAATCCATCAAGGAAATAAGTTTATGAGTAATAGGATCATCCAAATTCTCAAGTAGCTAATCCAATACTTATTAGGCTTCTAATGATTTTTCTTTAAATCCTTTGAAAGGTTTTAGTAATGAAGAGTACTGTTAATTTTCACCGTATTATTAATTTGTAGGATCAAGAGTTATTAAAGGTTTAGGGAGAAATTCAAATAATTATACCTATTCCTTAGAAAGTAAGATCATTTTTAATTTGTCTATTTCTTGTAACTTGTCAATAATAAATAGTATATCAAGACACTTATCTAATTTGGAGATTGAATAATTTAATTGTTTGTACTTTCCTTCCTTCTTTCTTTAATAATATGAATATACTATTACCCACACTTCAAATACTTCAAATAATCGAATAAACTAAATTTTAATTTTAACGTTGCAACATTAAAGAACCTTCTAAAGGCAGAATTAATTCCTTTTTACAACATTTTATCACTCTCAGGAGAGTTGCCAAAAATTTAAGAAGATTTTTCAGTTTAAACAGAGTTGACTGCATCAGCTTTTTGTGTTTTTGCTTTGATTCTCCCTCTTGGAAATCGTGAACTGGTTTTAGATTTCATCTAATTCAACATAATTGAAACATCATTTTCATTGGTTTAAATATTCTCCTAACCAGCATTTAATTTCTCAAAAACCTTATTTTTATTTTCTTCTTAATCGATTTATTTTTGGCCTTCAAAATTAAATAAACTATTTATGATCTCCATTTTGAATGACATTTAAGAAAATGGTTTTACAATAATTGAAAACGCTAGCATCAATAATTCCCATAAACCCCCTGCTTAAGCCAAGATGTCTTATAACTTGGGATAAATTCTATAACTAATGTTCTCAGTATTTGATAATCTAATATATACCGTTGCAAGTGCTTCATCACTATTAAAATCAATTATCTCTTGACTCTTTTAATACCTTATTGTAGAATCTTTTCTAACCAATTCGTCCAATAATCCTTCCTCAGTCAATGTGGTGATAGGTTGCATAAACAAAGTAATATCTTTCAATACTTAACTTGAAATTGTGGTTTAAATTTCTTCAACTTTGGGAACATTTGGTTATTGATAATTCCTCAGATCTATGTTGTATGAGGAAATCTAAAATTAAATGTAGTTCCTTCTTAATTGTTCTTAAATTTCTTCCTTTGACTTGCATATCACACTCTCGCCTAATTAAATAATAAAAACTACTATTGCTTGTATCATTCACACAAGATTAGAAATTTATATACATATAAGTGTAATTTTATTACTCTGGAGTGCCAGTCAAACTTAACTCTGAAATGTTATTCCAATCAATGCAATACGTATTACTGAAGTCAATATTGTCCAACTACTCCTCGATTTCCTCAAAAGTTATTCCAATCTTTGCACATTTAGTTAGCGGAATCTCTGTTTTTGTAAAATTTTAAATTGTTTTATTATCGACTCTGCTATTGAAATTAAATTGTACGTTGATTGAAACTTGTTAACCATAAAGGCATTGACTTGATAAACTGACTCATCTATGTAATTTTTCTAATTTTCTTTTTGGAAGGCAAATTATAAAGTGAAGTTATCAGAATATAATGGATATATAGGAACTTCCTCATAATAAACCTCCGAATAGAGAGTCTGAAATTCTTTTCTTCTTCCTAATTATACAAATTTGTTAACAATATATGTTATTATGCAACCAAACATCACTACAGTCATCATTGCTCCAAATAAAGATTGATGCTAGCGTTTCTTTTATATCATTAGTTCAACAGGTGATGCAAAAATATCAATTTTTTTGATTTAACGCTGGATTTGCTTTAACTTATTTTGTTTCATCTATAAATTTTAAATTAATTTATATACACTTATTATGAATAATATGGTTGATTGGATTTGATTGGAATGTTATCAGCTTTTTTACATCTCTCTTAGAAATTCAAATGTTCACTAGTCTTTTATCAATTCACATTAATATCAGCAAAAACTATATGTTTAGATCATATTCAAAAACTTATTATGATATTTAATTTCTTTTTTCATTTATAAATATTTGACATCATACCATATAAAATATATCTGAATAGAATGGTATTAAATTATAATTCTAATAAAGTGTTAATAAAATATCAATTTAATTTTTAAACTAAATTTAGTAAGGTTTGTTTTTAGAGAAGTCATTATTGAGACAAGAATTCAAATGATAGACAATAAATATTTTTCGGATGGGAAAATCAAAAGAAATATAGGAAAATAGAAAATCAATATCATTAAGTAAAAATCAAATTATATACTAATATAGAAAATTAATAATTAAGTAGTTTTTTTTATTTCTGAAAGCTCAATAAATTGTTATGTAGTTTAGAATGATTAAAATATCAATTAGAATATTCATAATTATTTATATATATATCACAATTTAACTTTTTTCACAGACTCTGAACCATCTTGAATTTCATCTTCTTCATTTTTCATTTTCTTTTTTTATGAGTCCTATTATTACACTTTAGGTTTTTCCACATATGTGTTTTTGACAGGAGAACGACCCATAGAATTATTTTCTTTTTCTTTATCGAGTACTTTAACTAAGGAAATAACTCTATTTTTTAGTTCGTTTTCACTCTTGCATTTGAATGCATGATCAAATCTGAACATAGGTTCTTTTCTTATGGATTGTTTGAGTAAGGTCCAATTTCCATAACCAACCTCATTGGTCATATATATAAGATATTTATCATTTTCTAAACTAAAGTACTTGCTTTTGAATTTATTATAGAGTTGTGGAGTAAATACAAGTTCATATTTTGGTTAATGAAAATGCTTGCACTTTTCTTCAATTAATTTTTAACCATTAGTTTTCTATTCGATCAATTTTTATCCCCTTTCGATCTATTTAACAATTTTATCTTTTTCACTCAAACCATCTATTCTTTCCCAAAAGGCTTAGGCATAAGTTTTTACTTCATCTACAGTTTTTGTTTTAATAAATTCTTAAATCTTTTCATAAGCATCCTTGCCATACTTCTCATTGGCAGTTATGAAATCAGAAAACTCTTGTTTATTCCAATTCTTAAATCCAGTTTCAAGTAATTATTTCTATTCTTGTCTCTCTTCCTATGTGAGTCCTCCACAATCCACATTTTCTTCACTGTCCATCCCTTTCTTTTGAGTCTTCTATTAAGCTAGAAAATCTTCTTCTTTTTGCAATAGAGATTATAATCTATCTTTATTCTCATATAAATGATGCTCTTACAATTTGATTTATTTTCCTTATATTTTCTTAGAATTGGCTCCAAGCATCATAGCTCTTTTGTCTCTATTTCTAGTTTTATTTTCATTAAAGAGATGACTAGCTAAGGCATCTTCAAGAGCATCCTCATCCATTTTATTCTGTTTTTCTTCATTAAAATATTCGAAAATATTAATTTATCCCAAACCTAGATCAAGAGATTACATTTTATCTTTGAAACTCTCAAACTTCTTTTCAATTCTCTCATTCATCTATTGCGTTAATTGTTCACCTCTTTTTAAAAGGATATCAATGTCTTCATCTTTGATATCATCTCCATCCAATTTGAAAATCTGAGAGGCTCCATGAGCAGTTAACTCTTTAAGATCTTCTTTTGATAGCAATTTTCCACTTTGCTTCTAAGACAAACGACCTTGTTAGATCATCAGGGAATCCCAACGTAACTTAATTTGTTATCTCTCTATGATTTTCTCTTCAATAGTATGTTCACATGCCATTCTATAAACCATCACTCTATTCTTTTATCCTATTCTGTGTGCTCTATCCATAGCTTACATGTCCATTTATGGATTGAAATCAGAATCATAAATAATAACAGTGTCTGCAGTAGCTAAGTTGATTCCTAGACCACCAGCTCTAGTAGAAAGAAGGAAAATGAACTTTTTACTGTCAGGTTTAGTGAATTCAGCAATTTGATCATCTCTTTATTGGATCTCTGTTTCTCCGTCTATTCTACAATAGTCATATTTCCTGTAATTACAATAATCTTCAAGAATATTGAGCATCATTGTAAATTATGAGAATATTAAGACCTGATGTGTGCCATCACTTAGTTTCTTTAAAAAGATATCCAGCACTCTCATTTTACCAGCCACTTCAACTAAGTGTTCCCCCAAAGGAGGTAAGGATTTATCCTCAACTTCAGGGAACAAATAAGGATGAAGACAGATTTTACGTAGTTACATTAGTTTATTCATGTAAAAGCCTTTGTCATCGCCTTCATGGGGATTGTTGTGTAAAAGAATGTTCTAATACATTTATTTTTAGAGATTTGTCATTTTGATGAAAAGGTGGATTTCTTATTTTGGAGGCAAGATTCTTTCAACTTCTGCTTTGGTTCTTCTTAACATGAAGGGTCTTAAGATTTTTTGAAATTTTTAACACATCTCAAGATTTCTTTGATCCAATTCCTCTTACTTGATAATTTCATTTCCTTCCTTCAATTTGGCTTCAGTGTTGACTTCAAACCATTTATCAAAGACTTCAGAGGAATCAAATAAGTCTGGCAAGAGATAATTTAACAAACTCCATAATTCATGGGGTGTGTTCTATAGTGGAGTACCAGTCAATAACAATTTATAATTGGTTCTGATTTTACGCAGATTTTAACTAATTATGGCATCTTCATTTTTAATTTTATGAGCTTCGTCAATTATGATGTATTTGTATGAAAATCTTCTGATATGTTTTAAACAGATGTTGACTCCTTCATAACTTGTTAAACAAACATCGAATTTGCCAGGTTGAAAAAACTTGTTGATTATATCCTCTCTTTCTTCTTTGACAGCAATTAACTTGACTACTCTTGCACAGGGCAACCATTTCTTGAATTCTCTCATCCAATTGCCTAGAGTGGATTTGGGAGCCACAATTAGATGTGGTCCACTGATCTTTGTATATTCTTTTAGAAATGCTATGAATCCTATAGTTTATATTGTTTTGCCCAAACCCATTTCATCCGCCAAAATACCATTGATTCCTTCTTCAAATAATGAAATCATCCAATTAACACCTGTCATTTGATATTGCTTCAATTATCCTCCTCTCAAAATGGTTGGTTGTTTATCTAGTACTGTTGGTGCATCATCAAGATCTTCCTCTTCACTTGCATCATCGATCACTTGTCTATGCTTCCCTCTCTGTTATGTTAAGGCCTTCTATTTGGACTCTTAGGTACGCTTGTGACGATGCAATAGGAACATGGCATACTTCTCTGCATTTTCAAGTAAAGTATTTATCTTCGACTCAATGTTATCAAATTTGATCTATTGAATGTAAATTCATTTAAGTACATTTGCATTCAACTTGGTTGTCTATTTAATTGAACTCATGAATGTTTTCTTATCTTATTCCAATTTCTTTATTCTTTCCTCCTCTTATTGTATTTTTTACTCCTCATCACTTTCAACCTCGACCTATATCACTTCATTTTCTTCTCCGCTTGAATTACTCATTAAATTAAATTATGATTTTAAGAGGCATCAATTAACCATTTAATCATCAAATTATTTGATTCTTCATTTAATGAAAAAATATAAAAAACTACTTAAATCCTTTCGATCCCTTGATCTCTTCACTAAACCAGTTTCCCTACTAATCAAAGATCAAGAGCGTCACAAAACCTATTGCGGTGCCTTTCTCACCTTGATTATAATCTCTATGATGAGTGTCCTTTTATTCATGAATTTCATTAATTTGGATAAAAATCCTCGTTCTTATCAATATCAGATCTACCACTAAGCTTTAAACCGCACTCAATTAATGAATTTTACAATTTCAATCACTGGGTCAGAAGAACAAAACTTAAATGTCAGCACTTTGGATGGGCCACTTTAGCTGAGAGAGAATCTCTATACATATGATAAATAGGTCAGTCTATACGAGTCAGATCTAAGTGGTTAGTATGTTATTGTGGAGATCTATCTCAAGAATGCTACTTAAGTACATAATAAAGAGGAAAGTCTTAATTTTTAGTTGTCAATACCAACATTTTATTACGATTTAAACGATGTTCAGGATCCCGTAAAAACTAGGATAGAGAAAATAGAAACTACTCTAACTCACCATATCTAAAAACGAATTGATATATTCATGAGTCCATTTACAGTAATTTCAGATGGAGGGATGGTATTTAAGGATGAGGTACGAGAAAGTGTGTTAGCATATCAATACCATCAAGAAACCTACGAAGTCAGTGATGGTCACAAACTACTCCAGTTCAGAATACGTCTAAACAAAACCGAATTTGTACAATATCGATCTTATCCGAAACTCTAGTAAATCCTTGGAGAAGCTGGAGGGTTGTGGAATGTGATCTTCACTTTGGCTATGTTCTTATAATTGCCATTCAGCAATCTTTCCTATCGATTACAAATTGTAAATTCCCTTTTTAATTTTTCGAACGATGAAGATGCAACGGCTGAAAATGATAAAATTTAAATGGCTAATGACAACATTAGGGAAAAAGCAATTAGTCCCGAACAAATAGATAAGAAAATCCCACTATGCTAGAGCGAAGTCAATTTCCCAATAGTCCCAACATACAAGAAATAAAAATCTTTCAGTTAACTCAATTAATTGAATATAAAGAAAAGATTATATAGTATTCAAAGAAAAAGTTAAATGATCACAGAAGCAGATAGTGAAAATTAGAAGGCACACATTACAAATGAAATCTCAGCATCCATTAAAAGGTTTTTCAGAGTGGTGACCAAGAAATTGAATTTGAATTTCTTAGAATATGTAACCTTTTAATTTCCAAGAAGAAAGGACAATAGCAACACAAAGTATTAGTAATTCGAATTTGCTATTAATCGTATCTAAAAATCACTTGACATTCTGTATATTATCAATAAATTACATGAAATTGACAAATTGAAATTCATACTTCTTAATAATGCTTAAATCAAGATGTTTGATTACTTGCCGAAACCATTGATAGGAGCAGATCCCCAAGACGTCTCGGATGATAACTTCTGTTCACTCTTGAAACCTGCCAAGACTCCATATCAGAAGGCACTGGAAGCTCAACAAGCATTTAAAGAGATTATAACAAACTATTAGGATCCAATAAATCAGAAATTGATAAATAGCATGGATGAACCTATCATAGACTTAATGAAACTACAATTGAATCAAGATATTCAGATATTAGACACGTCAGTGATTAATTAGTTAGTGCAGAGTGCAGAATATAAGCTAGACACAGCAAGATAATGATTATACAAAGTGAATATATTTATATCTATCAATTTTGATTTCCTAGATTAATTTCTACTTCTGCGTACTTCTAGTTCATTTTGGCAGTTACAAGTTTCTCATACAATATAATTGAGATTCCAACTATTATGTTTACAATTAGGATATAAATTTTGAAATCTGTTGGGAATTCAACCTCCAAACTTAAGAATCCAATCAAATTTGGGTAGAATATTAAGATGATTTGTCCAGCTATCCCTAAACATATCACTACCATATAATAGATATTTTTAAGAATAGATTATCTAAATGGGGGTCCCTAAGTATATGCTATGGCCACAGCCAAGATTTCAGTGCTGGAAGTTATAAGAAGTATCGAATTTATATAATTGGGTTGCATGTAATAGTCTTTGTTAACCAATTCTATTTTGATCTATTGATAGAATTCTTAATGTTTCAGTATTTGATGCATAATGATTTAAGCAAGGAAGGATATGAAAACAATGACACAGACAGAAGATAGGACAGGCAAGGAGATCAAATTGCTTATTGGTCTATAATTGGCCAATTTGTGATATGACTTAGTTAAATCCATTGTAAATGCTAGTGGGATAATCAGCCAGAGATCTTAATAAAGATATTGGACTTATGTGAAGTCTGTATCATAAAAATAGCATTACAATACAGCCACAGATTAAATGCATGAGTACAAAGTCATAAATTTGAAGCATTCCACACAAGTAACTAAGCAGGCTCTTCCTTCTTTAATTAAATTAATAATGTTTGAAATATTGAAGATGGTACTTGTAAATGGAGATGCCAAAGAAGCATCTTCTAATGACAAAGCTAAACCAACATCTGCCTATCTCAAAGCACAAGTATCATTAGTGCCATCTCCACAAAAAGCAATAAAGTTCAATATGTCTTATCTCAAAAGCAACATAAGGTCTCCTTTGTTGTTAGGCTTCATTCTTGAGTAAATGCACGTTTTTTATAATAGATTCAATATCAATGGTTGATTATCCTATAATGCAGCGTATTAATATTACAAATGTTCAAAAACTTACCCGGTAATTGCTAATTGAAAGTGACAACTCAACTTCATTATCTCATTAGTTTCTATATTCTGAGCTTGATGTGAATCTAAACTATAGCAACTTCTATTCTCATCGGCCTTATCTGTTTTCAATTACATAATCTCATTCCAATATAACACTCCATCATTTAGGAATCCCAAAAAGATTCTGCTGTTTTGATCTAAAATATTGCACTATAACCCTATGTTAATTGCAGTGTATGGATTATCACCTGTCACCATAATAGATCTGATGTTACTCTACTTTAAACCCATTATGGTAGCCTGAGTTTCTGCTTTTAATTTGTTTTCGAAAATCAGAAATCCTAAGAACTTCATATTCTGTTCATAGATCTCTCTCTTATGCAACTGTTGCATATTCAAATGGGTAACATCTCTACAGCAACAAGCGATTATTCTGAATCCCTAGCTACTGTACCTTTACAACATGACATTGTAATTAGTAGGAACAATGGCACAGATGCTCTTTATCTATTCAGGTGATCCTTTACAATATAATATATTTTGATTTGTTATGACTGACATTCTTTATAACTCTGCTTAGAAATCAAATCTCTTTAACACTGATACTTCTTTCCCTCCCTTCCTTATTTTACTCTCTTCCACTAACTCCCATCCTGTCTCTTAAAACATACATAGATCAATTGGATCTCCCATAATCTCATTATTTATTATTGATAATGAATGACAAATACCCATGCACTCATTAAACTGCTCTGTCACATCTTTAATCATCTATAACTTATTAAAGCCAATGTCCTTAATTTCCCTACATCCTAAAACATCTAGTCCTAATTCAGTGAGTGTGCCTGTTTTATCAAATGCTACTAAATTAACTTTGCTAGCCACATTGATCTTGTCAGGTTTTACACATTAAATACATTTGTCCTCCAAACGTTTCAAAGCAAGACTGATACCAGCTCCCAAGGCAGTAGGTAATGTGGCAGGGACTATTATGGTTATTATTTCCAATGCATTTATTATGCTCTCCCCAAGAGCAACTCCTTGAGCACCACTTATCAGAATTGTAATATTAGCTTATATCAATCCTAAAGTGGCTAATACAAATAGATATCTTAAAGAATCTCTGTAAAAACTGAATGTTTGAGTTCTATTGAACATTATTGATCTAGCCAGACTGCCTTTTAATGTTTGAAATCCAGTTTGATAAACAATAGCTTTAGCAAGTTCACCATTTTGGGAATAACTTCTTAGACAAGTAGTACCACAAAACAACATTTTATTTTCATTACCTTTCTATTAAAATATTAATTCATTATTTTCCAAACTGGACTTATTAATTGGCACACTCTCACCTGTCAAGACAGCTTCATTCATTACACAATTTCCTTCAATTAAGATACAATCACAACTAAGTTTAGTATGACCTTCAATTATTAATAGATCACCTGGAATCAATGATTTTGATTGAATGGTTACTTAAGTATTATTTCTAATTACTTTAACATCTACATTGTATCTAATCATTTTTTAGATTTTTAATAAATTTTATCTTACATCTCTGAGTTCGATTCCAATTTAAATGATTGTGATTGCTAAAATGAACAGAGAGTAATTCAAGTAATCATCGTAAGCCCACAAGGCGAGAGCACTAAATTAAAAGATATTGAAGGGTGTTAATATTTCATCAAGTAACAGGAGTGGGATTGGTTTGATTGGTATTTCCATAATATTCTCTCCATAAACCGTAGTCAATTCTGAGAGGCCTTTCATATTGCAGATTCGCTCTTGTGTGTACTAAGAGAATGAGTTTCTCATCTAAACCAATGCTTTTGTATATGTATCGATGTAGTAATCGCTAAGTTCATAATTGAAGACTCTAGCATTTTTAGAGAAAGGATGATCCTACACAACGGTAACTTCACACAATTGATCATCTGCGATTGGAATTATGTTTTTGGTCTTGATCACTAAAACATGTGTCATTGTACCAAATTCACATTTTTCAAATCTTTTTACATGATTTAAGCTTACAATAGAAACAATCTCAAATTTATAAACCATCTTTGAAATAAATACAATAATCCAAGAGTTAGAATTAGCAAGACATAATAAATGATCTATTTGCATTTATTGATCCTATAATAGATTGCTGTTAGTTTATATTGATCATCATACTCACCCTAATATTCCAAGGTCGATTATCTATCAAATAGTGATGCAATCCTTACCCAAAATCGATTTCCTCTTTTGGATTAGTCTCTTGCAATTCAATCATAATTAATTAATAACTAGCTTTTATAATTCAACCAAAATCTCACAATGAGATAAATAAATAATACACATTATGTATAATAATATTAAGGTTTAATATGATGGTGCGGTTATATTATTAAGAGAGGAGAGAAAGAATAAGAAACACTTAGAATGCCAATTGTTGATATTCCTTGTTATATTATTGATAATATCTTATCAAGAGTCTTGTTCATCCTTTGGAAATCCCTTCCACTTAAAATTGTCAGCATACTTTCTCTTAGAAGTATAACGAAAATGGGGATATTGAATAATATACCCATACCCATCTTATTGGCAAAATTCTAGTGCAGCTTCCAAACTGAGGAACTTATAAACTTCTCTGCTCTTCTAATCCTTTGAAAATGTCCAACCACTCCAAGGCATTCTGTGAATAGGTCCTCTCTCAATTTAAACATTCCAGTGATATTCCCCTATCTCATAGTGGGAGCTATGTCGAATTCGTAAAACCAATTACTTTGATGCATACGATTATCATCCATGATGTAAACACGAGCAATCTTGGACTCTGGAGGAGGCAATGGGTTCATGTCATAGTATCTATGATCTGATCTATTGTCAAGACGAGATGCTATTAATTGGTATAATACATAATTACATCTGAAAAATCCAAATTTGCTTTTGCTTGCATCGACAGGTATAACTTAATTGTAGACTGATATTCCATGTGCCAATACTTCTTGGTTTTTACTCTCGATCTCCTTGCGAATCACAATCAAAGAATTAAAAGCCTTTTTGGCTATTTCTTGAATTCCAACAAATTGCCTAATTGACATTTATATTAAAATAATAATTTAAGTCATCCCAATCGATATTTGGTTATGCTTTCAATCGTATCAGTATGCATTCGCAAACCTCTCTTTTAAGAAGACTTCTAGACGACCACTTGTGAAGACTACATTTTATTTTACTTGGGTCTAACATTGCGTACCTAATTCATTAGAAAGAATCTTTATGAATTAAGTTTTGCTTTTGTGGCTACGAACTAATCTACTTTGATGGGAGATAGAGTGCTTATCTTGTTTTCTTTCGATTTCCCTTTTTGAAATGCAACTTAAGATAGAACTCTACGATGAACACGTTTTAATTGACTGTTGAGGTCGTAAACATCTCCTAATAAGGAACTATACGATCTATCCGGAGAATATTCGAATTGATCAGCCCCTCTAGGGAAATTGTATTATTATGGATGCTTGCTTTCAAGTGTTTGTGTGAGTTTTCTGAGTCTCAGTCCCATGTAAAATAAATTAAAACTATTTTTGCAATTTTATTATTATTATTTAAGATCAATAGAAAATTAAACTACTTTCAAATTAAAATAGAACAATTCAAAACAAATTGATATTATAAGTTGAAGAAATAGATGGCATTGATGAAAGTAATTAACAATTACGTCAGTGCTTTAAAGTAAACAAACCAAGTTTATGTGAACCTAGTATAGAAATAAAAAGGATATCAATATGATGTCATCTAATCTATCAGAATAATAGAATTCTAAAATCAGTTCTAATTTTCATTTAACATTCTTTAACATTCTACTTCTCTTCATCTATGCAGATAAGTTATAAAAAAAGAAATTAAATAATATGATATTGATATCAATATATATAATAACGTTGCACTTAATCATAAAAAGCTTTTGTATTATTTTAACATTGGGAATAGATCTTTTCAGCAGTTGTATTTTTTAACAGCTCTGCAAATCCTGAAATTCCACTTTCATAGTCTATCATTAAATTGAATTTAATTGGAATCACTTTATATATTTCATCTAAAGTAACAAATGCTGTCAACACTGGATTGAATGAATTTTTATCTAAGACATGAATTTGAACTCCTCCACAAATTGCATCTTTGTGTTTTGAAAATGTTGGAGAGAAATAAACAGGTCTAAAAATTACCGAAGTCAGCTTTCTAGCATTCAATGTCTTTGCCAATTCTTCAGGTTTTGTAATTAATGGAGATCCTATAATTTCAAATGGATGTCTAAATATTAATCAATAATTTAAAATACGTGGTTCCTCTTCCTTCACTTAAATCAGTTCCTTCGAAGATTCCAAAGCCAGGGTAAACAGTTGCAGTCTCTATGGTAGGCATATTAGGAGATGGTAAAATCTAATTTATTTTAAGAGTATAACCCATTGAAATTGATTTGTAAGGTAAGGTATAATCTTCAAATTCACAGGATTTGTTAGCCATTCCTTATTAATGAAAGTTGCTAATTCTCCAACTGTCAATCCATATCTTTAAGGTAATCCTAAATTGGATCCGAACTTGCGTCCAACTAATCCCGCATCCATTTCATTTCTACATCCTTCAATCTTTCTTCCAAGAGGATTAGGAACATCTACAACAACAAATTGAATCCCAGCCTTTTGAGCTGCTTCCATACAATACGTCATAGTCCATATGTAAGTATAAAATCTAGTTCCAACATCTCTGATATAATAAACCAGAACATCAACATCTTCTAGATCTGCTAATGTTGGAGCCTTTTTGCTACCATATAAGGAAATCACTTATCTAAAATAATTAACACTTTCTACATTCCAGTAACTGGATCAATATAATCCTTTATTTAAACACCTGCCTATTGTTCTCCTCTCAATCCATGTTCAGGTGAGAAAAACTTCTTGATATCTGAGTATTTTGATATTTTATCAGTAACCATTACCAGATCATCATCCACTCCTGTTGGATTTGTAATCAATCCCAAACTTTTTCCTTTTGTTTCCATTAAAAGTTAATTTAGTTGTAAGGAAATGAATCCATATCCCAAAAGAGGTAATAAAAATATAAACATTTAATATTATGATCAATTTTAAAATATTATTCAATCAATTTAAAATGTAATAAATTATGCATCAATATTCAAATATCTACAAAATAACGAAATCAAATAGATGTATTTTCGTAATGTAAGAAATGACTTACTTCTGTTTTTGGGAGTAATACTTTAAAATTAATTTAAAATATAACACTAAGATTGTGATATTTATTTTTAATATACTGTTTAGAATCACAAAAAGCTATATGATTTCATTCAAAATATGCTGTAATGATTTTATAAAATAATCTAGATGTAATAATTTAATTCCTATTTAATAAATAAATATTTAATAAGAAGTTGGACTTTATGCTATGTTTTTTCTAGATTTCAATTATTATTTTCATATATCTGAATTTGATTATAATATTTATATTTATATACAACTAATAATAATATTATGATATCTCTGTGGAATGATTTAGAAACCAATAACTATTACTTGATCAATAATGAAACTGGAGGAAAATAAAAAGTATACAAAACATCAGATTTTATCAAAGAATTTGATTCATCCCTAACTGGATCAGTTGGTTACAAGGATAGAATTAAACTAGCTAAAAAACCAAGTTATATGCCATTAAAAGCTAAGTCACTTTAAAAAAATTTTGTTTCTTATACTCCATCAATTAATAAATTAGTTTGGTATTCTCAGTTGCCTAGACCTACTAAACTACCGAACTTAGAATATTTTAAAACTGAAAAGAAATAAATGCAAATTCATCAACAATAGAAATCCATATTACAATCTTAAAGCTATTAAACATTACCACATATTCCACAATCTACTGTTGCATCCTAGTATTAAAGTTTATTGGATCCTAAGTAAGCAAGATCAATTTCAACTGTTTAACATTACGATCTTAACGACTAAGATCACTTCAAAGAAATGAGCCATTTATTTGAGTCAAAATCTTATGATTATAAAAGTTATAATCTACCACCTAAAGAGAATTTAAATTGCAGATCAATAAAAGACTTTGAATAAGTGTTAAAATAAGAAAGATAATAATTGGAAATGTTCAAAGTACTCATTACCTATTTATTAAGTTACCTGAATAAAAGCCACAATTGGTCAATACAAAAGGTAGATTTCCAGGGTAGTTGAAAAAAGCCAAAGATTTCATGTCTGAAGATAAATCTATTGCTAAATTATGTTAGACCAAATAATAATATTTTTAGTGTATCCTGATCTTTTTAAGGAGAAAATTATAGATTAAAAGTAAGAAGAACTAAGAAGAAAAATAAACAAATTAAAAGAATAAGAAATGCTTCAAAGAAATCTAAAGAATAAGGCCTGAAGTATTCTTTGATTCAATTTTATGTAATATATAAATAATACTTTTAATTTCAAAACCTTAATAGATTAAATAACTTCTTAGTATAATTATTATATCTACATAATCTTATTACTATCGACATTTTTTGCAATTACCATAATAAAATGGTGATTTAAATTAAGTTGATAATTTAATTTAATATTAAACCAAAACTATGGAAGCTGTTGCTATGCTTGTATGGATTTGACTCTAGCCAATATTATTAAGAAGAAAACCAAAAATTAAATAAAAATATGAAATTCGTTTTAATAATATTATTTACAATAGGACTTGCAATAAATGAATGTGAAGTGGATAATAGAGATAGAATAAAGTTGAGTGGGATGTCAAAATAAAAAGAAGATGAATTAATGGAATTGCATAACGAACATAGAAATTTAGTAGCTTACGGAAAGGTAAGAAATTGGTATGGTGAATTCTCATCAGCTACAAATATGTATTGTATTAAATGGGATGATCATTTGGCAAGAAATGCTTAAGATTGTGCTAATAAATGTCCTACTAATTTTCAACTTGATTGTTCTTTTCCTAGATAATATGGTTACTTGACATATAAAGGCGAAGCTGAAAATGCAGGATCAGAATGGAGTGCAACAAGAATTTTTTAAAAGCTGTTATAGTAAGAAGATTTTGCAAGATAAATTGAATTGGCAACAGCTTAATTTTTTGGTTGCGGAAGAACGTAAATTACTAGAAGGAATGGTAAGAGCCAAGAAATTTTTGTATGTGTATACAATAAAGTAGTTCATATTTTCAATAATAGTAACCAAATTTGCATGGAGATGTATATAAATATGGTATTCCAGGTTAAGATTGTATATACGGTCGTAAAGCTGAATTTTCAGGATTGTGCAAACAAAGTGCTAATGATATAGAAGCTTTGAAATTTAGACATAAAAGGCATTAAGATGCATACAAATATCACCATAAGGACGAAAGACATCATGTTCATCATAATCATCATCGCAAAGATGATGGATTTCACACAAGGGCTGATTGATAAAATAAATAATAATTTTAATTAATATAATTTAGATGCCAAACGAATTCATTCTACAGTAAACTTCACACCCTGAAAAGAAATTCAACTCAAAAACGTTAATTGGTAATTGGTATGAGGAAAGATGCGAACCAAAATCAAAATACTCAACCTTTTATAAAGAATAAAAATTTGAGAAAAACTAATATAATGTGAGCAAACTTACACAAGTAATTTTGTTCATTTGATTTAGGAATCATTTATGAAGTGTTCATAAAATTGGGTAAACTTCTAAAAAAATTAACAAAATCATTTCTAAACAACAAATTAGTAACCAAAACAGTTATATAATTTATAGATAAGAATTCAAGAATCCCAGAAACTAATTTAGAACTTCAGAACTCAAGAAATTTATAATTAAGAAAGGAGTCTTTGAAAAGAATCCCTAATAAATGTCTGATTACAGAAGTAAATGGACTTCAGCACCTCATTTCTTTGATAGAACTTACCTTGGGCAATAAAAATGATAATTATAATTATTATTCAAGTAAATTATTTTAGAAATAAATATCTAAATATTATTTAGTAATCAATTCAAGTCAATAATTAAATAGTTGTCCCTTTCGATACATTCGATCCTGATTATTGCACTAAATTATAAAGTGTTTATAACAATTTTTCTCTTTTAAATTAACAAATTTTTGTCGATCATAAAGATGCTAGTTCTATTGACTATATGAATATATTATTTTTTAAGGTAGTTTGGGAAGTAATATTTTTGGGTATTAAGAGTTGTTAAGAGATAATCATAAGATTTTAGATAAAATGTAATTTATTTGAATAAGTTGAAAAAATAATACATGATCGACGTGTATTAATATTAATAATAAATAATTCATAATGTATTTTCTGGATGACTCTAAAAGTAAATCATCTATTGTGATATTAGGAACACAGGAATTGGAATGGGTTTTCTCACTGTCAGTCTTTTGCTTTTTATCTTGGGTGTTATGTTTTTCCTTGACAGAGCCTTATTAGTGATGGGAAATTTATCATTTTTGATTGGACTTTGTTTATTGATAGGAGTTAAAAGTACGTTATCCTTCTTCCTGAAGAAAGGTATATTAAGTGTATTTAAATCATAGGCAAAATTAAGGGAAGCATTTTCTTTTTTTTGGGATTCTTTATCATTGTTTTCCTTAGATTATCAATAGTTGGATTTCCATTGTAAATTTATGGACTTTTCCAGATGTTTAAGTCTTTCCTTCCATTCCTATATGATAGTGCAACCAAACTACCTATTATTGGCAGATATCTAAGTAAAATATTTAATTTCTATTATAGGAAATCCGCAATTAAAGAAAATGGTTGATGAAGTGTCAGCCAAAGGCCCCATCCGTATGAGATAGATAAATTTAATATTATTGTTATTTGATAATTTAAGAAATCTTCTTAAAATTTTACTTCTATCTAAAATCAATTATTTCATTTGTTGTAACTATTAGAAACTCCAAATAATTTAATGGAAACAAAACTTGGACATATTAAAAAGCTAATAGATATATAGAACTTCAATATATTGAGATGTTATAGTATAATTAATTTATCTGAAATTGAGATTCTATCGAGATCAGTATTATTTATTTATGTTGATAAAAAGTGATCTAGAATATCATAAGATGGATATCATTTATTTTATTAAATTGTAAGACAATTTGATTGTTTATCATCAAAACATGTAAAATTATTGTTGATTAAATTTATTTAAAGAAATAATTTACAAGTTAATTCAATCAAAAAGATAAACCATCTGCTTAACCTAATCTAATTGATTCTGTAAATTTTCAACAGCACTTAATTGCGAGATATATTCTAAAAGTTTGAAATCTGAACATATCTGACAAAAACACTAATTTGTTTTTACACCGATTTTTGATATTTTTGTCTTACAATCCTTCCTTTTCTTTAAGTATAAACGCTTCCTTTTGATTTTCTTAGTTTATATCTTCGGATATGTTATTTGATAAGTCAGAGTACATATGCTTTATAGTTTTTGACAAATAACATTTATTAAAGCATGAGGATTTTCATTATTTTCACCCAAAGGGACTTTTTCTTTTGATGATTCCTTGTCAATCTGCATTAGTTACAATAAATGGATTTAAGAATCTATGAATTGAAATAATATTAATTATAATTATCTGCAGATTACCCGTTTTATAAATTTATGTTCATTAATTACATTAAATGAATATTGAGAAATATATTTGCGATTGACGCAATTAAGATAATGTATGCTTAAAAATATGTCAATTAATGACCAATCATGTGTGTTATAATGCCTTCACTTTTATAATTATAAAGAATAATATTTATCATCATTCATCCAAATGTTCTCCTCAGATGAGAATGAAGAGAAAAAGCAGTATATGGAAGATTGAGAAGTAAGGAAAGAGAAAATTTAGGACAAAAAAATATAATTTTGAGTCGATGAATTATAACCTATTATAAATGTAATGAAATTTAAGAAAGGGATAAGGAGGGTACTGAATATTAGAATACCCAAGATACTTTTATTCAGATTAGACATCCTCTTTTTAATTGTGATATGAACGTTTTTCCTGATACAAAATTTATTGTAATTTACAATATCATGATCATTATTTTAATGAATTGATACTAGATGAGAACATAAAATTTAATTAAAAGTAAAATATTTGACTTTAATAAGAGAATATATAATTAAATTTATTATATCGTCATTATGTCATTATGTATTTCAAAATATCATTGTGATTATTAAGAACTTGCTCAATTGCTTCTTTTACATCATTAGATATGGATGTTCTTCTTAATTTACTCAAATCATTAATTAAACCCATGACTTTTGTAAACATAATGCTTCGTGCTTCTTATAACTTTACATTAAGATCAGATTCATTCTTATTTTGATGTGCCATTAAATTAACAGCTCTATCTTCTGCTAATTCTAGATCTTGATATCTATTCTTCCAATATTCGGCTTCATCCAATGCTCTTTCTTTCTCTTATTTCAAATACAAAAGATCTTCCCTCAACTTTACAACATCATGATCTTGTTAAGGAGGATACACAGGCACTTCCCTAGGAATCTCATAGCCAATTGGATGAACTATCTTTTCAACAATATGAGTTCCTCTCATTCTCTTAACTCTATCTAATTCAACTTCCAATTCTATGATTTCTCTATCTCTGGCTCCCAATTTATGTTCTAATCTATCCAAATCTTAAACTCTAACTAATAATCTTTCTCTTTCAAATTCTAAATCTTTAATTCTATTGCTCTTTTGATCCAATAATCTCTTAAATTCTGATTGTCCTAATTTTTATTCGTTTAATTCTCTTTAATAGAGAAGCACTTATTCGTTTAGATCACTATACTTTAGAGTATGCTTTTGATTAATTTATTAGATTTCATCTAATAATCTTTCTTTGTCTTTTCTGAAATTGTCACATTCTCTTTTTAATTAATTGATTTCATTAACTAAGACCATGCATCTTTCCTAAGTTTTTTTATGCTATTCTTCTTCTTTTTTTAATCTATCTTCAATCCATTTAATTTTCTCCTCTCTTTCATTAACAACATCTTTATTAGCTTTTATTCTTGCTTCAGCTTCTGCAGCAGATTTAACTAGATCGTTGTATTTGTCCTACCAAATTTTCATTTCTTATTTGACTTTTCTATTTTCTTTAACCATGGCATTTTTTTCATTTTCAATATCATCCTTCTATTTTTACATTGTCGTAGCTTCACTCTTACTTTTAATAGCTTATTCCTTAAGTTAAACATTATCAGCTCTTATGGATTCTTTTAATTATTCAAATTAATTTTGGAGTGCTTTTTTTTCTTTTTCTAAAAATGTTATTTTTGATAACATCTCTTTTTTTTCATTTTCAACTCTTTCAGCTTCCTTCATTTATGCCAAAGTGGATTATGATTATTACTATTATTATCCTGTTTACTTTGTTTTCGATCCTCCTTTTCCTTTTTTTGGTTCTTGAGTCTATTGAATCTTTAAAATAGTGTTCTCCTGATCATCATTTTAATCTTGTTTTTGATTTTACTTCATTTCTAATTCTCTCTATTTTAATTTAAGTTCCAATTCCAATTTTTTTTATTTCAAAGTCATAAGTTCGTCCTATTCAATAATAGCAAGGGGTTTGAGTTAAGGAATCCGTGGAGGTGAATATTCTTCTGCATAGTACATTTTTCAATTATTGAATTATTTTTCTGTTAAAATAATAATAAGTATTTGAAAATGTATTATTTTAAAATGGATAAAAAGAATCCAATATATAAATATATAAATTATCACCCATTTGCAGCTGTTTATACTCTTTACTTTTTGATTTTACCTCCCTTTAATTTCTTAAACCCATAACGTTCTCTATAAATTAAGTATTGTAGATTTACAGCATTTTACTCCAATTGTTATCGAGAGCATCAGGCTATACTAACTTCTTGATTTCATTATTGCTATCAATTATCCTCTAATAATCTGATCTATATATCTTAAGATAGTACTTAGTTTTCCATATTTTTATTATTAATATAATAAGTACTCAATCTCTCTGTCTATTTTTTATTCATCATAAGGTTCCTCTTTTTGAAGTTTCTTCACTATAAACCTATTTCAAATACCATGTTCTCCTTCTTCTGAATTTCAATCTAAGCAAAAATACTTCTTTGATACGCCTTATCCCTGCTAATTGTTCTCTGAAAATCAGGTGTATTATCATTCCTTTTCAGAAATTGGAAATCATAGAAGTCCCTCTAACACATAGGAGATGGCGATTTGGTCGTTTATGAACTTTTATTAAACTCAATAGATTAACCGGGTTCAGTGATTAACAGTTAATCTGAGTAGACTCCTGGGCCAGGAGTAGAAGTCTAGAATAAGTCGAATAGTCATACATCCCTATAGAAATGTTCTCTTCTAGGTGTCAGGAAGGCTCTGGTTAATTGGGTTTTTGGAACATATTATTTTTTGTATTCTCTAAACTGTTTAATGAAACCTTAATCAGCTTATAGATTGATTTTAAAATTCCTCAACCTCTATCTTAGAGAGACTGCTTGATCCTTTGGAGTTATATCTCGTTTCTTAAGTCCTAATAAGTGAGTGGTACTCCACTTGAATGCATGATTAGCTTGTGGTACAGCCTCTTTGTCTTTTGCGTGCAAAACCATTTATTAACTTTTTAGAAAATGAAATTTTGACGTGGTGTCATTACTTTTTGCTCTATGAATTAATTTACCAATAGAGTTTCTCTCATTTTAAAAGGGTTTGAAGTTGTTCTTCAGATCATCCTTACTCAAAAATGATTGTGTATCCTAATCCAAATCCAATTAACTAGCAATTGGAGACATGTTGCCTTCCAACAATATTTCCAAACCAGCTTATTCAATTGAAGTTCGCTTTATTTACATTATTTAAACAATAATAATTAATCCTTTTTAATGCATCATCAAAATAGATTACCAACAATTAAAAACACTAACAAAGAATAAAGATCTGATTCTTTAGATTTACCTACAAATAGGTAATGGGTGAGAAAAGAAACTTCTTAAAGTTCCGAAAGAAATGTTTAGAACACCGAAAACTATAGCATAGCTCACTGTATTTAAATATTATAACAGTAGAAAGGAATGAATAAAGGTATGATGCTTCTTAAAGAGCACATAACAAAAATATTTTAGTCTAAGATGAAATGAATTCTCATTAATTACGACAGAAAACAGACATAAGTTCTCACAAATTTAAATTGAATCCAGTAACTAATGAATACCAAAATTAAAAAAATCAACGCTAAATCAGGTAGAATCAAAATTTTGATGAAGTTGGTTAAGATACTTAAGAAAATTAATAAAATAAAAAATATTTAACTTTGGATACTTAAACTGAAAGAAACTAATTAGTCACAGTGAAAAGGTAAGCCTCATTATAACAACACAAAGATAAGTCAATAAAACCTGGAAGAAACATTAAAGGAATCAGAAATTTTGCTGGTCATGCTCAGAATTTGTTAACTAACTTTACCTTTTAAAATAAATGGTTGAAAAAATTAAAATCCATCTTTTAAGTAGCCAGAGCCTTATGCAGAATATAGATTTTAATAAGACCAAAAAGGGAATAATGGGATGTGGCGATATCAAAAGAAATTGATTGCAAACAGGAATTATCTTTCAACACAACTATTAATGCAATAAAAATCAAATAATGGTGTTAAATGGTATTTACGAAGGCTATTTCTATTATTCAATCCGAAACACTTGATGATCACAAAATCAATTTTATAGTAAATTTATTGAATTATATTAGGAAAATCAATTAGCACCATTACAATTAGATCATGCAATTAATGTAACAACTCAAGTTTTCTGGTATTTTATGACTTCATTCGAATTATTTACTAATCAGAAATTATTCATTAGAGAATTTGGGTTAATCATGTACAAAGACCTGTTTGAAGAATAAAGAAAGTTCTTTAGTAAATTTGTCTCTAAACGTACGACTTACTTATCAAGCAAATATAAAATCATCGCAGATGAATAGAGAGTGATGATTTATTCAGAATCTATAATTTACAATTTACTTTAAGGATTGATGCTATCAATAAATAATCCAAAAGTGATTAATATCAATAAACCCAATAGTATCTTTCTTATAAGAGTTTTGATTACTTTATTGCAGTATTTGTTTATGAAAACATTTACGGATTTACCAACAGTGAATGATTTAAGTGGCAACTATAAGTTAATTTAATTTAAATTTGCATAAGTTAACAAAAAAGATTACGCTCTATAGGAGTGTATTTAAGTAGAGAAAGAGGAGCTAATAATTGGTACATATAGAATGGATGAATTGAGTCCATTGTTTACCAAAATCTCATGGCATTCATCAATTAAGAAATGCTTTAAAAGAATACTTAATAATTTATTTCTTTATAAATTTTGATTATTATTGATCATATTGTGTATATAAAATCTAAAATAATATTTATATGATTTTTTCGGATGAATTCAAAGATTTAATTAAGCAACCAGTTCAGCTTAATTCTAGCAGATCAAACTATTCCAAATACGAGAGTCTCACTACATTCAGGGAATCACCCAAAAAGGCTGTGTTGAATTATCCAAAGGAGCAATAGACTCTTTTTTCTAATGCAAGCTATTTGTTGAAACAATCCAATAGAATTGGAATAAAGAAAAGATTACGAATATTTTTGATCGTTCTTAGATTTATCAGAAGATTATAAAGAGTAATTAATGAATCCCCATACTAACACAGTCTAGCAAATCTAAAAAAGGTTAAAAAAACCACTTTGAAGCTTCCTCAAACAATAAATGAGAAATTCAAGGCCTGGTGTTTGGGAATATTTTAAAAATCATTTTCAACAATTCCTCAAAATCTCTTTAATTACATAAAATCCCCTGGAAATAAGATAAAAGAAGACAATTCTCAATTTATCCTAATTAATGCAATCAAATTCTTCTTCGAAAACATGGCCTATTTTACTCATCCTGATATTGTGAGTATTGAAATAAAACACTTTTTGTTTTCGTAACTGTTTTTAAATGAGAAGAATCAGTTTACAGCTTTTGTATCTGTGAGAACCCCTTACATATCCCATTTAAATAACGAAATCACATTAGATCAATAATCAATGATTATTATGGAAGTTTTGCTCTTTTTTAGATTTGCATTTATTCTCTTTGAATTCACAAATACAAGCTAATTTGCAATTATTATGCTGATTAGTACTCTTCAACATTTATATTTGAAAAAATACACCTGTTTAAAGTCTTAATACCAACCTCAACAAAATTTGATTCAATTAACAATAGAGGAAACAAAGAATCAAAAATATATTTTAAAAGCAGATCCACAATAGACTTTATTTTCAAGCAATTAAATAATTTATGGAACTTACCCTTCTGATGAAATTGAAAAGTTACTTAACTTACGACCAAATTTTGATGAAAAAATAACATAATACTTTAATAAAACCATAGAGCATTTATAACTATTTCTCATAGACTTCTATCAATGATTATATATTTATTTATACTTATCTCTAAATAAAATTTATATGTATTAAAAATTATATTCATTACTTTATTATAATAATAATTATTAATTTTGCTAATATATAATTATACTTAAGCAAATATAATCTTTTATCAAATATGTAAATTATAACAGAGTTGGGTTAATTAAGACGCTTAAATTTTGTATCTACCTATATTGCTGTTTATCTAGGGGACTTAACCTAATCATTATAAAGGATTTTATAAAATGATTGGTATCATATTAATTATAATAAATCGATTAATGAAAACCGCATCTATATATTTGACTGATAATTAACAGTCTCAATTACAATTCTCGAATAGGTAAAATAAAAATCTCTTTATATCTGATTTTAATTTTGAGACTAGCAGATCAAAAAAATCAGGTAATTCACCATCTCCCAAAAAATAATGGATCAAAGTCTCTACAGCTACTGAAAGTCTGCAGCTGATTATGACTCCCAACTTGCTCTAAATATAAAATTTTAATTATCTGAAGAAAATTTTCAAAAGGTGTGTGATAGTGATTAGAGCTTGTTTAAGATTACAAAAATTATAACATCAAAAACATAAGAAGCCAAACACTAATCTGAGGAAGACTTTGAATGGAAAAGAATCATTAAGAGACACAGTCTTGAATGAAGTAGTGTTCAAATGGTGTCGAGGAATATGCAAAAAATCGTTATCTTCAATAAAATCACCTGTCTTTGATTATTTAAAAAATCCTAATTTCAATACTAAAGCAGATACATCTAAAATGTAGCTGATTAATGCTATTAAATTTATAGTTGAAAGTCTTGCTTATTATACACATCCTCATTATATACATTACGATTTAAAAGGTTTCTTATGTTCTCAATTGTATCAAGATTATAAATTATACTTCACCCAATATGTTTCAGAAAGAACTCAATACAAAGAAGCCATATTAGATGAGTTGTAAGAGAAAGAGGCAGCTCTAATTGGTATGGAGATTATACTATTTAATCTTGCCGAAGCAATAATTTAAGATCAGTTATCTTGCAATTTCAGCAAGAGAATTGTCATTAGTGCTCTATAATTACTATTTAAATAATATTTTGATGAAATGAATTGTGCCATCTGTAATTACGATTGTATTCAAGGTGATATTAAGGTTACTAATAATAAATTATAACTTACATTTAAGAGTAAACATTCTGGTTCTTTTAATTTAATTGATGGTCTTTACACTGATGAATAAATTTTAAGCCTATTGTAGTTCAATAGATCCTAATAAGGAAAGATTTAAGAATATTTTAAGATGGCAGTAAAACATTTAGAAAAATAAATCGTATGATAATAGTATATGTTCATTGCAATATTTATATTATTTCATTTAATATTAATATAAAAATCAATAAGTTGATTTTAATCAAATAATTTGGTCTCCCAATAAGCTTGAATATTATAATTAGTATAGGAATTTCTATTATTATATATAGAATTAAGTAGAAATTTTAATTAAGGTATTTTAAAATTTATTTTCCATTTTTATTCAATGAACATTTTTTCCGAGAGATCGTCATCAAGGTATACCTAAAGAAATTTTGTGTCTGAATGTTAAACTCCTTCAATAGATTCACATGGATACATTTCAGTTTCAAAAGAATTAAATATACCTTTAATATCGACTGGAAAGCAATCTATTTCAGTCTAAAGGAAGTAAATAAAGTTATTTGATTCCCCTCACTTCAATGATAACACCAATTCCACTTTAAGTAGTCACAAATCAAAAAAAGAGGTGGATATACTTTCAAAATTAATGAATTGGGAGAAAATGTAAGGAAATCCTAAGTTTATTCCCTTGAAACGACACCACGAATTATTACCAAAGACAGAACATTTAAGAAATCAAAACCCAATGTTCCAGGATATCAAATAGAAGGGACATGCAAAATATTTAAATTAACAAACAGTTTAACAACAAGCACCTAAATCTTTTGTTATGCATGATACTATTCAACCAGATGTAGAGATGAAGGAGTCGGAATATAATTAAATGGAGAGTTTGGATCCACTTAATACTATGAAAAATCAACATGAATTAAATCAATATGTTATTTAGGTAGCAAAAACAAATAATAGAATTCTACCAAGTATATTTTCTTAAAATAAAGTTAGAGCTTTAATTACCTGAAAAGAATGAAAAAGCTATTCTAAAGCCAAATTTCCATCGATAGAAAAGACTTTATAGTGTTATCGATACTTTTGAAGCCCTAAAATTTGGGGGTTAAGATGATTCCGTCTTTGATGATAATGAGTATTAGTAATTTCGTAAGAGAAAGGCTTAATTTAAAAGATATTAGCTCAGAAAACGAATTATTGTAGTATTGGCAGTTATTAGAATTTCAAGAAAGCATAGGTATATATAAATCTTATAACTAGATTAATATTAAAAGAAAGAGCATTATATTCTACAAGTTTGGATCAATCAAAAAGTGTACATCAAAAATATCTAGATTAATTCAGAACTAAAAACTTATTATATCATTAGAAGGAATTTGCAGAAGGGATATTTAAAAAATTAAATTCAAGCATACTGGATAAAAAATATCTAAAAGAATGCCAAGAGATTTCTATGTTTCAAGACTCTGTATAGAAAGATATAAAAAAGCAAAGGTTTTGCCAATTAGCTCTTTTACTTTTATAATCTTTAGAAATAGCAACTTAGTAGAATGTGTTACCACAAGTAATAGTACATCTACTGAATTTGAACTTCTACAAATCTAGCACTTCTTAATCTTGTTTATTTGTTTCAAAAAGAGCGTGTTATTATACAGCATTCGTTTGCAAAATCACTAGAAAATAATAATTATTATTAGCCACCGAATTTTTAATGTTCTAAACAATAATCCCTAATATATTCTCAATATTTAAGGATATGAACATTAAGGATATAGAACATAATAATTAAACTTTAAGTTATTTATCTGCTCTTACTTAAATCGTTCAAATACTATTCATAGATTATTTCAAAGATTTAGAGCTGGTAAAAACTAAAAATGTGCATCCTATTTAAAGAATTTTGAAGTTAAATATTGATGAGAATACAGGCCTTGGAGCATCTGAAATCATAATTAGTTCAAAAATTAATACAGATGAAACTGTTGTTATTGAGAATGGTTTCGACAAATCTAGTATTTTAGAATTGCAAGATTCCAAACCCTATTGGGATGAAAAGATAAAATCTAGATTTGCTAAAATAGTCTCTAATATTGAGAAGCATATACTGATTTAAAATAATTGATTATATATTCTCTTGTCCTTTAAATTATAATTATAAATATATTTATATATTGTCTAACATTCAGATATGATTGGTATAAAAATAATAAATTATGAACTATCCTAATTTTCCTTGTCATTAAAAATAAAATGAATTAATAATTCTAAATTGATGACATTATTCTTGCTCCTGGTTTATCAATCAAAATAAGGAACACTATATAATTCAAACATGGATAGGATGGATTCCATTTATGGGAAGTAAATTAAAAGATTTTACATTTTAAAAGGCAGGCATTGTATTGACGAGATACGTGTATTATAATATCATGCCATCAAAATAAATATTCATGGATTTGGGAACTGGAGTAGGTATTGCAGGCATTCTAATCTCAAAATACACTCGAGTCATTATGACAGACTATAATTAAGATGTTTTGGATAATGCTTGGCTGAATGTAAAATTAAATCAGTCGCCATGTATTCTTATGCAATTAGATTGGAGAAATCATAACAAAATAAGTTTCTAAGTGGATACAATTGTTGGAAGTGATTTAGTCTATTCAGGTGCACCCTTGTATGACTTATATTAAACAATAGTTAAATTATTAAGTAAGTTATAATTGTATTTTAGAATAAAATGGGATATTTTATTTGATAATACCAAGTAGTAGAATGTGCACTTCAGAATTTATAGATATTATGAATTCTGAGGGTTTATTTGAGATCAAAAAGGAATTGTTGGAAGATGAAAAGTATTACCAACCTTGTTTGTTAGACCGTGAATAATCTCACACATTGTATCCAGGTTTAAAGGAACTCAAATTTTATATGTATATATTTATAAAGAAGTGAATTTATAACCTTCAATTATATATATATATAAAATAAAAGATAAATGGATGTAGAATAAATAGAACTCAATATGGCGCCTTAAATATCTGATTAGAATTAAGGGAATGACTAAGTCCAAAGTTCATAGCACGTTCTTAATGCAGTGATGCAAGATGCTCGACAATCTTATTTATTAAAGAAAGGAAGACTTTAATTTCTGACTTTAAAGAGATTGACACAAGCTATTCTTATTTACAGAATACTCTATGTTCTCCTTTGTTTCATCCCATTTTATAAGTGTCCTTTTGAATGCAATAACACTCTTTTAAATACTTTATTGCTAATCTGTATTGGATTGGAATTGTAAATAATATATTTATGACTAGATTGAAGATAGCTGAAACCATATATTAGTTAAGGAAGGTTTCATTTTATTTGAATCTCTTCAACTTATATGATGCCTAATAAGTTATACCATTTACACTGAATGACTTTTAAACAATATTTGCTTTAAGATATGCCCTCGACTAACTTCACAAAAAGGCGTTCTATTTTAGAATCACCATAAACATGTATAAACATAATATATTTTAAGAATTTGGGTCATCTACTACATTATTTATGTTGCCTTCTTTTTTAGCTTTGCTAATTATTATACAAGTATTAGATCTTATTATTTTAGGTGATTAGAATGTGATCGTGAGCTTTATGCTAATCATCATCTCCTTGGACTCAGTCTTTTTTATATTTCCATATGTATTTCATTGTATAGGATGGTTTTGTGTTAAATGCTATGATGCAATAAAGAAATTAACGTCAAAAAATAATGTAAGCATCTTCAACATACTTAGAAACTTCTCAGATCTTTGAAAAAAGAGAAATACGTTGAAGGCTAATAATTGACTGATGAAAATATATGTATCATCTGCTGGGATTCCTTCAAAAATGATGAATACTATACAAGATTAAAATGTAATAAAAATCACATATTTCACACTACATGTATTCAAGTTTGGATTAAAACCAATATAACTTGTCCAGTTTGTAGATCTTAGTTAGTTTGAAACATAATATATCTATATCTAATTAACTCTATTGATTCAATATTTGATTAGTATATAGATTATTTTATAAACATTGACTGAGCTAAAGAATTCTTTAAGCATTTAATTTATCAAAACTATTTAAGAATTCAAATTTCACTTGAAACATTGTCATTCATTTTAATATGCTATGCAATTAAACAATGCGCGAGAATTAATTTAAATTTGTTATGATGATTAATTAGGAGTAAAAAAACAAATAAAATAAGATTATCCAATAACTGTATTAAAAAATAGAAGAAGGAAAAACAGCATAATCAGAAGGAATTCATATATGAATGATTGAATGATATAATAATTATTGTTATTCTCATATTTTACTAATGATGGATTTTGAATCAAAATAATAATAATTATAATCAAATATTTTATTCTCTTTGATACTTTTTTAATATTTTTTATACTTATTTGAAATCTTTATATTTTTCAAATTAATTCAGAGATGTATATTTAACTAAATTTTAATTATTAATAGAAAATAAATAAATTGTTTAAGTAAGTGTCATTTGAAGCAGTAAACATAGCTTTTATCTGTTGATTCTTCTTCAAAAGAGATTTCCCCATCAGATTCTTAAGTTTCTGGATTGTAATCACAATGATCTCCAATATGTTTTTGAGTTTTCACTAAACGATGATGTAAATCAATGACTTATTCATTTAATGATTCATTAATTGTATCAAGTGATACTTATCCAGATTTAAATTCTAAATTTTATGTCGATACTTATTGACTAGTTTTTCCGCTGTTCTTCTTTAATCCATTAATTAAAGAACTCTATATTTGTGATTAAATAAATTACCCAATCAAATTCCAAATTTTTGCATCCCTTAAATACAGCCTTTAAAGCATCGTAATTCACTGGTAATTCCATTGGGTTTAGGAATTTTATCTTATTAGCAAAGTCTGTAAAACAAGGGGGATAATTTTTAAGAACCTTTTCAGGTAGAAATGAATGCTTAGTCGAAAAATACCATTATAACTTGTCTGCTCTTGTCTTAAATTTTTTTTAATAATCAAAGAATTCTCCATCTGTCAATAATTATATTACAATATAGAGTAGACTTTCTAAATCATCTTTGGGATAAACTTCTAATCATTTTATTAGTAATTTGTTACATATTCCTAGATGCTATCCCAAACTTGAATATTTATTTAAATGTTGACATTTTTAGACTATCTTTGAATTTGGTTTGAATACTATTGCCTATTATAGATTGCCTAAGGAAAGTGTCCTCTAATTTTCCAGACTTGTTAATAGACTCTACATATTTAAATTCGCATGAATAAAGTTGCCAGAATGCAATAACTACAGAGCATCAATCTAAAATGTTAACATTATTACTGTTTTCAGAATGACTAAAATTATGCATTCAAAGGAAAACCTTGATTTCCAAAAGTTGAACCAAAATTTTAAGCTAGGACCGGTTTTGTTGAGAACTTGATAATTATATTGATTCATGAAAACTCCATGATCGATCAATCTCACGAGACAATCTTATGGGTTCTATGTTATTTTTCCACTTTAATATTTCTCCTCATACTGATTCTCGAATTAAGTTTTAAAGTACTAAAGTATTTTAGTGCTATTGTCAGTTTTTGATAAAATAGTCATCCTAACAACACATGCCTATTGTATTTATAAATTGATTGCTTTGAAAATAGTAGTGTTATTACCTTCAAAGATTGTTGAAGTCTTTCCTTAATAGATTACATTAAGCAATATGTATTTATTATCAATAATGACTGGATTTTCTTTATTATTATATTTCATTTGAGATAATTTCTAATAATAAAAATAACTTACTCTTTACGAATCAGATGATTTTGTATTACTGTGCTCTGTTGAGGTTTTTGGTGCGTTCACATTGTTGGCCTCATTATAATCTATATCTTAGTACATTAAGAGATAGATATATAATTTTAATAAAATTTATATTTTAAATGCTCATTTTTATAAACATTTTAAAAAGGATCTAAAATAACTAAATAGTTTAATAAGTAAATTAATAAGCATAAAATATAATTAAGATAATCAGCATATATGAGTGACTCTATGTTATTTCATATTCTTTTTTAAAGAAAATTGTTGAAATCATTAGGACAATTGTGATTCTCACTAAACTGTAAATCATCTTGTAATTACTACTCGATTGGTCCAAAACTTTTACCAAGTAGATTTTTTGATTCAGCAACTGTTGAATTTATAGTTTTGTTTTTAACAGATTCGTGTTTATTTAATCTTTCTAATTTGATTGAAGGATCAAAAGAATTTTTTCTTGAAATATTATTAGATTTCTAATAGATAGAATCAACCAAACTGAATTTTAATAAATCATCCAAGTAATTAGAATCTAGATTCTCTTTAAAGAAGTCTTATTCTAGACACTCCTTTAATGTGAATCTGTATTTAGGTTAAATTCGAGTCATTTAGATTAGAAGATTTTTTAATGATTAAGGCAATTTGATTTTATCGTTGAAACTAAGACTACCTGAGTTAGATGATTTGAAAGGATGTACCCCATAGAATCTAAGATTAATTAAAAAATTACATTTCATATATTATGATTCCCAAACTGTAAACATCGCATTAAGTAGTATACATTTTTTGTTTTTCCTTATATTCCTAGACTTCGGGTGCTGCATAGCCAGGAGTTCCACAATTATATAATACATGTTCTTAATATTTATAGTTTGTAGAAAATCCAAAATCAATTATTGCTATATCAATGCTGAAAGGATCTTTGTCTTTGTACATGATATTTTATGGTTTTAAATCTCGATGCATTATTTATTATGAATGGACATAATTCATAGTTTCTAGAATATCTCTTACTAATTATTATTTCTATTAAAGTGAAAAATTCTATAGTTTTTCATATAGATGACCTCCTTCGTAATAAGTCATTATTAATTCTACAGAATCTGAGTTTTAAATAATAAAAGATACCATCGTTTTCATAAACTTCATGCAATTTTGGGATGTTGGGATTGTCTAGACTTCTCATTATAAATATTTCTTCAGCCAAACTCTTGGCCTGTTTTTCTCTCATTTTGTGTCCCAAAGGAGCCTTTACCACTTTTTTAATTGCAAATTTTTAATTATTTTGATGATTTATCACAAACACCTAGAAAGAATAATGATATTAAATTACTTCTGAAGTTATGCCCTCTCCGATTTTTTATCTTGGAATTTAGAAAGATGCAGGGATTGATTCTTAAATGCAATTCTGTTTTAACTCAAGAATAAAATTGTCAACTTCCTCGGTTTTATTTCCTGATTGTAGCACTATTTACTAAAAATCATGTGATAGAGTAATGAGAAAAGTATTATCTTTGCTTCGAAAAGAAAAATAAACATTTTTCAGAAGGAGAAAACCCCCAATTTCACCACTCTTTAGAGAATCACTTATAAAATAAATTCCTTACCTTTCGAAAATAGAATAAGTGTTGTCTATAAATCTTGTATCTCCGAGGAGTTATTATCTTGAGTATTTGACCTTGTTTAAACAACACGATGGTCTTTTGATCTTCAGACAATTAATGAAAATCGTAATTGACCAAAGCACTTAAGTTTCTATTCCAAAAGGATTACTATTTGGAGGATACGAAATATAAAGAGTGTTTCATTAATAAATTATAATTAATAAAATCATACTCAATTTTGATGATATCCAAACACAAATTTGTGAATATTGTAAACACTTTATCATTTTAAGTTAAAACAAATAAAATGACTAAATTATAAATAAATTCATGCACAAACATTAATCAAAGAACTCAATTCCTTGAATTAGGTAAACTTAAAATTTAATCAGTTTTAATTATTTATTTTGCATTAATTGTAAATATTTATTTTCAATTTATATCATTGGAATTAATATTTAAATCATTTCATAATCCAATATATACTCAAGCATTTAATTTCCTATTGAGCTTTTCCAAAGCAGCCTTGTTTTCAGCTTCGTAATTGTGAGCTTCCTTCACAAAAAAGTCGATGGTTTTTTCCAAAGCCACCATCAAAGGAGTGAATTGAATACCCAATTCTTTGATTTTCTTATTGCTGATGATTCCACAATCAACTGAAGGATAGAACTTGCTAGCCTCTACTACATGTTTAATATTCAGTTATTTATCTGATATCTTATTGAGCTAAAATTAGTATTAAAGTATTACAATCACCTATGCTAATTCAATATATGAAATTGTCTCATCAAAACAAACATTATAAATTTAATTTTATTATGGAATATATTTAATGAAATATTTAATGCAATTCACAACATCTGTGCTAAATACAAAACTAATTTATTCTGATTGCACAGCTTAATCCTAACTAATTATTCATCACACTTACCACTTAAATTGGATGTTTATCATTCTATTTAAGCCATTTCACCAAAGCAAAAAATCTTCCAGAGTCATCAAAAGGCCCAATAACATCTGGCAGTCTCAAAATAACATATCTAAAAGAACCTTCGACTACATAATTCTAAAGAAACTCCTCGCATTTCAATTTATTCTTAATTTATTCATATTATTTATTACATGGCCATAACTTTCCCTTTTCTTTTATGATTCCTATAATTCTTTTCTTGAATCCTAATCCTCTGTTATTGGAATCTATTTGATCTTGCAAACATCATAAATTGAGTCTGTCGATATAAATATATATAAATTGCACACTCCTCTTAAAGCAGCATATACAGATTTCACCTATTTACTATAAAAAGCAGAGAAATCGATAACAGCTTCCCAACATCTCCCATTGACTCCCACATTCAATTTCTTAGACAGATACCTAATCAATGTGGTAAAATCATTTGTATCATCACGATTACCATATGTATAATAAACATTTGTAATTTGATTAACTGAGTTATTCCAATAATTCTTCCCTCTATTTATATAATGAACTTCATAAGACTCATTTTAAGAAAGATCCTGCAGTAATTCTTTACCAATAAAAGTAGAACCACCTAATACAAGTATTAATTTTTTCATGATACTATTTGTATTAAATAATTAATTAAAATGGAAATATGCGAATAGTTTAAAGAGACTGTAAAAATGCGATATTTAATATAGCTTCAAGAATAAGATGACAATAAAAGATAAACAATGTTGTTTAGTGTATGTCGAAAATTGAGTAGAATATTGCCTTTTCCTTCTGTTATCTCAGTATTATAATAAAAACCTAATATTTTGAAATACTTATTGATCGCCAGTTAATTATTTGAAAATAGTGTATCAATAATGTAATTTTAGGCCTTGTTATTATTTTATGCATTATAAGAGAGGTACTGGGAAGAATAGGATTATGTGAAACTGTATTTTGATTGTGTTATCAAATGTCTAATTAATCAGGAGAGTAATGTACTGATTATTGACATTTTTAGTTTAGTGTCAAACTGTGATTAATAATGAAACCAAGCTAAGATGGTTTTTGCTAGAAAATTCTAAAAATTTTATTAATAAAATCTAGATTCCCTTTTTTAACAATGAAATTGTTTGTTAAAAAGTGAACAACTTCTTTAAGAGTTTCGTTAAATACAACTCTAATTTTGATATGCTTAATTCTTGTTTCTAATTTGCTTTGGAGAAGAGAAACGTTTGGATCTTATTAAGAGAATTGGATTTACAGTTTGAAACCGAAGTTGAAGATTGTATAAATGTTAAATATTTAAGCATTGGTTGCCTTAAGTTAAGTAATGAGCACTAAGAATTTAGATTTTATAAGTGAGAAAGTAGAATAAAAAAGAGAAGAAGCATCAAGTTATGGTTTAACAAAAAAAGAATTAAAATAGTAAATGTTAGAAGAATGGTTATTTCAGCCTAGTGAAGTACCATTATTAGTAGCTAATCATGCTACTATTGATTAATTGAGTAGCGAAGTTTTTAAATCGAATATGCTTTTAGATTTGTTTTTATCTTTCATATTGTTTCCAACAAGAAACCCATAAGTTGTTCCAAATGTAATTATACTATTCTTAATTTTAGAAATTATACAATATTTATGTAGATCTCAATCCCCCAGAACCTCCTTCATTCAGATAACTAAATGTTAATGTTTCATCAGAAAAAAGACCGTTAATCCAATTCAGAGCTTTCAGAACTATGCAAGTCTTAACTGATAACAGAAACAATTTCTTGTTGACAAGAGCCAATAAGGAATATTATCAAAGAGCATATTCTATGCTTTATGAATGTCTCAAATAGGATTTAGTGGCTATCACAATATGCCCAGAAATTATTGTATAATATTTGTCCTTCCTTTTATACTAAGAACCAGATATTTCAACATTCTTTCTCATATTTTATAATATTCCTTATAGGTTGATGCTATTTTTAGATATTCCAGAAATCTCCTAATTGTTTACTCAATTAATGAGTTTTCTCCATACTCCATATAACAAAGTGCATACTGAATCTAATAATCTGATTTGGTAATATTTTGATGTTTCTAATTTTTTTTCTGATCTACTCAAAATGACTATATTTGATTCTAAAACAATCGATGAGGTAATCACATAAAAATCAAATGAATTTTATAGACCTAAAAAATTAGAAGATGTTTTAAAAAGACCTGACTTCACCCCTTTATAAGTTGAAAAACAATTCCCTTATCCAGAATAAAAGAAAGTTGCTGAAGAAATAGATGAATTGGATTAGGATCTTGATCTAATCTTCCCTTATCTGCCTAATAAATGTTAAAAGACTCTTAAAATCTTTGAAAGAATGCTTGATTAAGCAACAAAAAAGAAAGAAAGCAAAGCAAAATAAAGAATGTCTCTAACAGCCACTCCACCTCAATTTTTATAAACTAAAAATCTTAAAACTGAAGAATAAACTCCTGTAGTATTTAGTCCTACCAGAAGGAGAACCATTTTAGCACCAAGACTTGCATCGATCCTTGAGGGCAGTCTTAAAAAATCAATAGTAGTGAATCCTGTAGAGTTTGATACTATACCTTAAACTACAACCACTAGTACTACAAGAAGCCAATTATAAGCTTTGACTAATCCAAATAATTTATTTGGTGTATTGACTGAATAAATTCAATTAATCAACAATAAGAATACTTCTGAAGTTATTTAAAAACCTATGTATTAAAGAATGCTAGTCAAAAGACCAACTTAAATCATTATGCTTCATAGCAGATCAATTTCTAATTAAAAGAGAATAAGTTAATAGTCTTCTCAAATTAATATTACTGAATCTCTTAATAAATCAAAAATACAAAATTCAATCATCTTAAATAAATTCACTCATTTAGTTGGATCAATTAAAACCTATGATATCGATAAAGAGTTTTGTATCTATCCTCCAGAATTAAAGGATTAATAGATTGATGACTTTGAAAAATTGGCTTTCGACGATCAATTCCAGAAACTTACATAAAGAAACGAGAATTACACAAAAGGAGCTTTATAATGCATTTATGATATCTTGCATATGATCTTTGCTTAAACGAAGTTCATTTTATCAAATAATCATCAATTTGAAAATCCTGATTACTATTTAAATATCTTGATGGGGGAAAATAAATCATAATTCATAAATATCATAGCCAAGAATTATTTGTTGAAATAGAAATCAGAGGAAGACTTACTTTGTACTTTTATTATTGCTGGTAGAATATATAATTTGGTATTGAGTTAGTAAAATACTCAACTATTAAACTTCAACTTCCAGGAGCATTTAATCTTAATAACTAAGATTCTTTTAACCTAACTTCTCACATCAAGATTGTCAATAAGAGCGATTACATTATTGGAAAGTGTCACATTGATATTAGAAAACACAAAATCTAAATTGCTCACTCATATCCCAATATCTTTTTGGCATTTATTGATTGAGTCTTATTCAATTCATAATACCAATCAAATTTTCATAAACTACTTTAGAAGAATTTTGATTACTACTTTCATTTATGGGAACCTTGTTGTTTATAATAGAGTTTTACTAAAAATCAATTTTCTCTCTTATTTTAGGGAGAGTCCTGAGCAAATTAAATAGATTTTTCTTGTATTATATATGATGTTCAAATTAAGACAAGATGGTTTGAAGCAGTTAAATAAATAAATTACAATGTTATCTTCTTGGAATGCTCTAACAGAATAGTTCAACAAGTAAGTATTATGATTAATTATTTACAGGGATTTACAACGTCTTGACTAATAAAAGTATTAAGAATATACAAAGGGACTTAGAAAGGAAGATCTTGCTCAGATTTAAACATTGATTGAAAATAAGGATTTAATAAAGAATTAATTTTACAAACCTTGATTACATATGAAATATATATATTAATAGCTTATTATATATAGATAAATGAAGATTGTATAATTATTACTAATTTGGATATTATTATTTCCTTTTTGCAAATTGAAATTCAAATGTAAACATTTCATCTGAAATTAAATATTATTGATCATATATATAAAAATTCATTATTTGCCAACTTAAACTTTATGGATTATATTGATTATGCAGAGATAAGATTTTCATTTATAGGAGTACGAAAGCATTTTTTCTCAGATAAATAATATTATGTTTCTGTTTTTGATGATTGCTTTATTATGGGCACAGTAATTCTAAAATATTAAACACTAGACATCCAATACATAACAGCCAAAGTACACAATTAAGTTTGGTTTCGCTACAAAAATTAGATGGAACCTTAAAAAAACTAAATAAGGACTCATAATAGATTCGTTTAGTTTTCCCTATAAGTAAGAGTTGAAAGCACTTAGTGCAAATCACGATAATTTGATTAAGTATATAATAATACAAAAATGACTTAGGTTCAAAGAATTGATAAGTTTGAAAGTGACTTTTGATAACATAAATGATTTGTATTAACCTCTCACCCAAATAGGAAAAGGAATTTCAGCCAAGGTTTATAGCGCAACATACAAACTGGACTCAAAGATTTATGCAATTAAAGCAATCGAAAAAGCATTTTTAAAGCAGCAAAATGAATCTGGCTAAGTACTAGTCAAAAGTATATTTTCATTAGGCAGCCTTCAAAATGGAGGTTTCCGTTTTAAAAACGTTGGCCAAATACCCAGAAAACTTTTTAACACTGAAAGAAATTTACGAAGGCGATTAAGTCCATTGCTTGGTCACTTCTTATTTAGAAGGATCAAGTTTAACTTAAGAATTCGATCGTTTAAAAGTAATGTAAAACTCTTAAAATAGGCTGCAGAGATGTATCGATTCCCTATTCATTATGCAAAAATTATAATGAAAAAATTGCTAACTAATTTAGCAGTACTGCATTAACATAAAGTATAATATTTAGCTTTATTAGATAATACATAGGGATTTGAAGCCTGATAATTTAATGTTCTCCAAAAAAAATGACTATTCGACATTAGTCTTAGTGGATTTTGGACTAGCAACTTCTGAATCCATGGAAAAGTAAAATTGAATAAAAATACTTAAATAATAGGTTTTTATTTCCAAAATGTGGTACTCCTGGCTATGTTGCACCTGAGATTTTGACTTTGAAACCTTATAGCAAATACACAACAAAAGTTGATATATTTAGTTGTGGATGCATTTTTTATAAATTACTGACTGGGAAAAATTTATTTGGAGGTATCTCTTTCGATGAGGCACTCAAATAAAACAGAATGTGTTAAATAGAATTCAATATTCCACTTGATTAGCAATATATTACAGAACAATCTATTGTAATTTTATTGATGAATAATTAGAATTTATTATAGCAGATGCTAATGAAGAATCCTAAATTTAGGATCAGTGCTAAAGATGCTCTATCTCATCCTTTTTTTGATTAGAATCTTGACTAAAATATCTTTTAATAGGTCGGAATTTTTTCACCTAAAAGGTCAACAAAGACTTTATTAAACATCAAGCAAGAAGAGCAATAGTCTGATGTGGATAGTTACTAAGAGGATAAGATAAGCAATGAGAAACAAGTTGAAGAATCAAACTTTATTTAAATACCAAAGAGTAAGAGATGCTCTTTGATGGGGGATTTCTCTTAATTATCTTAATCCCCTTCAAAGTTATTACTTGATATTCATTAATTTTACTAAAAAGATCCACTATCTGGGATTAGGTGCATAAAGGTCACTTAAAGCCCTTAAGTATCTTAAGTATTAGAATGATTTTATTGATAAAATTCTATTTTCCATAATAAAAATATTTATTAATTGATTATAAATGCAGAATTATGAAATTTTAGAGAAGATTTATGAATCAAAATCGACACTCATTCATAAAGTCAGAAATATAAGGGATAACAACATATATGCCATGAAAGAGTTTATTGGATTTTATAATTAAGGTATCAAATTTCTGATATTTCTAGCTCTAAGCGAAATATAAATTATGAAACAATGCTAAATACCTTTTGTAATTAAATTGAAGGAAGTATTTAGACTCGATGATAATGTAGTAATCATAATGGAATATGCGGATTAAGGAAATTTAAAATAGTTTATAAATGAGCATCTTGGAAGTTTCATTTCTGAGAGGGTGATTTGTAAAATTCTTATACAAATCGTCTTTGTTTTAATCTATTTGAGAGAAAATAAGATATGTTACAAAGGTTTAAATCCTGAAAATATATTGATACATCAAGAATAAGTGAGGATTTGCGATTTCGGAATTGATAACTTAATTTAGCATCAAAAACCCAGTTACAGACCTCCAGAACTGTTATTTCATAATAAATTTTCATACAAATCGATGATGTATTAATTTGGTCTTGTATTATACGAATTGACTACACAGAGACAATTATTTAAGTTTGAAGTTATCGAGCAAATCAAAGCAGTTATCTTTAATGGAGGAGCGTAATTGAAATTATCATTTAAGAATTGTAAAGATTCCATAGATATATTCCAAGTAGCTTCGATTCATAATCGCAACTTGTCTTGATCTCCAAGAAACAGATAGATTAGACATTCGTCAATTAGTACACAATGAAAACTTTAAAATCTTATTGAAACAAAAGCATTTCACCTTTACCTATGAACAATAAGACACCTTTGAGTTTTGGAGTAATAATAAATAGCAGAAGTAAAAAAGGAAGAGTGTTTGTACTGATAATTTTGACTTTGATTCCAAAGACTAAACACAAAAAGATTAACAGATTATATAAGAAGATAAACCAAACATCAATAAAACAATTAACCTAGGACCTAAAACTAACAGTAAGCAGCCTATTCCTAAATTGAATTTAAAAAAACCAAACGATGACACATTAACCTTAAGACCAATTTCATAATAAACTAAAGGAACCTAATCTTATACTATTATTAAAAGTAACACTTTTTCTAGATAAAATTTTATTTCTTCAACTCATCGAAAATTAGTTTCCCCAATTCCTAAACCTCAATGGATTGACTTCATGTAGAAACCTCAATATTTAGATGCTCCAATCAAACCATAAACAATTATAAATAATTTAATCAAACTAAAAATGGAATAATGTGTTGAAACTATTGGAATTGAAGAGACAAGACAAACTCTAAATAGATTAAGATAAGGTGGCTCAGTAAATGAATTTCTTTCTAAATATCAAGACTCTAAACATCTTTGCGTAGCCAGACACATGTAAGATATTATTTCATTTACATAATTATGATATTTAAGAAGACATATTATTAATTATTATTTTCAATTTACATTTCCTACTTAATTTTATATTCTACTTGAAATTCAATCACTAGTCTGTCTTCTAAAAAATTGGTTAAGGCCTATTATTTTCCATGTCATTTGATATTTTATGTTTTTATTTAGAATTTTTTATTATCAATAAAGCTAAAATAATAATCATTTATTTTTATACTCTATTAAATTTGGCATTAATTCTGTAATTTAGGGGGCTTATTTTAAAATAAATTAATCTATTATTAGTAATAATAATTTATCCTAATATTAAAATTGATCACTTCCATTTTATATTTAAGTTAATTATTAAACAAATAATGATCATCTATATGTTTTCTCATTTCATTTCACAAATATATATAAACTTTTTACTCATTAAACTAAACAAAAAATTTAATAATCAATGTTTAAAGAAATTTAATCAGCTAGATTTGTAATATCATAAAGAAATAATATATTTTATACAATCAATATATCATCAAGCCAATTCTTGCTTTTATTAGATATTTTCAGATTCTTTTTAATCTATTTTAAACTACTTTTCATCAGGGGATAGAGTTTTAGCAGATTTTAATATTTTATTCTCATCATCTTATTTATTTGTGAATTGTTTTAAGTAGTTTTTTAGTATTTTCTTACGAAATTAGTTTTAGCATTTGGTTTAACTCTAGTATATTTTATTTTGCTGTAATTTACTTTATTCCCTATATTATTCTAATATTTTCAAAAAGTGATTTTAGCAATATGATTTTTAGGACAGTTCTGTTTAATCTGATTTCCTACTTATGCTGTCTTCTTCTATACTTTATTTTTTAAGTAATTTAGATTATTTTTTATTTTATTTGGAACCCACTTATAGGAGTTTACTAATTTTTTAAGATTCATCCTTAGGTACTTAATCAATATTTTATAGCTAATCTGTTTAAGTAATTGAATCTATTTTTTCTTAATTAATCGTTAATTTTCTTTTTTTTACTAATTGATCAATCTATTTCACTTCATTTGTAACTACTCGCGATTCATTGCAAATAATAAAAGTCTCAACAATGTTATTTTAAACTTTGTTTGTTTACTATTTCATATTCTTGAGAGCTTTAATGATATTTTTTGGGATAGCCATTAATTTTTGTAAAATTTCCATTTAATAATTCTAAATAGATATTAATAACTAATTAATCAAACATCATTTGCTTATTTGATGTAGTTAGCATTAAATATTGCAATTTTAAAAGAAAGGTCAAACAAGTGACTCTGATAGATTTAGTATTAATTAATCTCCTTTTACATCTTAAATCTAATAAATAAAAGTGAAATATTGCCATTTTTTAAATAGAGAGGCTAGATATTCTTATTTGAATGAAAATTATAATCTTAAACTATATTAATAATCACAAGGGAAGGATCCTGTTTATCAATTTTTCTTTAAATCTTTTTCCATATCTGTTAGGCTCTTAAGCTGAAGTATCTAATTGTAAATTCATTCTGATGATCTTTTTTGTTTTTCTTTCAAGAGATTTATTAACATTCCATTATTATAGGTAATCTATTATCCCAATATGATAGTATATCTAATAAATATTATTTATATTTACTCCTTATTCCTTAATTGAAGGAATGATATTGATTTATTAGTCACTTAATTGCTACATTAATAATTATTATTGAGACTTCCAATCAATTTTCATTACTAACAAAGAATAATCAATAAGATTTTAATTTTCTAAGAAATTTGAATCCTTAATTAAATTTTGGTTTAATTCTAGCTTTAATTCAATTAAATTACTTTCTATCATGGTTTTTTCAACCCAAATTTGCTATTCAATTTTAAAGAAATCTAAATCTTTGAGAGTTAATTTTGACAAATCACTTTCAGGTTTTTTGGCAAGAACTTCTCTATCATATTCAGACCCTTTTAGATCATAAGTTCTTAATATTTAATTCCTTGGGATGCCTAAAGAAAGGTTCTTCATTATTAAAAAGTGAACCTTTGCTTCAGCATTTTCAGACCTTTCAAAAGTATACATCCCATAAATCTTATTTAATAAAGATGATGGATTGTTAGCTTAATAAGTAGCAAAATTAAGTAATCGTTTCTTGTAAGTGTTTACTTCAGATTATCTCATCGTTTTAAGAATAAATTGATTATTGTGAGTGAAAAAAAAAAATTCACCACTTTTTCCACCATCAGGTCCAGTGAATTATTCAACCTTTGATAGATTTTTAGAAACATCAAAGGAATCTTCGATATCAACATTGTCTAGTGTAACAAAATAGTTAAAAATCTTAGGAGCATATAATATACATCTCATTTGAAAGACCTAGATATTTTGATTATCGTAAAGTTAAGATTTGGCAAGATCATTATTTAAATTAACAACCAAACACTCTTCCACTTCTTCAGAAACAAATGGTTATAAAGTAACCTCAAACAATTCACTTAAATCTCCTTGACTAGATTCTTCTCCATCTTCTTATTCATCATTTATAGCTAGATCTTTGTAAAATATTATTTGTTCTTATTTCTACCTTTTTAATAATTGAATACCAGCCAACATTGAAATTACTTATGTTTTTTTCATTTCTTTTTACAATTATTCTAAAATATTAAATTCTAAAATCTATTGAAAATAATATTACATTGCATTGAAATTTCGACTGGTTTTTTATCATTAGAGGTATCAAAATCTTATTGACTATTCGAAGTTTGTGTATGTTTAAATTTAGGTATTAGTAAGGGATCTCTTGTGATAATGATGACTTAGCCTAATATGCAAAGAGATTGGGTCACATTTTAAAAGGTTTCTGTAAGTAATAGATAAGCTTTATAAAAGTAATAGCAATTGAGTAAATTAACTGCACTGAAAATTCCTAGAAAAAATTTCATTATTAAACTAAATGTGATGAACTTTTAATAGTATCTCAGGTATTAGCCTCTTAATTATCTTATCGAAGACATTTTAGGAACTAATTTTTTGAAAGCAAAGACATAGATTAATGACATCGTTGCAAATAAGAGAAAAACAAACAAATAAACTAGAGCAATTATAAAATCCCAAATTTTCTTTTTTGTAGCTGAAATCGCACACATTCTAAGATATATCAAGTTATATTAATACCCATTTAGTGTTATTGAGATTATATCATTATTTAAAATAAACCCTAAAAATACTATTATTATTATTATGGCTGTGAAAGAATAGTTAAAAATTCTTATACATTTGACTGTGGACTCCAATGAATTATATACTAAAGCAAGTGGATAAGCAGCGAAGATAAAGATGTTCAGATTTGAAATTACAAAAACTATTGAGGTTGCTATCCCTGTGATCTAATTTATTTTTATATTTACATCACAAAAAATATTTACTGGAGCTGAATCATTAATTTACACATACAATGCTGTTGAAAATTAAATGATTGATTGGACTCCATTAGTTGCTGTAATCACAAAGATAATATCTCCAGGTCCACCAAATAGTCTAAAGTCTTAAAGGAACTCATAAATAATTCGGATGGAAATGCAAAAGGTAACGGGGGCTTTGATTGCTCATTCAACTTATACATAGTAATAAAAAAATCCAACAATCGATTGGGAACAATTTAAGTTTTTAATAATTGATTTTTTCCTACACTTCATCAGTGATCTCATCTTTACAATCATATATTTAACTCTCATCGTACATCTTTGCTTATATTTAGATATTTATCAAGAAGAGAATTATAAGGTAGAATCCATTCTTCATCAAAATATAAATTTTATATTATAATATTATATTATAATTGCAGTCGATAATAACAAATGCTATATGTTCGAAAGGCGAAATACTAATGAAATTCAGAATTTCATTAGTATTTATTATGATCACATTTAGATGATAAATTCTATAATTTATTATCAAAAGGAGAAATTACAACATTTTAGCTTAATTATGAATGAATTAAGCATTCTTAATGTTATAGATTACCATTTAGGGAATTTTATAATTGAAAGGTAAATGTTCAGGGGTTTGGTTAAATAAATATTGTATTTTATAGATTATTTTCATAAAATTTTTATTATGCATTTAATTAAATTTAATTGGTTTAAGTAAATAAATAATAGCAAATATTCGATTAGACATATTTTTATAGCATTTTCACCCTCATCCAGAAGGATCATCCTATAGATAAATAATCAGAAGTTATTTAATTAGTATTTTAGTTACATTTCCATAATTGTAAATCTCTCCAATTTAAAGACAAAATGAATTTGGTAAAATATGTCAAAATATATAATCATTCAATATATTATTCCAAGGTGATTATTACGATCTCTTTTATTATCACTACTAATTTTAGAATAAAACTAAAAATGATCACAAAAATGAGGAAACATCTCAAAAAATTATTTGATATAACTTTAATTAATCAATATATTTTCAGTTATATTTAATATAATAACGATTTGGATTAATAACATATCAATAATATTCTACATAGATTCATATCTATTATCATTCTAAAAATAAAATTTAATAGCAACACGATGCTTATAATTTATATTATGACTGCTTGCTAAAAGATGTGGCTTAAAGATTTGTAATTAAATATATAAATAAATAAATATATAAAAGAATAAAATGTTTCAATGACTATAATTTTACTATATTTATATTAATCTTACGTTAATATATATAATGGTTATTTTCAGCATAATTCATATAATCCTATGTCTTTTTGTGAGTCACTTAATAAATAAAATGAACTTCTATTTTTGAAAAATGTTTAAAGAACATTTTTGCCACTCCTAGCAGGACTTTCAAGCAATTCACCAAACATATCAATGGGAATGATTTTGCTCTCTTATATCATAATGGCTTTTATCTATTTCAAACTTTCAGCAAAAGCTACTAAGATAAAAAGCTTGTGTTATTTAACAATAATCATCTCCTGTACCTTAGAATTGAACAACTTAAGAATAGGAATCAATAGCTTACCTAATATTCACCTATCATGATGTTTTTAAGAACATTAAATAATTTGACTGAGCCATCAGTGCATCCATAGCAGATGACTATGTCATTCAGATATTCTGTTGCAATGCATGTGCTGATATTTGAGATAGGTAGTGCTGATTATATACATTCTAATTCACAATTGACTAATAACATTGCCCCTTACAAATTATTGTTCATTTTTAAACTATAAATAGAAACTATATTCCCTTGAGAAATGGTAGCAAATTTTTCATATTTACTTACATAAAGGAATTCGATGAGCTAAGTTTTAAAATCGAAAGAATAAGCAATTCGATTATCATGATAATTGATAACTTATAGATTAGTATCACTTTAACAAAGAAGGTGAGATGAATCAGCAATATCCATAATTCTATTCAATTTAGATTTGAATCCTATGAGTTTTCTCTCTGGATAAGGCACATAATTTTCTCCTAATGTCCATATAATAGCATAATTTTCATCACTTAAAGATGCCAATCTTGTACCCCTATTTTATTTCAAAATCAAAAGTTGACAAACAGGTTTGGTGTGTTGTATGTAAGTATTTGGATAGAAGCTAACTTTGCTAGTACTCATGTCTAACAGTTTAACTGTTCCATCAGCTAAACCTAAGGCTACCGATGCATTGCTGACTAGAGCCAAAGAAGTAACTTAAAATTCAATACTTAATTTCTTTTTAATTCTGAATCTTTAATTTGAATGTCCCTACATAGATAGATAAGATGAATAATACTTTTGATTGATTGGCATCCTCAATGATTCTATTATCCAATATTTAAACATTAATATTTGGAATAACGGTTGGTTATAACTAACTTTGAAGGGAGATCTTAGTATCGACTGCAGAAATAACTGTTTTGTTATCATCCAACATTGTCACTTTGTCAGCATTTGATACATCCATGGATTTACTTTTGATTGGAGGAGAGGATATTGCTTGAATAGTAGTAAGTATATTTGGTTATTGTTAAATTTCAATTGGAATTTGAATAGGGATGCTAACATTTTTGATGTAGTAATCTTTTATTGAATTCATAGCATCAGTCAATAATTTAGTGAAATTCTCATTATTATATTGCAATTCTTAAGCCTTCTTGACTTTATCCAGTACTTATTTTAGTTATTCTGGTTTCTTTGTGATGGACATCTACTTTATTGACACCTTAACTTACGATCCTAAATCAGGTTTAGTATGTAATTTTTGCTATTATAAAGATAATGCTTACTTTTAAGTTGTTTTCGTTTGCATAGTATTTACACTTAGTCAGAAGGAAGTGTATTGGTTCTAGCTGTTCTTTAAGTATAAAGAAATTGTTTTTGTATATTTAGAGATATTGATCTAGCTTACCAAATAGTTCTGTTTTATGCAATCCAAATAGCAATGTGATGGAGTCTAAGGCTTAGTTGATGTCAGATTCAATTTATTGTTTTTAAGATCTCACATATCCTTCCATATTATTCAAATGTTCATCTGATAACAAAATTTGTTAGACTATTTGAGATTCTTTGTTAAACAGATCAACATATTTGTTAGCATCATGAAGTTAGTCTTCAATTTATTTACTTACCAATGTTACGTATTGCTGGTAGGGTATTAGACATTGATTGTGTTTAGTATGTTAAGAAATAGTTTTTTAATCTGCCATGCACATTTTACACATAAATGGGAACACAGAGCAATCTAAATCGATACAGGCTTGGATAACTTGTTATTTGTGCTAGGGACAGATTAAATTAACATTCATATTAAAAATATATATATTAATACACTCATCAATCTCTTTGCTCTTTTTATCCTTTTACATATCCAGTCGGATAGAATAACTTTTCCAACCTTTCCTATTGGATAAGTGGATCATTATCCTCATAACCTATGTTTAATATAGTATTTAAATATTTACCATATAATCTGTAAGTGTTAACTTCTCCATGAGCATCACCTGTGATTATAATTGGACTATTTTGAGCAAATCGGACCATAGTCTTAGCTGGCCAAATTTATTAATCCTAAGGCATTAATGTAGCAAAGGGATCCAACATATTATTTTTGGTTAAATCCCATAATTCTAATCTTCCATCTTTACAAACTGAAGCGAATAAAGTGGAAGTATGAGGTGACCATTCAAAATCTAAAACTTCATCTTGTAAGTTTTATTACTAAAATACATATGTTTTAATACTTAGAAATTCGCCTTTGGTAATTCTTCTCTCCAATTCCATAATTTACATGACCAATCAGCACTACATGTTAAAAAGATGTCGCTGAAAAATGGGTTACATCTAACCTTGTAAACAGGGCCAGAATGACCAAAATAGTTATCCAAATATTGTTCAGTATATGACTTTGAACATCTATGTATAGTACCATCTTCAGTAGCTGCTAAATACATAGAAGATTCTCTAATATATTTTATAAACAATATACCCTTATAGAAAGTCAAATGAAAATCCTGCTGATAATCTAAAATTGACTCCTTCTTATAAATTCTCTTTTTAGGATGATTACACAACTCTTTTCAGATTCATTAAATTCGTATACTCTAATCCTTTTTTCATCGACCATTCGGCAATTCTACTATCACTGCTTATACTAACTAATGATTCCACCTTATCAGTTCCTTTTGCTCCTTTGCCTATCCATTGCACTTCCCAAACTGAATCGCTATGTTTTCCTGGCAATTCTTTATTTTCAGTAATTGGTTTATCTGATTTTCTTCTGATATCCCAAACAGCAACAATTCCATCTATTGTACCTGCAGCAATTAGATTAGGTTGACTATTTGAAAATTTGCAGCAATTAATCTTTGAAGGATATGTAATTATTCTTTCAGGATAAGTAGGATTTTTGAGAGTCCAAAACATAATGTGACCCTCAGATGTTTATTTATTTGAATAGGAAACTGCCAACAAATCTTTATTAACAGAATTCCAATCTGCTTGTGTGACTTTGCATTAATCACTTAAAGCACACTTATATTAGAACAATTACACAATAGGTTCGTTTTTTTTCTTTTCAACTACTTCTTCATCCTCTTATTTATTTTGAAATGCCCTTTTGAAAGCTCCTCCTCTCTATTTTAGATCCTCATCTAAAGTCATCTTTTCAAATTTGACTTCAGGGTAATTTCTATATTGAATATATTGTTTATGAAATAGATTCTGATTTAAAATTCTCTCAACATATTTCAAATTTGTCTAAACCAAATTGCTTTGAAAAATCACTTGTTCTGAATCAGACATTTAAGTATTGTTCCTTTTAACCAATTCTTTCATATAATCTTCTTCTTTTAGATCCTATTCATCTTATTTCATTTCATATTATTTTTATTATTATTCTGGCATTGGATTACTGGTCTTGCCATGACTCCGTGTCACTTATTATTAAATATTCACTTATTAAGATTACAAGTTCTTTGTGCCTGTATGACTTGAACTTGAATCTTACATTTTATCATCTAATTATTAGTTAGTATAACCTCCAGATAAACTATTAAGTGGTTAATTCTACTTATTGCTGTTAATGCCTGTTTTTGTTTTATTCGTTTACTTTTCAGAATAATCCTTTCCCAATACAGGTCTTTCAGTATGAATCTTAATAGCCTCCAATTCAGTTGGCAATAAGAAATATGGATTCTTGAGATGTTATTTATACTCTTTTTCAATGGAACCTTTAATATCTTCTTACAATAGTTCAAATTCATTCAATTAATCAGTAACTGAGGCATCATAAAGATCCCAAATAGCAGCAAATGCACCATATTCATTTTTCTCTATCTTATTTGATTATTATATCTTATGTTTTTAATTATAATTGAAAGTCTAGGCATGTCTTTTAGTATAATTATCACTTCCAATCTTTTCAACCATGTATTTCTCATAATCTTGAGTTTTTTAAATCACACCAGTCTTTTTCCCTTGTTCACTGTTGATAAAAGAAGATGGGATAAATAGCAATTACATTGTACAAGTTTCAGATAAATTAATGGGAATATTTTCATCTAAATCCTCTTCTTTTAATCCCTTTTTTTACTTCGTCTTCTTCTCCTATAACTCAGATTGATCTCTCCTTGAATCTGAATCAGAATATGTACCCTCAGATTATTTAGACTCCATGAAACTGCTACGTTCAGGATTATTCGATGATGAAATCTTCACATCTGAATTAGATGATTTATCCTAATTATAAAATTATTATCATACAGCACTTTAATAAAATGATTTCACATTGCTCTCAGCAACACTCTAACTAACCTTTGTTTCATTCTACTTCTGCAATACTTTCAATCGCTACTCCTCTTCTCGATTTTATTACTCTGCAAGTTATAAAAATTTCTTTGTCACAAGCCTTTCATTAAACTGAATTCTTACTCTTTTGGAGTGACTATTGTATCTTTATACTTCACAATAATGTTATCTGAGGCTGACTATTGAGTATCCATGTTGGTCTTTGGTGGTCCCAATTGAGTTTTGCCGCCTCCTAAATTATTGGGCCTACCTAAACAGATAATCAAAACCTCTTCTACATTGTAACATTGCTGCGGATGTTCGACTTAGTAACACCTGCCTTCAGTCCTTCAGACCCAATAGATTACATTTTATTTAATGAATTTAATATAAATATAGAAATATTATTTGTCTTGTTAACTCAAAACTATTGCAATCCCTGGATGTACTAATAACTAAAAATAAGTTCAATTCTAAATAACTTACTTAATAAAACTCAAATTTTCAGTCCTTATATATAATTGGATATATAAAATTGTTTGATCTTTTCAAATAATTCAATTCTTATATTAGTATTACTGAATTCTTTAGAGACTAATGTTTAATTAATAAATGTTTATTCATTCCATTATTTGAGCAAGAGTTGAATACCTATCTGATTAATTTAATCAATTATAAATGGTTATTATTCTTTAAGTAGAACAAAGAATAAATTGTTAATTTAATTTTAACATCTTTATATCATAAAATGATTAATCATAAATGTTAATGTTTTGTAATTGGCACAAACTTGAAGCTCTTCAAACATTGAATTGTGAATTGTCCATCAATAATAACATTATCATTACCCCATTCAAAATTAATCCATTTCAATTTGTCTAAAATTAGATTTTTAAATTCTTTTGGTAAGGGAACCTAACTAATTAGATCAATTGATTTACTCCATATTTTTATAACATCTCAATATCCGACTATTATGGTATGATGATTTCAGAGATCATAAAGACTTGAGAGTCTAAAAACACTTCTTCAGCTATTTTATTTGGATCCATTGAGATCTCAAATCTTACAATTATATTTGATTATATACTTTTTGTTACTTGTTTCAATATATAGACAATTAGTTTTTAGTCTATACGATGTTCGACTAGGAATACCTTAGGCAGTTTGTCTGTCCAAAAATGTTAGTAGATTGTATTTTTAACTAGGTTCATTACACATGTCCCAAACTATCCAACCTTCATTTAGTGGAGGTAAGTTATTAACTAATAGATTTTCTGGAAGACTGTTTTAGGGAGGTTCATGTAAGAATACATTCAAATGGGTTTTTTTGGTTAATCTCCTATGAGGAGGCAAAGACATCTTTCTTGCCCAACTTATCAATTATTCAGGAGATCCCAATTGAGGCAACCAATTCACTTTCTCAGGTTTTAGACAATGAGCACAAGGAGTCTTGAGAGATCTTGAAAGTAAAGGCACTTTTAATTAACCATTTAATGTCTTTTTGCCTTTAATAACTTTACAAGACAAACTAATTCCTTAATAAAAGGTTCCTGTTAGTTTAAGATCTCCCAAGGCTAAGAGACCTGCATGTATGCCAATACAGACTGCATCACTATGACTAGCATAGACACCATTGGATCCCCAAATTTATCGAAGAATCAAAGCTTGATTGTTTTTGTTGACATACTCGCAGGCAATTCTAATTTCAATAGTCTAGTTGATGAAATTGGATAGATTAGGTAATTCTGTGCCAGGCTTGTATAGAAATGTAGTTGCCGCCGGAGTGTAGACAGAATTTGGTTTTTTGAGTTTATTTTCTCTTTTGTTGAATCTACCAGGACCTAATAGTGGTTGCTGTTTATTTTTGAGTCTTGTGCCTAAAATGAATTGAATTAAAATACCCTCATATTGGGATACATCTTCATCATCACTGTCATATTCATCAGAGTTATTCTTCTTTCTTTTGTCTCTCTAAGGTCTTTTTGTATTACGCTTTTGGGAAGAACTTCTTGAAGATTGGCTGCTACGAGATTAGTTTGACATTTTAATTGTTTAATATTTTATTTGTTTTATCACTCTTTATTGAAATTCAATAATTTAGCCAAATCAGTGCAGAATTGTTTCTAATCGTATTTTTGTATTTTTGAATTGTTCATCACTAAACTTTCCACTAATTTCTCTTGTCTTTTCTATTTAAGATCTTCTTCCAATAACAAAGAGACAACCACTCCTTCATCCTTTGCTCTTCCTGTTCTTCCAGAACGTTGATAATAGCTAGATACTTAAATGATATAAGATTACCTCTCTTCTTTAAATTCTCCTGCTGGTGTAATTGGTAATCCATAATGAATAATGACTCTCACTTTTCTAAAATCCATTCCTCTTTATAAAACATCTGTACAGAGTAAGATCTTCTTTTTTCCATCCTTAAATTCTTTCCTCACTATTTCTCTATCTACTTAATTGGTGTCTCCAGTGCATTCTCCAATCCAATTATTTTTAACTATGTATTCCAATTTCTAAGACTTTTTAAACAAATTTATCAATTCATTAACAATGGTTTTTTTGTTAAAGAATATCATAACCTAAGCCTCTGTAAATTTATCAAAAACATCCTTTAATAAATCTACTAAGATCTATTCAGGTTATTCTTGAGCCTCTTTATACATATGAACAATTGTATAAGGAGAAATCTGTTATTGAATTGATGGGATAACTTTTAAGTTACAAACAACTTCTTAGATATCATCCTCATCTTTGTGCAAGAATCTAGAATCAACTTTCTTGCTTGCATCAATATTATTTTGAACACATTCCTTAATGAGATTTTAAATTTCTTCAGGTTTCAAACTAGCACTCACAAAAACAATTTAATAACTTTGATTATTGGTTTATCCAAGAATGAATTAGATCAATTGCATGGTCTCAACTCTAGCTTAATTTTATTCATTCTTCTCCAATAATTGATCAGCCTCATCAATTATCAAATATCGAAGATTTGACACATTTATTATACGGTTTTTCAATCCCACTAACATTTTGCTAGGATGACATAGATACACCTAGCAATCAGCGTCTTCAATTCTATTCTCTTTTACTTATTGAAATTACTACATTAATAATGAAATATAATACATTGTCTTTTGTAAATGCAAAGAAAGTTTAAAATTTTAAATTTTCATTTTTCAATCTCTCTGGTAAATGCTTTCTGAAATACTCCTCATGTTATTTTAAGTATATAGTCTATCCCAAAACTATTGTGTATGGGTATAACATTCTAACTTCCTTCATTGTATTGTCTTTCTACTTGATTTATTTCTGTTCACTAATTTTTTGATTTTTTTCCTTGAATTCCTAATAAATGAGAGATTGGAAGCACAGAGTCTTTCCACTGCCTGTTTGACTTCTTAGAGCAATCACAGGAGATTGTTAATTGACATTCTGTCCTAGACAGTAATTTATGAATTCATATTGGTGAGAATAAACCTTTGGACCTACTTCTTTGAATTTATTAATGATGTCTTCAGCTAATACACCTTTTAAATCATCCCAATCTCTATCTTATTCAGGGTTTTGATCCATAAATTAATTAATACAAATAATAATCGCAAAAACACAATTAATTATCTAAATGTTTTATGAAGATTATGGAAAAGATGTTTATATCTTTAAGGAGCAAACCCTCGAAGAAGTCTGCAATAATATTGAGTTTACAACACTATAGGAATTCAAACTGTTGACAAGCTTTGAGAAGATCTACTAATAGAAGGCTCTGTATCAATACATCAAATCTTTGAAAAATGATTACTTGAAGAATAACTGCATCAAAGAATTGGCTAACTCCCTCATTGAAAATTGTGATGAACAACTACTTATTCAAGTCTATGATGACATTCTTGATACTCCTCTCAATGATTTACCTTTATAATTATTAAGTAAAAGCTCTTATGTTGCACCACCTGATATACCTGAAGCATTCCTATAGGAGTTTCCTCATCAAGTAAATAACAAGTATGCATGGATTGACAAAGGAGATCAGATGCAATATGGATTGGAAAAGCCATGCATTTTAATTTATACGAACGTCATATTAGGAATGTAGAAGACATTCAATAAAACTGATCTCAAGTGTTAGGCTGATCTAGTGTATTATAATAATCAATTATATCATAATCAAACAGTCTATTTTGAATAGAAGGGAATTCGAATAATGGGACAATAATTTAGCAAACTTGAAAAAATCTACGTATTTTAAAAAAGCACTAATATTGACAACACAAAAACCAAATTATGCAAGAAATTATCAAAAAAAGGATTGATTCACTCCCTATTGATATAATTAGCTTAGGAGAAATTTGATAATAAGTCAACTGTCAATATGTTATTGTACGAGTGTTTGTTATTTGAGAGTTAAGATTGGTGTTAAAGAATTATAAGTTAGGATTGGCTCACTAATGTGATTAGCTTGAGTCTAGAAGACCCTAAGGACACATCGATATTCCATTAAGTGGTTTATGAGAATCTATTGCAAGTGAACCTTAATAATTACACTGAATAATAAACTGATTAGTTGCTATTGAGATTGCATCAATACTATGAAGCTAATTCATTAGATTTGAAATAAAAGAAAGTGGAAAAGTAGCCACCAAAGAAAGTTGAAGAACCAGTTAAAGCAGCTCCATAAGCAAGTTCGAATAATAAACAGAAGGGGTCTAAACCTAAGGGTATTGGTTATGGAGATATCAATTATTCCTCAACCTATCAAACTTAATAGAAAAAGAAAGAAGTCCAGATTTTGGATTCTGATTTGATTTATTAATAAGCTGAAGGGTATAGATGGAAGATATTGACTGAAATTTTTAAGAAATTAAGAAACCTAAATCTAGATTACATTCTTATGGTAGAAGATTCATGTCTCATACCAGTTATCAAGAGTATATTATCATCCTTAAGCAAGAGTCAAACAATAACAGAGAAATTTGAAGTCATTCAGATAGTCTTTGAATTATTAAAAAAGTTTTTAACTGAAGAAACCATGCATCTCTTCACTTGTAAAGATTATGGGGATGTCTCATTGTTTGAAGTTATACAAAAAGTTAATAATGAGTCAGCATTTATTCAAAGCAAAGAGGATCCAGAATTGAATTAGAAAATAATTAAGGGTATTTCAAATCAAGATACACAATTAAGTGAAGTTTTGAAGGACCTTCAAGAGTTCTTCAATCAATTAGTTATTGTTTTAGAAAAGAACAAATATATTGATGTAAAATTCGAAGAGACTGAATCTTAGTAAATATAGGATCCTGCTTATCTCTATCCTATGATAATGAAGCCCTTAGTGCTGAAAACAAGTGAAGTAATCAAACAACCAGGATGGAAAAAGCAATTGGAAGAGGCTTATTCTCATTTGTCTTCATCCCCTCCAAATAAGAAGATGAATAGAATCATAAAGGAGTTGTCAGATATTGGTGAGAACTTGCCACTTTAATTGACAAATTCCATATTCTTAAGATACGATAAAGACAGAATGGATGCTATGCAAGCTATGATATTTGGTTCAAGTGGAACCCCGTATGCTCATGGAGCCTTTTTATACAATTTTTTATTTTGTGATGATTATCCTTCCAGGCCTCCTAAATGTTTATTAGAAACAACTGGACATGGAAAGGTTAGATTCAATCCCAATCTTTATAATTGTGGAAAGGTATGTCTAAGTTTATTAGGTACTTGGGGAGATAATTGGAAAGCAAATGAGTCAACGTTGTGGCAGATCTTGGTTTCCATTCAAGCAATGGTTATGTCTGAATATGTATATTTCAATGAGCCAGGTTGGGAAAGCAGTATGGGAACAGTAGATGGTGAGAAGAATAACAGAGGTTATTGCAATATTGTTAAATTGGCTAACATTAGATATGCAATGATAGAATAATTGTAGAAACCACCAGCAGGTTTTGAAGAGGTTATTTAAAAGAGTTTTTATTTGAGAAAAGATGTTATCATTAAAGAAGTATAATAATGGATAGATGAAGCTGATTTGCCAGTCAGTTATCATTGTACTTAGAATCATAATATCTCTGCTCCATTCTAATAATAGCCATAGAAATTCAAGAGCATTTTAACAGCAGAATTTGAAGCATTAAAAAAAGAACTTGAGAAATTGAAAGTTTGCATAACTCATTAATCAGATAAAAAGATATTATCGATAATTCAAAGACAATCATATACTCAGATACAATAGGAGAAAAAGAAATAACATTATAGGAAGAAGGAAGAAATAAGCGAATTTTTATAAAGTCAATTACCAGAGATAGATGTAAGTGAGAGTAATGTTAGCAACAGATAATTTGATATTTAAAATGCAGAAGTTCAAAATTTGATGTCCAGATATATAGGTGTCATGGGTCTAGATTCTGTAAGTAAATAATCATAAGCGAGTGTAATCATTTATGGATTGGGAGCATTAGGTATTGAAACAGCCAAGAATCTTGTGTTATCAGGTCTGAAAAGACTGACCATAGTAGAAGACAAGAAACTCAATAATTTAGGATAATTTTTTGTATAAAATGAAGAGTCAAGCAGATTAGAACAGAGTTTACTACATTTATAAGGGTTAAATCCTTATGTTTAGATTGACTATTCTACTGATATAATATCTTCTATTAAGAGTTTGAATTATTAAGTGGTATGTTTGTGCGAAGTGGATTCACTTGAAATTGTCAATACAATATCAGCAATCTGTAGAGAATACAAAATTGGTATGATTGTATCATAGTTGGTCTCTGTTTATGGAAGGATTATGATTGATTTGGGAGATCAATTTACAGTGAATGATGCAGATGGAGAATAAGTTTAGGAATTCATTATTGAAAATATTGATTAAGATCAAGGTATTATAGAGATTAAAGGGAAGCACAATTTGAGTCCAAATGATGTCATTGAACTCAAAGAAATCATATAAGAGGATGGCAAATCACTCAATAATTAATAATTAACTGTTGTAAAAGTAATCAATAAATCAACCATTAATGTGGGAGATTTGAGTTAGTTTGGTAAGTATTTGAGAAATGGAAGAGGATAGACAATTAAATAAAAGATTGTTCTTTAAAATAAACAGATGAGTGCAATTATGACTGATCCCATATTTGATCCAAACTTTATTTTGGATGAATAGAAGTACACAGTAATTAATGAGCAAATGAATCGATTTTCTAATTAAAGTGGAGAAATCAATGAATTGTTCTAAAAGACTGGCAATCAAATATTCCCTCCATAGGCTGCTTACTTAGGTGGAATAGTATGTTAAGAAATCATCAAAGCAATTACTCATAAGTATATGCCAATAAGATAATGCTATTTCCATACATGCGAAGAATTGTTAGATGGTAATCTAATATTGGGAAAGGAATTATAATAGGCAATCGAAAAGTGCAAATTACTTTTGATTGGAGCTGGTGCAATAGGATGCGAATTGCTTAAGAATTATGCAATGATAGGATTAGGTATTAATGGGAATATCATTGTCACTGATCCTGATGTGATAGAGAAATCTAATCTTAGTAGATAGTTTCTATTTAGAGAAAAGCATCTTAGACAACCAAAATCATATACTGCTGCCAGAGCATGTCTGAAGATGAATCCTTAAATGAAGATTGTTGCTAGACTCGATAAAATCTCTCCATAAACCGAGCGTTTATATACTAATGTATTTTAATATGTGGATGTGATAACCAATGCACTTGACAATGTGTAAGCAAGATTATACGTTGATTCACAATGCATTGAACATATGAAACCCCTACTTGAGAGTGGAACTTTGGGACCAAAGGGACATGTCCAAGTCATATTACCCAAACTAACTGAAAGTTATGGTAGTAAACAGGATCCAGAAGAAAATAATGAAATACCTTATTGCACTCTCAAAATGTTTCCTGAAGATAGTAATCACTGTTTAGAATGGGCAAGAGATAAATTTGAAAAACTATTCACTACTAAACTATAATAAATTAGACAAACCTTTTTATTCAAGGATTTCACCATTGAAGGATTAGAGACTACTCTTAAATTCTGTAAGAATATGCCTAAAAAGTTTGAGGATTGCATTTAATATGCTCTTAATAAATTCTATAAGTACTTTGTCTATGGAATCATGGACCTCTTGAAAGCATATCCATTGGATCATATTGTTAATGGAAAATTGTTCTGGTCATCTCCCAAAAGACCTCCATAGATATTTGAATTTAAAGGAGAAGAAATGTAAATCAAATTTATTCAATCTGTCTCTTACTTATATGCTGCAGCTTTGGGCATTGAAATTCCTTAACAATTTGATTTCGAACAAACGCTCAAGAATATCAAACCTAAAGAATACAAAGAAAACAAAGAAAAGTTATAGTAGATACAAGATTAAGTATAAAAGGATGCATAAGCCAAGGCTCAAGAAGAAGGTAATCAGGACACTTAGTAGTAAAGTCAATAGGAATTAATCAATTAAATAGTGGAATATTTTAAGGACTATTACGAAGTGACTGAATCAACTCCTAAATTACTAAAGCCTTTAGACTTTTTACCATAGCCTATACAATTTGAGAAGGATGAAGATGACAACCATCATGTTGAATTTATATAAGCTGCCTTGAATTGCAGAGCTTAAAATTATGGATTAGAACCTTTGGATTGGCTGACCACGAAGTTGAAGGCAGGAAGAGTAAATAATTTATATTATATTTTAGATTGTTCCTGCAATGGCTACAACAAGTGCTTGCATAGCAGGTTTATAAACTATCGAATTGGTGAAAGTAATCAAAAAGTTGATGATTGATGAGAACCTAAAATTAGAGACGTTTAAGAATATGTTCTTAAATTTAGCTATTCCATATGCACTTCAATCAGAACCTGGAGAATGTCAATATGAATAAATAAATGGAAAAAATTTCTCATTCTGGTCCAGGTGGGATGTAAACTTTAGTTCTCAGGTCAATAATTTGGAAAGGTTTATAAATTACGCTGAACAAGTGTTTGGTGAGAAAGTCACTTGCATCAAATAGAAAGCTAAGTTGCTCTATTCTCCAATTATGTTCAATAGTAAGGAAGAGGAATAAAACTTATTACAAACACCAATCTATTTACTTTTTGAAATTTAAGACTTTGAAGAATATGTAGAGTTAGATATAACATTTTAGAAAAGGATAAAATGCAGATTTTATTATTGAAATATAATAATAAAAATATATATTATGATATTAATCTTTTCCCTATTAAGAATGGCCTTCGGTGATATTCGAGTAGTCCAAGATCAAACAAGATAACCATATATTTTTAAATGGACCTCAACTAACTAAGCCTCAGGAGTTCTCTCATTATATTGCCCTCTGGGAATTAACAAATATCTTTATGAATAATCGAATGAAGACTATTACTACTTTTTGTAGGGTGGGTACTTCGGAGACAAATAGGAGTTGAATTATATCATTTATATGGAAATTCTATTTGAATAAAGGCTAGTTGTATTTCATGTGCAGGTCAATACAGAAGGGAAGTGGGTAGAGTGTACTTTCCAATTTCAACCTTTGGAAATTGAGGGCATCAGGATTAGCACTATTATCTATTACTAAGATTCAGGCTAGGTTATGGTTGAATAATTTTGGGGAAACACTAACAGAAAATCTTTTACCTTTCCAAATACCATCAAACCTAATTTTGTTGTAACATAAATCTCTGGAGGGATATATTCAGTAAGCAATTTTACTTAGTTAGGATATCAACCCGATGACTGGTACTAAAATCCTGTTAAAATAATTTCCAGGGAAAATGAATGCAGCAATAATATAAATGTCAGAATTGAAATATCTTTGGAGTGGTTACCCTTCCTTATAGGGTAGCAATGCAGTCTTATTACAGGAGCAAAGCACTGAATTTTAAGAAAGAGTATCTAATTCATTTTATTCAATCTCGACCCAAACTCAAAAGGATTATAGAGTCTCCTTTTGGGCCAAAGCATAAGCATTATATGATAGCAATTTCGATTAGATTATACATATATTAAGAGTCGTTGCAAATAGATTTACATAAGACTTTATGGCAACTGGATCTAATTCTTTTATTTTAGATTATGTTTACGATAAAGAATCACATAAATGGATATTTAGAATCTGTTTTTATTCATAAATTATTCCAATTCTTGTTCGTTCGATCCCAGATAATTCTTTAGTCTTAATTACTAAAGAGATTCTAATAGATAATTACTCATACATTAATACTTGGCATTTTATTTATATTGACTACTCAATTAATACTATTACTTTTTATTTTGAAAATCCTGAATTCAATTACAAAATTACTTAATAATATGAAAATGTGTACTAATACCAATTAATTTACTATCGATTATTTTTTGGAGGTACTTTCATAGAAACAAATTCATTAACAAGATCATTTGCTCTTATATCCTTTTAAGATCATACTAGATCTATTATAAAATGCCATATGTCATGTCAAACTTGTTTTGGTCCCTTTTCAAATAATTGTTTGAGTTGTCCACCTAATTCTAATCGAGTCTATGAGCCCAGAGAATCCACCTGTTCATGTTAGTTGTGGTATAAGGAATTCAACAATCACATTTGTAAATTATTTTCTAATGATTCCATTAAAATTAAATTAGAGGAAAACTTTCAAAAGGATGACTTTAGGAAGCATTGTAACTTTGGAGATTTTGAATACAATGAAAATTGCTATAAATGGTACTCACATATATTATGATAGTCCATCAGCTAGTCAGAATAACTAGATTATATGTTCTGCTTGCTTAATGAGACCAACTGATTGGATTTACAATAATCCAGCATGTTATGATATATACTATCAATATGAAAACAATCCAAATTATCAATATGTGTAGATGATGACAGATTAAAAACTAGCAAATCAATATTACATTTTTGAAAATTAGGAGCTTTAACCTTGTCAGGGATGTAAATTATGTTAAGATAAATTGGATGTTACTTGTCAATTATCTTCTTATTTACATTTAGATAAGGAAACTTACATACAATGTTTAGAAGGATATTACTTTAGCAATGGAAAATGCCTTAAAAATAAGTAGAACTTAGATATCATTAATACGTCATGTAAAAATAACTGCTTGAAATGCAGTAATAGATAATGCTATTTATGTTCAAATAATAATAATTTTTTCTTAAATTATATGGGATAATGTTAATTTTGTGCAATTAGCAATTGTAAATATTGTTTCTAATACAATTCATATAACCGCATTGAGAATTCAATCTTACGAGATGGATTTTAAAAAAGAATACTTTCTGACGATTTTGAAGTTGGTTGTGCTTAATGTTTAAAAGGATATGTTTATTCATTTCGACTGAAATAATGTCTCCCTTAATATAATGAAATTGACTGTTAAAGTTACATTAATGATTAAAATGAACTATAATGTTATTCAACCTAATTTGATAAATTAATTACTAAATTTTAATAGATCTAAAATTGTTAAGAATAATTACCAAATTGTGAGTAATGTATCTATACAAAATTTAGTATATTAGTATGCATAAAATGCTCTTAAGGTTTTTATATTAATAAAGTTAATGGATTATGTAATAAATGTGCTGATTATTAGGTTTCAGATTGTGGATTAGTTGACTTTTATCACGAATATTAAAAGTTACTATTATATGGCTTTCTTTAACATTATACTTAAACTTTGAATGATTTATCAATCCTTTTTAATGATTATTATAATATGGAAATTTTAGAATGCAACTCAAACTATTTATTAGATAAAATTCAAAATTAATGTATTGACTAATGTATTAAATGTGATAAATGTGCCATTGTAAATGGGTAGAAGTAGTGCCTCAAATGTACTTTATCATCCGGCTAATCTAGTTTTTATTCTTAGAAAAACGGTTAATGCTATTAATGTCCTTAATTATGCAAATTTTGTTTATAACTTGATTAAGATCTAATATCAGTAATATTTCATCATAAATTAGTTATACAACCCATACTTTTTAGTCACAGATTCAAGTAAAACATAGGCTATTAAATGTCTGATTAATTATGATTAAAACTTAACATACATTGATTATAGGAGTGGTTTAATTAAACCTTTTAATCAAGTTACAAAGGAGCGACTAACCTTTGTAGCCTAGGATGATAAGACTTCCATTAGAATTTACGATTTTGAAGATATCATTTTAAAAAGCATCAGTAAAATATCTTAATAGATTTACCTGGGAACTAATTATTTATATTCACTTTTTAGTTATTACTATTCTGTGAACATTTATTCTATACAATTAATGGTTGATAATAATTTTGGTGTCGGATTAGCTAATATTTCTAATGCATCTGAAGTTAGAGGTTATTAATTAAACATAGCAAAAGATAATTATAATTTCAAAATTGACTCCGATTTTGGAGTAAAATTTTATATTGAAGATTGCAAAATTACAAATATAATTTCTAAATAGTTATTTACAATAAACTAACCACTTCTAACTAGCCTTATACTATTTAAAATATATAATATAACCTTAAGGGATTCTTAAGTCTTCATAATAAATAGCCATTTTGAAAATTCCACAATAGTAGTCAAGGATTTTCTCTATACTAATAGTATTTTTATAGAAAGCATCTTTCTTTTGCATTCATCTGACTAACATGATAGTGTCTTCATAAGCAATCTCACTTTTATAAATTGCACATTTAAAGCAAGTTCATACTTCAGTCAAAAAACATTAGTTAGCATTATTATCATATAAATGAACCTTATAAAATTCATAAACTGCACCTTTAAGGATAGCATTCTATTTTAATTAAGTGATAGCATAAATTCATTTTCCATTCAAGATTTAAAGGTAATAAATTGTTCATTTTACAATTCCTCATTATTATAAGGTTTATAAAATTTGAGGCTAAACTTGGTGTTATTAAATAACTTAACGTTAATAGAAAGTAATTTATTCCTTTATTTATATTCCTTAAGTAATTATACAATAACTATAACTCATTTAATATGCTAAGGGCTGTTATTTAATACATCAAAATTTCTTCTAATTGAAAATTTACAGTAATTTGTTTAAATAGATGTTATCATATAAGATTGGAATTTAGAAAATATCAATTTTATGGTGACTAATGAAATTATTAATGATAATTCCATTCTCAGTTTTTAAAATGTTAATAGTTAAATAAAAAATCTTATAATAGAAAAAAGCATATTGTTTACTTTACTTATTTTTTAGAATTGCCAAGAAGTAAGTTTAACTAATATCTAAATTTCTTAAATAGAAAATGAAGTAAATCAATTGGATTCTATTGGTAAATTTAAATATTAAAGATCTGTAATATATATTTCTGAATTTACCTATTTAAAAATTAGTTAATTATAAGTATCACATTGGATTCAAACAAGTGATTCATTTTTAATAATAAGATGCGACTCTTGTGTTTCTAATTTCATTTAAATATCAGAATTACTATTAGAAAATTATTCTAGTTTTAATGTACTCAATTATATAAACCCAGCGATTTTCATTCAAATTGATGCTGAAGTTAAAATCAATATAACGAATTGGAAATTTAAAAGTTGCAACTTTTGGTCTCCATCTCCGAATAATGAGATGATGGAAGCAGCTTTAATAAGAATTAAATCGCCTAAATCTAAGGTAATTTTTAATGATTTAACATTTAAAATAGCAAATGTTTACAATTCATCTAATTCCATTGTTGTTGTTGATGCCACAACTATTTTTATGTTCAACACTCAAGTAGATGATATAAATACTCAAAATGCTATTGGTTAATTATATGCAATTTGTGGATTCGTTATTTTTATGGCTGAATAAATTAGAATTATTAACACAAGAATGAGCAATATCAATAGTGCATAATATGGATTTTTTTACAATCAACTTAAGTAATAAGGAAATCTTTATGTGTAAAATTGTATTTTCAATAATACAAAACTAGCCACAACTAACTTTTATATGACATAATTAGGAGGAATTTTTACAATTGATGGAAGATTATCTATGCTATAACTTAGTTTCATAAATATTACAGCGATAAATATATATGCAGAAAAAAAAGCAGCCTTTTTATATTTAATACCATCTTCAATTTCAAATTAGGTATTTATGAAAAATTTAAACTTTAAAAATTTAATATCAGCAGATAATTTGTTTTGTAGACTCAAATTTCCCTCTAATAGTTAAAATAATAAAATTGTATTAGAGTAAATTGTAATTAATAATAATGAGAACAGCACTCTTTTATAATAGCTAATTGGAAGTTAAAAAAAAGGGCAAAGTGTAAGTAATTATGAAGGCCTTATTTCATCTTCTTTTAGGTATTTATAAAGTATAATCTAGTTCTGTTTTAATTAATGATTTTATATATGAAGGCTATTTAACTCAACCAATTTTTATACTAAATGTAATTTATAGTCTAAAAATTAGCAATCTTAAATTTGTATCATTATCTATATTTAATCAGTTTGAATAGTTGATTAATATAGAAATTTAGAATGCAGATTTGGTTATTATGTAAAACTTTTAATTTGAGAAAATGAATTTGTTATATTAATTAGAGTATTTCTTGAAAATTAATTGCACTTCAATCACAAACCCTATCATATCAAATTCAATTTAATTTATAAATAACTTTTGTCCTTATTGCTAAAATGGATATATGGCAATTTTCAATAATCAAAATTAATCTAAAGTAGTAATGAATGATTACATATTTTATGACAACAATTGTGGTGTATATTGGTGCTTCATTTTTCAAAATCTTTAATTAAAAATATAAAATTCATTCTTTATAAAAAACTAAGGCCAAAATAATGGAATATTATATGGAACTTAAAGTGTGCTATTAATATAGAACAGCATCTTGAAAAATAACTAAATAATGAATCAAGCAGGAGCAATATTTTTAAATAAATCTATAATTGAAGCTTAAAATTTACTAATTGTTAATAATTCTGCTAACATTGGAGGGGCAATTTATTGTGAGAACTCTAAAGTAAATAAAGAAACAAGAAGAAAAATCCTATTTTTAGAAAATAATGGATTTTTTGGATTGAATAATATTCGAGAACATGCTGATTTTTTAAACCTGAATATGTTCGGATTTTCAATAGACAATAAAAGAGAAATATAAAATGATGAAATTTTTGATATTCCAACTTATATCGTAAATCATAATTAGATGAGAGTTAACAAAACTTTTATTGAAGTCGCTAGTGGTTAAAAGCTGAATGAGTTTTAAGTGTTCGATAAAATTTCAATGTAATATTCAAATTATACTATATCATTATAAATTGAATAATATACTTAATTAGGTGAAAAGATTATCTAAGATTAAGGTGATAAGTGTTCGCTCACATAATATTAAGTTAATTCTGAGCTAAATTAAACTAACTATGAAATCATATCATCATCTTCAAAAGAAAATATGACTTAATTATAGTTTGATCCTATTTGGGAATCATATAAACTGGATAACTTCAGTTTTTATTTAGACCCTTATTCTAATTAATCAATATTTTTGATGGTATTAATAAAATGTGAATAAATGCCTTAAAATTACAATTTCATTTTCAAAATAAAAACATTACCTTGTGGTATTGGAGAATACTACAATAACAAATAGTGTTTAAAATGTGATTTTGACAAAGGGTATTTTTCAGTAACAAAAAACTCATTAGAATGTTAAAGATTAGATCCAACTAAAATGAAATCAGTGACTTCCTATTAGATAGAGTTACTCTCAGGATTTTGGAGACTTTCTTATTACTCTCATTATATTGAATAATGCGAGAATCCTAGTTCTTGTTTAGGAGGTTGGAATGTGAATTAAGAATCATGTTTTGTAGGATACATCGGAGCTATTTGCAATGAATGCGATATTTACAATGTTAGGGGACAATCTTCCTATATAAAATCGTTATCAGGTGTGTGCTAAAAGAATGAGAAACAAAAAGAAATCTTTTTAATCACCTTTGTTTTAATGCTATTGTAATTAATAAATTGATATTAGCACCTTTATTGTAACATATGTGATTTCCTTTCTTAAATCTGAGATGCACTTAATGTATAAAAGAATGAAGTACATGACAATACATCACAGGATATTATTTCAATGTGAATTAGGTAAATATCTAATGATTCTGAAGATCAATTGAATACTAGTTTAAAGTTGTTAATAAATTTCATGTAAATTCTATATCCAATATTGCCACACTTAAAATTTAATGAGGATTTTGCTGACCTAGCTTGGCCAATAGGAAAGTCATCAAAAACATTATTATTTTTAATTAATTTTGTGGCTGATAACTTTGAGATAGAAATTCCTTACTTAAAAATGGTTTGGGCAATGCTTATTCCAATATTTTAGATGAGTATTCTATTGTTCTTTTATGCATCCATATAGAGGATTAACAACAATTCTCATATTTAACTTATGTTTATTTAATCATCGTTTATTTTTTTGGTTTTCTATTCAATTCCAAATATAATGGAGGAGTATTAAGATTTATACATATTTTTAGATTGACTATTGTTCTTTAGAGAAGAAGCATTGCTAATATCGATTGGATAGGGGCTAATTTAGCGTATTAATACTAAACAAAGGAACATTAAAGTTGGATATGGTAGTTCATAGTGCCATCTATGATTCTGATATTTTTGGTAATTCCTATACTATTTTTCACATTCATATACAAAAAGAATAAGGAAACAAAGAATATCGATATTTCTTATGGAATATATGGATATCTATGCAGTGATTATAAAGAACATTTATACTTTTGGGAATTAGTAACCTTGGAGATGAAATTAACATTAATCTTTATTCTATTCTTTCTTGATAATGATAAGATAATCCTTAAAAATCTAATATCAATTTTAATATTATTAGGATATTATGCATCAATAAACTCTTTAAAACCTTTTTCAAAATCAAACTTGAATAAACTTGAGAAATCTGGAATCATCTTATGTTGTGTATTTATTTCATTAAATATCTTAATATCGGCATCTTAGAAATATTCTTATATTGAAGTACAATATCTAACTTAAATTTTGATGTTGTTAATATTATTATTTATTCTTCTATATACATTATTCAAAATATTGATAGCCTTTATTAACAGATACTAGGATATAATTGATATAATAAGAATAGCAATAACCTTAAGATTTCCGAATTTTTAACATTATTGTCCCTTTTTCAAAAAACATTTACAGCTCCGATCTGAAACTAGGAAAAATGTTATAAATAAATTTAAGAGAATCAAATCATAACTTAAACTTATGAAGCAAAATAATATTAGAATTATTAGGAACCCTATAAACATTCAGGATGAACTAGTTTCTAACATTATGCGTTCTGATCAGAGAAATTTGATACAATAATACTCAATACAAAACTCGTTTATGTTTTGAAATCATTAATATTATATAATTAAATATAAAAAGATTAATTAATCTATGTAAATATTAATTAGTTAGGATAAAATAATAATATAAAAATAATCTTTGGGGATTAGGAGTATGGAATTAATTTTATTTGAGAATAGAAACTATGAAGTAATGTTGATAATTACTGTTGAACATAGGATATTCATAAAATAATAGTTAATGTTATCAAATCCTAATTATATCGAAAATATTATGAAATTATATAATTATTGAATATCTAAACATCAATATGTAACCAATAGCAAACAGAATGTTAAATTACTTGTAACCTCAAATGTATGCCAAGTTTACAATGTTGGCAAACTAAAAGGGATGCATAAATTTAGGCCAAGGATTCCCAAATTTCCCATCCCCATAAATGATTAGAGATGCTCTTTCAGAAGAAGCATAAACAGAATCTCTTCAATACACCATGACATCTGGACATCCAAAATTGTTACATTCAGCTTCTAAATTCTTCGAATAACAAATTGGATGCAAAATTAATGTGGACAAAGAGATTATGGTCAGTTCAGGTGCTTAGGCAGTATTGAGCTGTGTAATGTAAGGAGTATTAAATCCAGGAGATGAAGTAATTTTATTTGATCCTGCCTTCGGTATCTACAATACCCTAAAATAGATTTATACAGACCTATGATAGAATTCCAAGGTGCAAGACATATTGGGATTCCAATCATTCCCAAAAAATTGAATAACAAATAGGAAATCATCAAAAGATTCAAAGATGGCAAATTCTAATACTCCTAAGATGATGATTGGGAATTAGATTTCAATTATTTAGAGAGAGTTATTAATAAAAAGACTAAACTACTCTTGTTGAATTCACCAATGAATCCAATTGGAAAGTAATATTCTTGATTATCGTAGAGTATTCAGTACAGAAGAATACAATTAATTAGCTGATATTCTTGATAAACATCCTCAAGTAGTTGTTTGTGAGGATGCAGCCTATCATCATATTACTTTTGGGAAATATCAGCCATTTAATTATCCTAGATGCATTACACATCCAAGATTAAAGGATAGAACTGTTTGTGTAACAAGTGCAGGTAAGATGTATTCATCCACAGGATTAAGAGTTGGATTTGCTGTAGGAAACGAAGAGATTATCAAAGGAATAAAGGCAGCTTAAACTTATCATATATTTTGTTTGAATCCTGTGATACAGACAGCAACAGCAAAATGCTTAGACTAAACTCTGGATGGAAAGTACTTTTAATCAGTTAAGAACTTATATGAAGAATAAGCGAATATGTTATTAAAAGGGTTGGTTGAGAGTAGATTGAATATGAATTATTGGGTTCCATAGGGAGGGTATTTCGTCGTCACTGATATTTCACAAATCTAAATCCCTGAGAAATATTTCGATGACAATGGAAATAGATTAACCAGAGACTTTGCTTTTGCATACTACATGATTAATGAATTTGGAGTTGTTTGCATCCCTTGTTCTCCATATTATGAGAATAAATAACTAGGCCAGAACTACGTCAGATGGGCTTTCTGCAAAACAACTGAAACCATCCAAGAGGCCATCAATCGCCTTAAGTGATAATATCAATTATTTATATAATTTAATGAATGAGCTGACTGATGGTATTCTTATTTCTATTTTAGGGGAACTCTTAAAACGAAAAGATTCCATCAAAATTGTATTCTTCATTGAATTTTCATAGCTGTTCTACGCTTTTTTAAAACTAATTGCTGTAATAAGTATCTTAACCAACACATCCGAATGCGATCTATTTTATTATTTTCTTCTGTTACTAATAACTGACATTATGTGTTCGATTGTGAATTTAATCGCTCTTGGGAATCTCTACTATTGTGACTATTAATCAATTGATAGAACTTTGGAAAACTTTGAAAATCAACGAATATCATTGTAATATAATAATGATGCCTATGTTGATTTTATGACATTGTTAGAAGCTATTTCGAATAGATATTAGTTGCTCTATAATATAATAGCATTAAGTTATTTTGCATTGTCAATTTATGGGATCTATAGCATAATAAATCAAAAATGCCATTACGAAGATGGCAGTGCAGCAACTGCAATTACATTTATAATACTGAGCTTGTTCTACTTTCTTAGAAAACTGTTCTTGCTCATAAGATAATACAAAAAATATTAAATTTACAATATAATTGTATAAATATGTTATTAGATTCTAGAGTGTAAATGCTTAATAAGAAGATGACTGTTGCATATGCTTATAATAATTATCATAAAAAGTGGCTTAGTTGTAATGCAAACACAAGTTTCATCTGGGTTGTATTTAGGAATGGTTTAAAACGAAAAGCACTTGTCCTATTTGTAAACGAGAATACGAAGTAATATATTCCCATAATTGATGATAATTGTCATATGAAATGTGAAATCTCATAAATTAATACTAATTATTATATAAATGTAATAAAAGTAGTCTAAAAAATCTAAAGAGGAAGAACCAATTTTCAATGGAACATTCAAAGACAACAGTGATGACGAAAATGATGATAAAAGAAAGAAATAAACTCTGATTATTAATGTGTCTGGTAATTTATGATTGTAAAAAGAGATACAAAATATGATGTTGTGAAATTTGTTGGGAAAAAGATATTCAAATGGATATTGTAATATGAACCTGATGGAGTCAATTGGGATATGTTTTGGACTGATGCAGCTGTTTAACCAGAAACCTTAGGCAAAATGTAACGTAAGTTTGTTAAGCAATATATTTAAAAGCTCATCAAAAGATAAATCACTTTCCTGGGATGTATTCACTTGCTCGTAAAAACCATCTTGGTAGAAATTTGATGAAGATGAGAAAACAATTCCCAAATGATTATAAATTCTTCCCCTAAACATGGCTATTGCCAGCTGAATATGGAGATTTCAAAAATTAATTTGTCAAAGGAAAAGTAAGAACATTCATAGTAAAACCAGAAGCAAGTTGTTAAGGAAGAGGAATATTTCTGACCAGAAGTATCAATGACATCAACCCAACTGATCATTATGTGGCATAAAGATATATGCATAGACCATTTTTGATAGATGGTTTGAAATTTGATTTGAGAATCTATGTGTTATTAGCTGGAACAGATCCTATGAGAATATATGTATATTAAGACGGCTTAGTAAGATTTGCAACTGAACAATACGTTACTCCAACTACTAATAATTTGGAGGATGTTTGTATGCATTTAACAAATTATGCTATCAATAAGGAGAATCCCAACTTTGTATTTAATAATGATGCTACCAAAATGGATGTTGGACACAAAAGGTCCATTAAATCAGTCTTTGGTAAGTTATAAGAAGAAGGACATAATATATAGAAGTTATGGTAGGATATGTATAAATTATTCATCAAAACCTTCTGCACTGTCTAGCCAATTCTCAATCATCATTACAAATCATGTTAACCTGATAACTACGCTAATAATATGTGTTTTGAAATTCTAGGAATGGATATCTTCATTAATGATAAATTAAGACCATCTTTATTAGAAGTTAATCACACTCCCAGTTTTACTACAGACACACCTTTGGATTCATTAATAAAGAAGAATCTTATTAGAGATACTTTAAAATTGATGAATGTAAGTCTAAAAGCTAAAGAAGAAATAATAGCATCAAGGAGAGAGTAATTATAATAAAGAGTTTTGACAGGCAAGAAATAGAAATTAACTTAAGAAGAGAAATAATTACTAATTAAATAATGGTCAGAATAAAGAGATCAACATGAAAATAATAATTTAGGCGATTATATCAAAATATACCCTTTGGAGGATGCCCATGAATATGATAAATTCATTGAATTTTCTTCTCAATTATAAGACAATTGGACTGGAGCAAGTAAATAATATATTTATTCAATAGATATCAGAAGAAACTAAAAAAAAGAACCATCTGAAACTCAACAATTCCAAATTAGCAAACCTCCAACCATTCCTGTTAAAAAACCAAACACTCCTTAAATGTTACCTAAAATTAGTGAAAGACAAAATAGAATTCATCAATCAATTGAACCAAATGCTGAAATCAAAAGTAAAACATAATCAAGCTTAGGAAAAAGTACTAAAGAATCAAAAAGATAAGTATCTGATCCTCCTATACCTAAACAACATTAAAGTATGAGAAATGTGTAGTAACCACCTCAATAACAATAACAATTGCCATTAAAATCATGTTTATAACCTAAATTGTTTGAATTAGACATCTTAAGCTCACAAAATAGATCAAATTCTTAGAGTAAAAAATTAAATTAGTTCAAACTACAATGATAACTTAATATCCATCATATTATATTTATTCACTATAAATTTTACAGTGATATTAAGTACATATTTATAATAGTAATTTCTAAATTTATTAAATGAGTAGTGTTATACAATTAAACTCAATCTCTATTAAAAATGAAACTAATTGCGGATATTGCAATGGAGGTAAGTCAAATAAACTCTGGGTAACATCTGGATTTTATTGTTACAAAATGAAAGTCGATGAATATCAATAATTAATGGATAGAGGATGGAGAAGATGTGGAGTATATTACTATAGACCAGCGCTTGCTTAGAGTTGCTGTTAGGCTTATGCACTCAGAGTGGTAGCCTCCAAATTTTAAATGAGAGTTACTCATGAAAAGGTTTTGAAACGGATTAAGAGGATTAAACCTGTTCTGCTAGACAATAGCAACGTTCCTCTATAGTAATAATAGAAAGATTAAATAGAAAACGATACATTTATAGATTTGATAAAATAGTAACTATAAACTGATCTTGATTTAAGTGATTTGATTATTTTAGAAAAAGTTGGTTAACATTATACTTTTAAAAGTATACAATACAAAGAAGAAGACCACATTAAATATTTTAAATCCATCATCATAACCAGTTTATAAAAAATAACAAAATAGTAGTTAAACGAAACTTTTGCAATTGAAAAGGAAGAACTTTCAAACTTACTTTATTAAAATTTTATAAATTCAATTTCAGAACTCTAAATTTATGAAATTTTATTAATTAAAGGATACTTAAATAAGGTGGAAAGTGATTGGGCCTTTGGATGTAATCTAATTCCTTACTTGTATTCTAAAATTACAGCATTCTTGAAAAATTATAATTTACCAGTTTTGAAACTTGAAGAGAACCTTAAGTACATGGAACTAATTCAAAAGTATTTATAAAATCTAGGCTTTGAATTTAAAATATCAGAATTAGATCATTAATTATTAATCAAAACTCCTTAAACTTTAAAAGAAAAAATATTGAAATCTAATATTTTATATTATCTCTAGAAGTTTGATTTGTAATCCAATTAACCATAAGAGATAACTAAAAAGAATCGTCATCAAATATAAATTAAATGGGTCAAAGCACAATTTTAAGATGATAGTTTTGAAGTTTATAAAAAATATCAAAGGGCTGTTCATGATAAAGAAAGAGTCAGTAAAATGAGTTACTGTAATTTTGTTTGCGTTGATGCTCTTGATAGTCAAGAATTAGGATGTTGGCATATGAAATATTACCTAGAAAACTAATTGATTGCAGTTGGAGTAGTTGATCTCCTCCCTGAATGTGTATCATCGGTGTATTTTTTCTATGATCCTGATTATAAAAAGTATTCATTAGGAGTCTATGGAGTTTTATCAGAAATAGAATATATCTAGAAAAAACAGATTACAAATCCATAATTATAATACTACTACATGGGATTCTATATAATGGATAGTAAGAAGATGGCCTATAAAGCAGAGTACACTCCTTGCGAATTACTTTGTCCTCGAACTTATAGATGGATTTCATTAACTAAAAAAATAAAGGAGAAAATTGAAAAAATAACGATATATGTTTAGGATGTGGGATTAGTAGATGAAAGAGATTAGGAACATGGTTATAGTATCAATCTTGATGGACGTACAATAGATGATATGAACTTTTTAGATGTTGACATTGAGAACTTTATTCAATAAAATGTGAAGATTTCATAAACTGGGAAATAATTTACGATTTCATAACTTAAGAAAAATTATTAATAATATTTTATGAACCTATTTAAGGATTTTCTGAAGAAGATAGGAAAGGAATTAATGAAGGAGTTTTTATTTGCAGTCAATTGATATGATTTTGTTAGCAATCAAATTTGTATTAAATCATCAAAAACATATTAAAACCTGTTGTTTTATTATAGTAAAAACTTGCAAAGAGAGTGTCTATTATTTAGTCCTGTTGTTTAATATTCTGATATCGATTATTTTTCAAGCGATTCTAATTTTATACTTAAAAGATCATATACTAATATATAAATAAGTAAATTCAAATGAATACATTTTAATGAATTGAATTATAATAAATACTCAATTGCAATAGTGTCTTCTTAAATCTTAAACTTTCTATAATTCAGCAACTCTTTCAATAATTTCATCTTTGATTCTTTGCTTTAATTTTGGTTCATTTAGGTATTCTATTTCTTAAAGAAATTCCTATCTTTCTTCAATTTCTTTCATAATTGATGAGAAGAGCACTTCTAATTCAATTTACGGATCTCCTTATAAAGTAGTAGCATCTGATTAATTGTCAGATTTTAGTCCTGTAAAATATAAGTCTTTTTTATGCATTTTTTTTATAGCATTAGAAGTGGTTTCAGAGTCTTTTAAGAAGGCATCTTCACTTTTAATATTGATTTCAGGTAATTCTGCACCTTTAGGTAATGCTCCTCTTTTATATTTAAATACTCGTTATAATTGTTCGATTAATTTTTTTCTGTCCTATCCTTAAACAGCAGGTCTGAAGAATTTTCTGCCTTCATAATATTTTTCAATTTCCTTTCTGATTTCAGCCTCTGGTTTTCGTTTTTGAACAAAATCAATTGGGTAATATTATTATCTTTGTTTAATTTCTTCCTTTGGATATTCTATAACTGTTTTTTGTGGACAAGTTTTCTAGGTTTTCACCTTTTCAGAATCTAACTACTCTTGTGTTTTTTATTTTGGTTTTGGATAATTTATTTTAGGTTTTTCATGCGCATTGTATAATCCGAACAGTTCTTTGCCTAAAGAAGTTTCCTTTCCAAAAATTTTGTACAAGTTCTTCCTTTCTTCTTTGAGTTAAGGATCCTCATCATCAGGTAAAAATTAATTATTCATTTATAATATTAATAAATGCAAGAAAGACAAATGAGTGAAGAAGTAAGGAATGACAATCCTTACAGCAGATTGATGGCATTAAAGAGAATGGGAATTATTCAGAATTATCAATAGATAAAGGAGTTCACAGTATTAGTAGTTGGTGTTGGTGGAGTAGGATCAGTTTTATGCGAAATGTTAACACGTTGTGGAATTGGTAAATTGATTATGTATGATTATGACAAAGTGGAGTTAGCAAATATGAATAGGTAATCAATAGTCCTAATATTTAGGTTATTTTTCACTCCACAATAAGTTGGATTATCAAAGGTTGAGGCAGCAAAATAAACATTATTGAATATTAATCCAGATGTTGTTATTGAAGCATATAATGAAAATATCACATCAGGAACAGGGTTTAATTAATTGTTGGAGAGAATGCAAAATGGTGCTCTCAAAGAAGGACCTGTTAATCTAATTTTAAGTTGTGTTGATAATTATGCTGCACGTATGACAATTAATAGTGCATGTAATGAACTTGATTAAGTTTGGATGGAGAGTGGAGTATCTGAAGATGCAATGTCTGCACATATCTAGTTGATGATTCCAGGAGAAACAGCATGTTTTGCATGTGCTGTTCCTGTGGCTGTAGTTGAAAATACTGAATAGTAAATTAAAAGAGAAGGCGTATGTGCAGCCTCATTGCCAACTACTATGGGTATTACTGCTGGATTCTTAGCCTAGAACACTCTCAAATATTTATTAGGTTTTGGTTAAACTACATTTCTCCTTGGATATAATGCTTTGGCTGACTTCTTCTAGAATTATGCTATTATGCCTAATCCTGAATGCAAGGATCACAATTGCTTGAAAAGATAACAGCTGAATTCTGAAAGACTTAGATTGAATAAATTATAAAAAAGAAAAGAATAATCAGAATAGAAATAGGAAATTGTTCATGTTGAAAATGAATGGGGTATTGAAGTTGTGGCTGATGATACACCAATTAATGAAGCATAAATTTAATAATAATTATTGAATTAATAATAATCATAATAATCATAATAATAGTCTACTGACACAACAAAAGAAAGTACCAATCTAGAAGATTTAATGAATCAATTAAAGAGTTTGCAATGAATTATATAAGTATTTTATATTATAATTTATATTTAAATATATATAATTGATATCAGAATGTTGTTAATTTTTCTAAGTAAAATAGTTAAAGTCTATTATATTCCTGGATTATCTAAATTTATAAATCTCAGAAATAGACAACATTTCTAATATCAATCTTATCATTTTTTCTATTTAATTAGTATAATTGCTAAAGCAGTCATTAATTACAAATTAATGTTAATAAATGTTAATTGATTCCATCTAATATGGTATCTTTTATGATTAAATATTATATATACTCATATATAGTGGTAAAAGAGCTGAACTACTTCAAATTCATGATGACTTAAATGATGATGATGATAATTAATCAATAAAATAGAAATTCTTAAAAATTAATCATTGTGTCACTTGATAATCACTAAATTGATGTCATATACATAAATATTGATAATCATCGATTATTGATTTGTATTTTAACAAATTTGGATCATCAAACATTGTCATCTCTTTCTTTCAATGGTTAAGTTATAAATAGAAGAAGAAGTTTTAATAAAAGAAAATTACTTAAAAATACCACATCAAATTGATATATATTAATTTTGATAAATTATAAAAGGCAGATTTTGGCAAAGATCCTATAGATAATTTAATATCTCTTTATTAGGTGGTGCCTAATGATTTTAATTGAGATTCAAGAGATTCAACTTGGATATATGTTTGCGAAAATCTTTCACCACTAATTACGCAAGAAGTATTTATTAATCAAATTAATACATAAGATTAATTAGAATACAATTATAATGCAAGAAAAGTCGTTTTGAATAGTCAGACCTACATATATGTTATTTAGATTATGATTGAAATAACATACTTTATAAGATAGCATACTGAACTATTATTTTATATCGCTAAATTGATTCTTGATAAATAATTATTAATGAATTAAATATACTTAAAGCCACTTGATGAAACTTGTGATAATCCACAGTTACATGAGGCTACTAAATTATTTCTTACCATGAATAAGGAGAATCATACAAGAGAAGAATTGCATTACATTTTATAGAAGATGGAAGAACTGCCCTACTTTAAACAATTTGTTTTGGAGAAATTGTAGAAAGGAACGCAAAGGAATGACATTTTGGAAGTAGTCTTATGTGTAATAATCTTAGTTGTGTTCTCGTTTGAGGATGGAATACTTTAAAGGAGGGGAAGTGTTGTTCTAAGAGAATGATACATCAAATGATAAGCTTTATATGATTTAATATGGAGAAGTTATGTTGATGAGGTAGAAAAAGATGGATTAATTGATGACTTTGTAAAGATAGAATTCAGAACAAGTTCAATAACCATAACTAAAAATTGCTTAAATTCTAAATGCTAAGAAGTTTACAAGCAAAATTATAAGACATCATAACTTTCATAAGGAGACAACTATTTCAAAAGAGGAGAAACAATAAATGGAACACAAATACGGAGAGTGTATAAGATTGTTGGGAGTGGGTACAGGATTTGGAGAGAAAGCTTTGGTTGAGAATATTCCTAGGTCTTTAACAGTAGCATGTTATAGTCACGAGTTATTTGTGATAGTTTTGAAGAAGGATGATTTTATAACTTATTAGATGACATTTGAAAAAACAAAGAAGGAGAAATAGTAGTTAATGTTCAAAATATTCAAAAGTAAAGTGAATAATTAATATTATAGATGTGAATAATGAGTATTCATCTTAGAGATTGGAAAGCATGATATACAGTTGTTAGACTATCACATATGATAGAGGAACTCAGTTAGCAACAGAGGATGAGGAAGGTGATGCATTCTATTTGGTGATCAATGGAGATTTGACATTATCGAAAAAAATAGATAATCGAAATGTCTCTCTATGCATAATATCATCAGGTCATTTGATGGGTGAAGAAATTATTATCAATAAAACTGGTATGTACGAATATAGTTGTACGGTGACATCCTTATTGGCTACTGTGATTGTGATAGATGCAAATGAATTTATTCATAAGTTTCCTGAAGAATGCAGATTACAATTGATTGAGGATTATGGTCCAAAGACTGCTAATAGATAGAGATTGTTGTAATTATTGTTGTAGAAGAGGAGGTCATAGAATACATCAAACAAACAAATGACAAATGAATAAGTAAGATTATTGACAGAAATAGATGATGTAGTAATAGATTAAAACAAAAATCATATTATTGAAAGTTTGAAGAAATAAAAAGATGTTTAATTGAATCAACATTTCCTAACTACATATTCAAATCCAAGTGTTCAAAACTATTGCATTGCTAAAATAATTGACAGAGAAAAAACATTTCATAAATTAATAAAGAGTTGTGAATTTTAAGAGTTTGATTTCGGGAATGGGAACAATGAAATTATTAAGAGAAGAAGATTTATGTTAGAAAATAAATTGAATTTGAAGAAACCAAATGAAAATTATTTGAAACCCCAATTCCATATTCTTCCTCTAACAGTTAAGAGAGATCTGGTCAAAAACTTCAGACTCAACAATAAGAAAAATGTTTGTTATTCTAATTTCAATATTAAGACACTCACAAAGGTGTAACCGAATAAAAAATAATCACCTTTGAAAATAAGGGAGTTGATGACTGCTAGACCTTCGCAATAGCAATGTGATAGTTATAGTACCCATATGTTTACTTAGATTGATGATAGACAATCACTTTGATTATAGTTTTATGTGATGTATACTTATTACATATATTAATTTATTTTATGTCGAGATCATCATCCAGAAGAAATAGTTAAGCCATTGGTTCTCTCATTAATTACGCAAACTCTGATGATACTTATAATGTCAAAGCTATCCTTTATGAAAATCACAATCATAATTTGTTAATCCTTAAAACCCAAAAACTATATACCTGTATAAGATTTGATAATAAAAGTAATTCATCTTTCTTGTTACAACAACAATGAACAATTAAGTGAATTGTATTTTTAATACATTTAAGCATAAATAGATAAAAACATTCATACAAAACAAGAAGTTGAACAATGGGTTAATTAACAAAATGATGAAGGGTTCACTGCATTACATCTCGCAGCTTACCGAGGATCACTGGTATTATCATATATAATAATAGAAAACCATTAAATTGCTTGAATAATATGGAGCAGATTACAGAATTAAGAACGATAATAGTAATCATAACTTATTATTAAAGAGTTAACGGTCTTACATACAGCATCATAAGGTGATTGTCCATTGACTGTATGTTATTATCTCCAGAAAGGGATAGATATTAATATAGTGGATAACAAAGGCTCATCTCCTCTCCATTGGGCTGCTTATTCAGGAGCGTATAATGCAGTAAATTTCTTGATCTCATTGAATGCTAATGTGGATCTGCAAGATACAGATACTCTTGTTACTCCTTTACATCTTGCGACTATGCAAGCTAATTCTAGAATAGTTCGAAAACTTTTAATGAAAGGAGCTGATCGTTCAATTAAAGATTCCAATGGCAAAACAGCTCTGGATTTAGCAATAGAAAGTGATTTTAAAACAATTGAAACCATGATTGTAGATATTGTTATTAATTCTAGAGAGATAAAAATGATATTCTAATCATTTGCAATGTTCGATAACCATTTAGACCAGTGAAACAAAAAAGGAATAGTCAAATTGCCTTCCTTTCCATGTATATGACTTGCTTTATTTGTACTATAGTATTCACTTTCCCATGTAATTGATTTATTTCTATAATGTTTAGTTGTAACTAACACAATTTGGATGTGGATATTCTTTACTTTAACTAGCATTACTGTTATATTCTTCTTTATTTCATGTGCCAAAGATGCTGGAGTAGTGAAATTAGACTAAAAATTAGATATGCTCTAAATATTAGAAAGATACGATTGTTCAAACATTTGTGCAGATTGTAAAGTATATACAAACACAAATAGTAGTTAGTCAGACCTAAGAGATCCAAGCATTGTGAAGTTTGTTAATAATGTGTTATGGTGTACGACCATCATTGTCCTTGGATAAATAATTGTGTTGGAGCAAAGTAATATATTAAATTAAATTACATTAGGAATCATTTTGTGTTTTATTTTTTCATTATAAGTTTGTTCTCCGAATTCATTTTACAATTATTCATGCAATTTTCTCATTATCATTCATATACTATCCAGAGATGGTTTACTTAAACCGAAGATTGGCTCTTAATTGGAAAAAAATTTACATTTTATTATGTAATCATTTATTGTTTACTATTTATTGTACCTTTGGGGTAATTTAAAATTTATAATTAAGAATTCTAATCTAAATTTAAACTATTAATCTATTGACAGGCCAAACAACATTTGAAAGACATAGTTTAGGAGCACAAGATGCAAAAAATGAAAAATCTAATGAAAAAAGTGCTATTAATAGAACTGAAGATCAATCAATGGAATCCACAGAATAAGGATAAGGTGGAACATAATAATCGATTCACGATCAATAACTAAAAATGGAGTAATCACATTTGAGTTTAGGAAACTGTTTTGAAATGTGCTTTGTAAATAAAAAGAAAAAAGAATATAGTAGTGAATTAGCAACAGAATTTATTGAACTCTGAATTATTGTATAAATAAAATTAAAATGCAAAAATTCGAAGAATTAAAAATAGCAATTACTGGTGCTGCTGGTAATTTAGCATCTGCATTGTATTTCTTACAATATTCAAATCTAGTTATCCAATTTTGGGGTCTGGCCAAGTGTTTGGGTCAACTCAAAAATTCTCATTATAACTATTAGAATTACCTGAAAAACTACAAGAATTAGAAGGAATCAAAATGCAAATTTAAGACTGCGCATTCCCTCTTCTAAATAATGTCATAGTCTCAAGCGATTCTGCGGTTGCTTTTAAAGATGCTGATGTTGCGATATTTTTAGGAGCCATGCCTCGAAAACCAGGTATGGAAAGAAGTGATCTGTTATAAATGAACAGAGAAATATTTATACAATAGGTTCGATATTGAAATTATAAACACAGGGCTAAATCTTGAATGAATAAGCTAAAACTACTGTTAAAGTTTTAGTTGTGGCAAATCCAAGCAACACTAATTGTGCTACTCTGGCTAATTAGTGCACTAAAATTCCATAACAAAATTTTACATCTCTTATGTAACTAGATCATAATAGATGTGTCTCAACTGTATGGCGACTTTTATAATTTTAGCTCGCAAGAGAAGCAAATACAACTATTGACTAGATCAAAAGAGTGATCATTTGGGGAAATCACTCTCTTACCTAATACCCAGATATGACTCACTCAATTATTAATGGTAAATAAGCATCAGAAACATTTTCCAAGGATTTCTTGAGAAATGCTCTTATTCAGTAAGTTTAATAAAGAGGAGGATAGATATTACAGCTCTCCAGAGGAGCAAGTACAATTTCTGGAGCCATAGCTGTAAAAGATCATTTAAGGACATGGTTTTTAGGAACATCCTAAGATAATTGGACCTCTTTTGGAGTATCTAAATTATTAATTTAGGTTATTTCTGATGGTAATCATTATGGAATTCCAAAAGGCCTTTGTTTTTCTTTGCCTGTGACATGTAAAGACTTTGAATTTAAAGTTGTTGGAGATGTAGAATTAGATGACTTTGCTAAATAAAGAATTCAATTATCACTAGTTGAATTGCAAAAAGAGTAGTATTGATTAATAAAAAATGATAATTATTTATAAATGGATCAGAATTATGATAATGACAATATAATAATATTTGTTAAGTCTACCAGCACGTTGATCTTATTCCTCATCATTTTGTTTACAGCCAATCTTCCTTTTAAATCAAGGACTTTTAGAGAGAACAAAGTATATATCTATATTATATTTTAGCCATTGGTGTCCATTTCTTAAGCCTTTTCAGGGGGATTGTTCTTATCAGTAGCTCTTTTGCATTTATTGCCTGAATCACAAGATAAATATGAAACATCCCAAAACAGTGGGGAAATGCCAAAAAAAGAATTATTTCCATTTCCATTTTTAATTACTATTCTTAGCTTTGCTTTGATTTTGTTTATTGAAAAAATAGTGACAAATCATAAGCATTAGCATTAAGATGTAATCAAATTATTATTAATATCAGCATGCTGATGTACAACCTACATAAAATGTTGAATTACTTAGGTCAGATGAGAGTGTTTGTTGCAGTTAGGTTGGAGCATGTTGTAATTAAGTTGAAAGTTAGGCATAAGAAGATGTATTAAGAAATGCCATCTCTTCATAAGTAAAGATGGCATAAAGAGTAGGATTTAATGAAATAAAAAATAAAACTAAAATTAAAAAACCTAATAAATCTTCAAACATAACTCCTTATTTATTGCAATTAGCTGTAGGAATTCATGCTATCTTTGAAGGACTAGCAATAGGAATAGAATCAAATCTTAGTAGATGTATAGGTATTGCATTGGCAGTTTTTTGTCATAAATGGGTAAATATTATTTCAATTTAATAAGGCCGAGGGTCTCACCTTAGGATTGGCATTTAAAAAAGCCAAAATTACTCATTCTAAGGCTAAGAAACTTATATTTCTACAAGCTTTGATGAATCCTTTAGGTATTTCAATAGGTTGGATATTATCATCAAATAAACTTATTATAGTGAGTATCTTTTATGCAATATCAGCTGGAACATTTTTATATATTTCTACTATTGAAGTAATTGTAGAAGAGTTCAATGTTGCTAGATACAAACTATTTAAATTTTTAGCATTTTTAATCGCCATTGGATTTATAAGTTCAATTTGGTTGTTGGAATAGATTGATTTTTGAAGATACTAATTTTTATGGTATAAATAAATCAATTCACGTCTAAACTTTTTCTTTGAATGGTTCTTTATTGCATAGGCCCAATAGCTGCTTCTAAAAAGACCTAATGTTATTCTGATTTAGGTATGCATCTCATAGCTGACCACACTGAGAGTACTCCCAAACAACTCAAAAGAGTACAGATTGAAATTAAGTAAATATACATAAAGAACATTCCATTTAAGAGAGTTGTACAGAATGTATTTTTGAATCTAATAGTTCCTTGTTTGATATATGAGCAATTCAAAGTGTCTGTCAGATTCTGAGTTTTATGAAAAATTAAGTTAAGTTGACTTCCATAGTAAGTCAAATTGACTATTTGTTATTTAATCTCATTGTCTAGATTAGTTAATAATTATTCATATTCAGTTAGATTAGCTAAAATTGGTTTAAAAGTACTATTAACTGAATCAATATATAGTTTGATTTAGTCAAAATACTTTAAGACTATTTATGATATGCTTTCTTTATTTTTCGTTTTGCATCTCTTATATTGTTCAATGTACCTTTATTTAGCAAAGTCTTCATCACATGAATCAAATATTAAGCAAATGGCCATACCGAATTCTCGATGAGGATTACTATAGAAACTGTTTCACCTATTAGATCTTGTTATCATTACTTTAATTTGAGTAGATCAGCTTTGTAATATTTGCAATCCTTGTCTTTCCATTCCCATTCATCTTAGGAAACTCTGCATCCTCCAAATATTAATTACATTGATTTGTCAATATTGTAGTCTGTCCAATTGTTCATATTTCTTAACACATTCTATGGATTATCATCACTATCCGTATTTATCACTAAACTATAGTTAGTGAAGTATGAGGATATAACAGATTAATAGAAATTAATAACATTTCTGGAATGCGATAGTTTGTCGAATTCCTAAATTGATCTATCAAGATCAATAATATTTTAGAAGGTTTAATTCAAATCAAAATATGATACAAAATCCCCATTTTGGTATAAACAAACCTCCACCTATTGAAAGAAGGATTTTGTTTTGATAAAATGTTTAGTTGGCTTCATAATTTTAATGATTCTTTTCAGCACATTTTTATCATGAATCACACCATGAGCCAAATTGCAAACCATATTATTGTTTATCAATGAAACATAATAAACAAATATCAAAATAATAAATCCTATTATTAATAGTACTGCAAGAGCAATCCAAGAGATATGCAGAAGAAATCCCATTTTCTAAAACCGAAACCAAGTCACTAATGAAAAGGAGAATAGTAAAATAACAGTAGTGGTACAAGTAATTATTAAAAATCTCTTATAAGCAGTCACTCCTGAATCGAAAATCCAACTTTTGGTATTCAATGTCTATTCAAGTTTAGATAATAAATTAATAATGTTATATGAGAAATCGTTTAATTATGATTAACTTTGATTAAGATTTTCTATTATTTAACTAATGTTAATGTATTACGATTTAGATTTAATTATTTTCATTAAATATATTGCTTAATCTCTTGATGACAATTCTTCTAATAGGAGATTGGTGACAGTTCCTAATTAATTACTTGGCCCAATTTACTCAATAAAATTACTGCTAATTTGTTGCTAGTTACTGTAAGGATTAGGGTTGATTAATTTAAGTTCAAAATTATATTCGTATAAATCGGATAGATATTGATTCTCAATTTTATATTGCTATTGTAATTATTTGGTTTTAATTTAGCTTAATTAGTTAATAGCATTCTATCGAGATTAGTCTGATAGTTCCTAAGAGAGCGATTTAATCTGTTTATTAATGTACAAAATGCCTTACCAATCATTTTACCATCCCTAATCGTTTTGTTACTCTATTGTATTCTCAATCATCCATAAAGATATGCATTTGACTTAGAGCAAACTACTTTAAATAGCTTTAGTACCTACTTTCAATTTACTTATCTGTATAAGATAACCCACAAACTGTACACAACATTAAACTCAATAGGATTATACCAAAAAAGAGAAAGTATTTTTCAAAAGTGCTTTTGGTATCTGTTTCAACATTAATGTAACAACATCTCATGAAAACCTTATACTTTGGAATACAAAATATTTAACAGCAACATAATAAAATGATTACACCTATCACACTCAATATGATTGTAAATATCTCATCTAATTAGTATTTAATTCATTACAATCAATTATGAATATAGCTCATATTAATATTCATCAGGAAGTAATGTTTTTTCATTTTGCCAATTTGAAATTATCGTCTCTAAATCCCATCCTAAATTGAACACATTTTATGCTTCCTCTGCTCCATTTTTGGCACTGATAGGCCATAATGTGTGACTGTCTTTAATAAACGAAGAACATTATTCTTTATAAAGAAGTTGGTATTCTTTTAACATTTCATGAAATTATGGCATATTAATAATTATCTAAATATATTTTCAATCCAATTAACTTATCTTATTAGATAATACAACAGTGCTTTCGATCATCTTTCTTAAATCCTTTTACCAATCTACAATCAAATCTTGAATTGTTTAATTTTTTGATTTGAGTTTTGATTTAGATGATATTTTATGCTTTTTTTATTACTTACCACGTCTTTTAGTTATTGTCTTCTTCAATAGAGGAACTTAACTTGGTTTAGAACTACCTATTATAATAACATCATCATCTTTATCATCTTATTTCTTTGATCTTGTTTATCTTACCTATGTGGCAGATGTTTATTGCCTTCTCTTGAATTTAGGCTTTTTCTATTTCAAAATAGTTTTTTTTGGATTCTCATTGTTTGGAAACTATATTAAGTTGATCTCTAAATCATCCGAGCTCATATTTAATACTTATCTTTTGAACTGATTGAAATAAAAAACTTAACTAAAAAGCCTTCTAATTATTAGGAATATTAGTTTTGTGAACCAATAAAATTATGTAAATTAATAATTTTTATTAGAAAATGCAAATCAAATTGCTGACACTCAACTTTAATTCAAAATAAATTAATATATATAATGCAATTTTATGATTTTCTCCCTGCTCCAAATCCACTTATTTAAGCTACTGATCCTGAAATGAATACTAAAATGTATCCAAAATAAGTTAATTAGAACTCAGATTAAAAAAAGAGATGAGTATAATGAAAGGGATCCAAGTAAGAATCTCTGGGATTATTTTACAGATAATAAATAAAATCTCGTTTATTAAAGATATGATAACTATCCTTGGTCAATGATTCCTTTGAATAACCATAGATTTACAGCATCTTATTTCTTTGACTGCAAGAAACTGATTTCCTTGAACCGAGAAATCAAATTAACTGAATTTTAATCTGTCTTATACAAATATCTATTCCCTTCCACCATGAAACAAAAAGAATTTAAACCTTTATTATTAGAATAAGAGAACAAGAACTATTCAGGATTGAAATTTGATTCACATTACGAAAGTGCAAACCTTTTTGCTTCATTCAGAATTAGTACTTATGAATATGACTTGATTATGCAAAATGATACTAATTCCAAAGGACATACTTAATGGTTTTATTTCTCTGTTGAAAATACTTAAAAAAATGCGTTGGTTACATTTAACATTATTAACTTTGTAATTTACATAATATTATAAAGCCTCACAGATAAAAAATGAGTCACTATTTAATTTGGGTTAACGACCTGTCGTCTATTCTATTAAATCTAATAAAACTAAAGGAATTGGGTGGATCAAGGCTGGTACTAATGTTGTTTATTTCAAAAACAAATATAAAAAAGAGAACAGTACCACTAAAACTTATTATACTTTAAGTTTCTCATATAAGTTTGAGCACTCAAATGATAAAGTCTATTTTGCCTAATGTTATCCATATACATATTCCTAATTGAATTCATTTATAGATAGAGTTATAAGAATTAACCAAGTAAATTAAATACGATATTAGTTTTCAACTGTAAAAGAGCTATGCAAGACTATGACTAGATTATAATGTCCATTGATTACAATAGGAAAAGGTAGGAAAGCAATATTGTTAATGGCAAGATAACATCCTGGAGAGACTCCAAGTTCTTATGCAATAGAAGGAGCAATTGAATTTCTGATTAGGAATTGCATAGAAGCTGAGATGCTAAGGAATCATTTTACTTTCTATATTATTCCAATGTTAAATCCTGATGGAGTGATGTTTGGAAATTATAGGTGTAATTTATACGGAACCGATCTTAATAGAATTTGGGTAAATCCACATAAGGAACTACATGATTCAGTTTGGTACATTAGAGATATGATCAAATAAATTAATTAATCGACCGAACTGAGCATGATAATTGATTTTCACGGCCATTCAAAAAAGTATGAAATTTGTTTAAATTTATAGATTCAACAGCTTTTTTTATGCCAATAATGGAGGTGACTCATTAAAATTATTTCCTTTGATTTGTTCAAAAATTTCAAAGATGGTAAGTTTAAAAGATTGCTCTTTCAGTATTCATGAAAGCAAAAAGAAAACCGCAAGAGCAGCTCTTTAAGAGGATGTTAGGAGTGGATATATTTATACTTTAGAATCATCTTTTCATGCATATAAACGTTAATTTGCTCAGGACTTTTGCGATATTCATTATAAGGAATTAGGGGTTGATATAATACTTTCAATGTTTAAATTATTTTAACAAGAGATGGTTTAATCAACTTTTGAATAAAATATTAATTTTAAATTACCTACTACGATGAATTCATAATAAAATAATGATTTGGATATATTTATCAAAAATTATGATTTGAGTTAACTTTAATTAAACTAAGACGATTCAGGAAGTGATTCCAATCCAGAAGAAGATGTATTGCAAGATTTAGAATAGTTATCAATCGCAGAATCCAGAAAGTTAAGTAAAGCCTAATTAATTACTAAAAAGAAAATAATAAAAATAGACAAAAGTACATAAACTGATATATCTCATTATTAAAATTTAATGTTAGATGAAAAAGTCTTAATCAAAATTGAAGAGTAAGTGAAAGCATTAAGAAAAAATAATAATAATTTGGAGACAATTGGAATTTTGGGTAATGATGTTGAGTTCTAAGAAGGATAGAAATGTGAATTTTAATAAACAGATATCTCATTATAATAAATTTTAGGGAGAATGCAAGTGTTTCATGTAAGAGTTTCCAATAAGTAAAATTAATTGATTTATTATAGAAATTCTATGTTTTAGCATTAATTTACTACACAATCTAGTAAACCTGTTGTGATTGTATTGAAGAATCCATATTCTAAATAACAATTACAATAAAATTAATAAACAACTTATTAATAAGATTAGTTATCAATAAAAAATAGAAGAAGAGTTGCATCAATAAATGGTAGAGCTTCAATAGACTCGAAAAGATTAGCAAATGAAAGAAAATATAGCATTTAGCATTATTAATAAGAAAAGTATCACGGATATAGTTATTAATACAACACTCCTGTAAATTTTATGCCTTAGGATACAACTTTCGATAAAATTGCAAACATTAGCAAAGCTAGATTCAATGAAAAATAAGTAGTTAAAAACCAATTTTGAATTTTTTGAAAGGCTAACATTTTCCATATGATAGAAAAATTATTAATATTTTTAACATTTATAATTTGAATCTTTGGATCATACGATATATGATATATGATGAATTAAATAACATTTTGAATCAGACCATCAAGAGATATTTAATTTTCTATTTGGTTTAATAATTTCGTATAAAATAAAATGGGTTTGATATCGTATTACTGTTTGCTGGTGGTCGTTTTTATCGCTTTGATCATCTATGATCTTCTATTTTATACTACATATTAAAATGACGTTTGTCCACCAATTGAGTATACTGATGCTACGGCTGATGAAACTACTGCTGATGAGAATGCTGCTGGAAATCGATTATTAAATCTGATGGATAAGAATATGGATGAATTTGTCAACTCTTAACTTGCAGCCCAAGATGAAACAACAACAGATGAAACAACAACAGATGAAACAGCAACTGATGAGGCAACTACTTCATCATCAACATTTGCAAATCAATTAGTATAATTTATATTATTATAGGTAACATTACCTTTCATTATTATCTTACTTTATTGCGGAGTGATTGGTTTAATTATCTTAGCAATGTTAGGTATTTACTGCTTTGGCAAGATGCCTAGTGAGAGATTTGGGAATTTAAGTATTAATTTAATAGTCATTTATTCAATTAGATATGTGTTGGGCTTGTTTGGGTATCTATGTAAGAAATTTTGCCGTTTTGACTAGATTGTTATCTTGGGTTGGGATCTTATTAATGGCTATTCATGCTATCATAACTATAACGAATGAGGAGTGTTAAGATGCGGTCCATGAATACAAATAAAATAGGAAGATTTATCGTGTGGTAAGATTATTGATTCAATAATCTTGAAAGGAAGGGGCTATGTATGATTCATCTATTCTCTTAATAATTGTCAACTTATGTTTTTGGGGAGCAACTCATTGTCTTTTGCCCTCTCTGAAACTATTCATTGATGCAGAATCCTTCTTGTATGAACCGTTTGATAGAACCAAAGGTTTAGCCTACTGGTTCTGTTGTATTATGCTTGGGCCTTGATAATTATTATCAATTATTATAATATAAACAATTCAAATGAATTTCGGTGATGATGAAATATGGGTTAATCACCCCAAATTTGTTTGTCTTATAGCTAAATTAGACAATCAAGAGAACAAATTAGTGATTACCAAATAAGGAATTCTCAATATTGATAAAGAAATAAGAGAGGAATATGTCGAAGAAAAGTCAAACGTCAAAGTGGATCCGTTGGCAAAGCAAGGAGTTAATGATTTACTTGTAAGAATAAAATTAAAGTAAGCTATTAAATGAATTGAATGAATTTAATTGTCTTCATGGAATAAGAATGAGATATTCTAAGAAATCTATATATACATAAGTTGGTGCTCCAATTCTAGTAGCCATAAATCCATATTAATATGTTCCAGAATTTTATGATTAAAAAATGGTGACATTCTTTAAAAAGGAAATGGGAAGGATGAATTAGTATTGATATTCTATAAATTAGAATTTCCAAGGATATTCTTTAGCAAAAACTAAGAGATATCGATCCTCATCTCTATAAAGTTGCTCAAATGTCATTAGAACAACTTTTCGAAGAGACAGCCAAATCTAATACTAGAATATGCTCAATGATTATTTCTGGAGAAAGTGGATCAGGAAAAACAGAGTCAACAAAAATTATTCTAAAATATTTAGCAGCTGAATCAATAGGATAGAAGTTGAAAACACCCTCAATAGAATAACAAGTCTTTGCTTCTAATCCTCTCCTAGAAGCATTTGGAAATGCCAAAACAGCAAGGAATGATAACTCTAGTAGATTTGGAAAATTCATTCATTTATATTTTAATCCTGTCACCAAGAGAATTACAAATGCAAAAATTGATAACTACTTATTAGAAAAAAGCAGAGTTGTTAAACTAAGTTCAGTAGAGAGAAATTATCACATTTTCTATTAACTAATTGCTGCTTAAATCCCAGAACTAAGTAAGAAATTAAACACTATTAGAACTTGGATAAGCAAAGCAGTACCATTATTTAAAATAAGGAGATTTGAAATACACTAAGAATGAACTTGAAGAATTCAAGGAAACTAGCGATTGTATGGACAAAATGAACTTTACTCCATAAGAAAAGCAATTCATTTTTCAAGCTCTAGCAGGAATTTTACACTTAGGAAATCTATCTATTTAGGGAGATGCTAATAAATCATTTGTAATTGAAGACTTTTCTTTAAAAGCCTCTTGTCAATTATTAGGACTTGAATCTGAAGACTTGACTAGAATTATTTGCAAAGTACAAACACTGATGGGCAAAGAAATTATTATGAAAGAAAATAATATTGAATCAGCCTGTAGTGCAAGAGATACGCTTGCTAAACATGTCTATGAAAAACTATTTAATTGGTTAATCGAAAGAGTTAATTCGTAACTTTAAGCTTGCGGTTAGACTTAAAATAAATAACCAAACTCCTAATATATGATTGGTATTCTAGATATTTTTGGTTTCGAAATATTTACAGATGAATAAGGTATATAAACTAATAGTTTTGAATAATTAAACATTAATTTTACCAATGAAAAACTCCAATAGCATTTTAATTCCCATATGTTAGAAACAGAATAAAGTATAATTTTTCATTCTATAATTTAGGTGAATACAATTAAGAAAAAATTTAATGGAACCACATTAAATTTCCAGATAACAAACAAATTATTGATGTAATTGAGAATTCAACATTATCCATTTATAAGTTACTTATAGATTAAACAATTGCCCCAAAAGGTAATGATAGAGAATTCAGTAACTCTTTCAAAAAATTGCCAAGAGAGTGTGTTTTCAATGTTCAAGACTTATTGGCTTAGGATTCTGATATTAAAGTTGATAAAAAGCATAAAACTGCTAAATTTGATTGGTTTGGAATCAAGCATTTTGCTGGATATGTAATTTATAATGTCTACGGATTTATTGATAAAAATAAAGACACAATAAACTAAGAGGTTCATCAAGTCTTGCCAACCAGCAAAAATCCTATTCTTCGAGAAATTTGGAAAAGTCATCAAATTACAAATACAAATATTAAATAGAATAATGTCATTACTAGATTTTAAAATTCACTTTAAGAATTGTTAGAAGTTCTGAATAAATCACTTCCTAAATATATTAGATGTATTAAGCCGAATAATAATAAAACTGCCTTTGAATTTGATGCTTAAGAAGTAAGAAGATAAATGAGATGTGCTGGTTTACTGGAAGCAATCTAAATTAGGAAAGCTGGATATGAAATTCGACTTAACCATCATGATTTTATGAAAAAATACAGGTATTTAATTAAGGGGAAACCTTCAAATATAAATTAAATGATTATTTTATTGAACCAAAATTAAAAAATAAAAGAAAGATTGTCGAAAGAATTAGAATCCAAAAATGTTTAGGTTGGAACAACTAAAATATTTATGAAAGAAGGGTTACGAGATTTCTTGGATTAAATGTTAGTAGAATTCAGAATGTAATATATAATCAAAATTTAAAAATCTGGTAGAAATTACATTTACAGAAAAACTCTATTTTTGAAATTGAAAATTCTTGTGAATAGGCATCATAAATTATAAAGATCATGTAAATGGTATCTATTTAAATTTGTATTACAAAAACGAATTATGAATAGGTAAATCTTAAACACCTTCCTTTTTAAAATAAATAAATTTGAAAGGAAGATAGTAGAATCGTTTGCCCTTTAAAAATTGAATGATTATACTGCTTTTTTAAAATAGAGAGATGCTGAAATATAGAGACAATAATAAGAGTTAGAGAAAGAATTGGAAATAGAAAGTTCTGGAGAAATTAATAAATCAGTCATAATTTCTTCAAAATTGGTTGAAGATGATTTCAATATTAGTTAATCCTAACCAATATAAACAATTAATGTTAAAACATTCACTAAACCTGAAACCGTAAGCAATTCCAATTCTATAGATATGTTTAAAAAGGCTCTTTAGGATACTCAATAGAAATTAAAATTGGAATAAGAGAAAAGAAGAGATTTGGAAAATTAGGTCGAAAAATTATAAAATGATCTATTATAATTCGAATCTTCTGGTAGAGAAACGTTAAATCCTTCTGCATTTGGATAATTAGAAGATATATTTACTTTATAAAAATTAACATCAGAAAAGCAAATGCTGGAAGTTTAAGTTGAATAACTATAAATTGATAAAAAAAAAATTGAAAAATCTGTAATTTTTTTGATATTATACTTAGAGTTTTGATTAAATTTAAAATTTAGGGCTTTAATTAGCTCATGCTCAACAATGTATAAAAGAGTTAGAGCACAATAATGAGGTACTTACACAGGATTATTTAAGTGAAGTAAAAGCCAAAGAAGAAATTGAAGAAAAATTGAAAGATGAATGGAATTAAGAAAGAAGGCAATTGGCTAGAGAATTAGAGGATTCTAAAAAGGCTTTATCTAATTAAAACAAAATTTCCTAAAAGGATATTTAAAGAATCAAAATGGAATATGATAGAGAAAAATTAAAAGTAGCAGAGTTGGAAAGTGAGGTTAAAAAATTTTAATAACTCAGTGAACTTTATAAATCTTAATTAGACTCTAATGATTTAAACATAAAAGATCATAAAGGGAATGATCATGAATTATAATTAAAAGACTTGTAAATTAGGGATTTGCAAGTTGAAATTCAGAAAAGGGATCAAATAATATCTTAGTTGAATAATTAAATTAAAGAATAGTAAACTAAATCTTTAACATAAACTAAAACAATCAGTTAAGTTAGTGATAATGCTGAGATAACCTTGGAACTCAATGAAAAGATTATCACATTGTCAGCCACTTTAAAAAAACGAGAGTTTGAATAAAATAGAAATAAAAAGTTAATCTCAGTCATGAATAATCTTATCAAGTTGAAAATTATCGAAGTTAATGCTCTACATAAACATTTTAATATAGTGCATGAATAATAAAAGCAAGTATTATATTCATATTATTAAGGATGTTTATAAACCTATCGCTTAAATAATGGAAAAAGAAAAATTATTGATGAAATAATTTGAGGACTTAATTAAATAGAATAACCAGGAATAGACTGAACACGCAGAAAACTAATAAAAAATAGGATGAATTTCTTTTATATTAATAGTTTAGGTTATTTAATACATTAATCAAATTTCAATATCTTAAATTTTAGATAGCTGTAATTATTTGTTGATTCCCCCTAAATCATTAATTTTAACTGTTCTTCTACACACAGGACATAATTATTTGTAATTCTTCCATTTACTAAAGCATTAAGAATGAAAGGTGTGATTACATGGTAGCTCCACATATTTTTCCATTTACTTTAATTCTTCCATACAAATTGAACATTCAGCACCCTCTTCGCCAGAATACTCATAAAAAACATCAGTTTATTGATCAGGTGTATTTCTTTTGATTAATTAAAAAAATAGTTTTAGTTAACATGTGCAAATAGTTATAAGTATTAGCATAAAAATAGCAGGGATCATAGTGGCAAAGTTTAACCAAACAAACGATTTATACATCATTTCATTAAAATGTCTGAACAAAATTTAAAGATTTATATCAAAAGTGGCTTCTTTATCAATAATATTTTACTATGCATTTTCTAACTAAATAATGCATTATAGTATGAGAAATAAAATGGTATAAAGGGAAAAAGTTTCTGAAATCACCCAACTAAAAACACCAATTCCATTTTCAACTCCAATTATTAAGAGTATTATATTTGAAATAATAATTCGATGATTTGTTTCATTATAGTTCTCTCTATACAACAGGTACAAAATTAAAAACATTATAGGTAAAACTAGTTTATAAATTACGATAATTTTCACCCATAATTAGTAATTAAACTCCTTGAGTTCTGGTAAAAAGCAATCAAAATATGACCTAAAAATAGTCATTATAATAATAAATCAATTTATAGAAAAAAAAAGCATTTTGGAAAAATTTTCTATATATTAAGAGTTGAAAATTTGTAATTACAAATATTATGATTTGTTAATTGAATTTTTCGTAATTAGAAGGAATTTATACACTATCACAATAGAAAAAAATACGATGTTATATTAAAAATGGCATCGTCATTATTAAAATCTTTTGAAAAACAAAAAAAATATTGGAAAAGTCACTAATTTTAATGTTTAATGCGAATGATTCTATTTCAAATTAAGATTTAATGGAAAATGTAATTGAGACATTCATACTTTGTTGTAATATAGTACAATTATTTATCCCTTCAATATAAAGAAATATACACTAGTGAAAATTGTAGGGTTTATTTTCAATTTTATCGAATGATATCTATTAGAAGAGTGGGTGAGCATTATCTATTTTCATTCTATGTGTAAAGAAGTTCATTTTTTGGGTTTAGATGAAACAATATTACAACATAAATATAAAATGATAAAATTAATATTGAGAAAATATTATCAAATTGACAAATAATAATGAATAATCATTATATATTAATGTTATGATAAATTTAAAAAATCAATATAAATT